AAAACAACAGGTGAACCCTGTCCAGCTGAGAAGTGAACCCTGTACAGCTGAGACGCGTAGACAGACGTGCGTAGGAGCATTCTAACTGGCTGCCATCTTTACCATGTCTACTTTCTTGAATCCTTCTTCCCCCTTGGAAAAACTCCCGACACCTTTCCCACCGGTTTCTAAACCCTTCAACCAACAATTACGCAGCAAATAATACGGCTAGAGGCTCACATTCGCAAAGCTGAATATTGACTACTAACCACTCACCTTCATCGCGTCCCTTCACAGTCAATGCGACACGTCATCGCCACCTATCACCTCTGTCAGAATCCCCCCTCCATCTTCAAATCTTCAAAACCTGGATACTTCGCGCACGAAAACACTTCAAATGTAGCCCAGCAACGCAGGTCTCGAGCATAGACACACACTAACCCTAGAATGTGCCTCTTCGTCACCCCAATCCACAGCTGCCGTCACCGCCCTGAATTTCTCCTCTCACCCAAATATAAACCTTCTTACATCTTCTGCAAAGATGCGACGGGCTTGACGAGAATAAAGAAAAGACCGTGCCCATGCATCGAGGGCAAGAGAAAGGAGACCGGGACGTGGTGTCCGAATTGCGAGAGGTGTTTTGTGGATTGCTTGAGGAGGATGGACATGCTGCAGCAGGCAGGAGATAATGAGCTGGAGTTGTTTTTGGTGGAACAGAGGGCGAGGAGGAAGGCGAGGTTGTGGAGAGAGAAGGCGGAGAGGAATTTAGGGGAAGGGGAAGACGGGCTCTCGAGCTGAGAAGGAGAGCGTAGAGACCGTCATGGGCAGGATCTAGACTATTAGCAATTAGGAGAGGTGGCCATTTGCTTCAGTAGGATTCAGGGGTGTTTCGACATCATAAGCTACGTGCGTATCATATATGTGAACACGGACCCATTACCAGAAGACCTAAGGCTAATCAGCGAGAGTAGTTCACCCGCCACAGTTAGTAGAGCGCAAACGACTCAGCGTTCAGACACAGATGAAATTCGCTTATATATGAAGTATAGGAGTATCAACCCTCGTCCTCTATCTCGACATCATACAAGAAAGAACCCCTACAACCTCGGCGTATCCTCAACATATTCCGTCACCGGAAGGACCGTCTTGATATCAGTGTACGACATATAGCCCGTGGTATCTCCATTGTCCCGTTCTGCAACCGTAAACCCGCTTCCCAGATACGACAGCGGCGCATCTTCTGGCAACCAGGACTCGTAGTCGAAGTCTTCGTAGCGCGGGTTCTCCCACCCGAAGTAGCCGTGCATGGCGGAGCCGGGCCAGGAGGTAATGACGCGGCCTTCGGGCTTGTTGCGCTTGAACCAGGTGAAGCACTACATATAAAGTTAGTGGATTTTTGTGGAGTATAGATCTGGGAGACCAACGCTTTCGGAAAGCACTGTGGTGCTCATGTGGTGGTCGACCTGCTTTACCCAGGCGTCGACTGCCTTTTGCCTATGGTGTTCTATTAGCAACGCCGAAATCTTCAACAACAGGAGTTTGGTGGACGTACTTGATGACCATGGACTTAATGTACTCGAGCTGGATCTTCTTGATACACTTGATGATATACTTCGCCGCGGCCTCGAACGTATGCACGATCGAGCCAGCGAACGGCGCCGAGTTCGGTCCAAACATGATGAACAGGTTCGGCATATCCGGTGCTGCGACTCCAAAGTACGCAACTGGGTCGGGATCCCAGGCTTGCTGTAGCGTGATGCCATTTCGGCCGACGTAGGGGGTATCTCGGTTGTCCATGTTCCTATCATGCTGTAAGCTTCAAATCCCAACCTCAAAATCACAGGCGCAATAGTGACTTACTTATCAAACCCTGTCGCGCAAATGATCGCCTCGTACTCCCTCTCAACCCCATCGGTGTCAATAATGCCCTTCTCCGTGAACTGCTCCACGCCCTTCGGAATCAGATTCGCATTCGGCTTATTCAACGCCTCTAGCCACGCCTGTCCCATGATTAGACGCCTGCAGCCTGGCGCATACTCCGGCATGAGGATATCGACGAGTTCGGGCTTGGCCTTGCACGTCTGCCGCATGTTCTCTTTCAGCATCTCGCGGAATTGAGCGTTCATTTCCGTGCCTTTGAGCTGCACGGCTTGCACCATGTTGGTCCATTGCTCTTGCTTCTTGCGGTAGGCGAGGTAGGCTTCGGGGTTGTTGCAGAAGAACTTGCGCTCCCAGCGGGGGTGGTCGAAGTTTTTCTCTACGCCTCGCTCAGCCAACTCTTGGAAGTTGGTGCCTCCACCTGGTGGCACCCAGACTTTTCCGCGGACGTAGTGGTCGAGAGATTTGACAATTGGTTGGATAGCGGGGGTGATCTGGACGCCTGTTGATCTGTGGAGGTTGCGTTAGCGAAGGTAAGACTGTAAGAGCGAATATGAATTTGTCTCACCCGTATCCAATCACTGCGACACTCTTTCCCGTAACATCGTAGCTGTCATCCCAGTTGGCCGTATGCACCATCTTGCCCTTGAACTTCTCGCGCCCGGGTACGTTTGGCCATTCCCACGCGTTCACGAAGCCAGTGGCTTTGATGAGGATTTCGGCGTAGTCGGTTTTAACCTGCGGTCGGCATTCGTGATCAGTCTCTGCTATGGGCGCTGTCTCTTTTTATGAGTAGTACTTACCGTGTTATCTTCTAGGTTCAAAACCTGGACCTCCCACTGGCCGATATCCGCGTGCCATTTCGCGGTCTGGAACTTGTGGCCAAACTTTACATACTTATAGACGTTGAATTGCTTGGACACGTCTTTAAGGTACTGCTCGAATTCCTTGCCGGGTGGGTAGAAGCGTGACCAATTTGGGTTGCTGGCGAAGGTGTATTGGTATGTGTGCGGGGTAAGATCTGGCTGGACTCCAGGATAGTGGTTCTCAAACCTTCAGAACCGTTAGCTGGATTGCATGAGAAATGCAAAGTACTATCGTCATACCAAGTTCCTCCAACCTCCGAATTCTTCTCGTAGATCGTCAAATCCAGATTCGGTATCGCCTGGGGGAACAATGCTCCAACGGTAATACCACACATTCCGGCACCAATGCAGATGACTTTAATACGTCGGTAGTCATCTACAGGGCGGTACTGTGGGTCTGGGGGGTGTGGATTGGCGCCATCGATGTGCATGGGGTTGTATGCTGGGACGGCCATCTTGAATACACTGTCTTCTCTACCAGCTCTATCTCAAGTCCAAAGAGTGTTCGAAAAGTAGGTACAAAAAACAAAGACGAATTGATCAAGCAAAATGCAGAAGCTACCCATGCTTTAAAGGCGCGTCCCCAAGCTAGCTCCGCCCGCCTTCACGTGCCTCCTGCTACCACTGCGCCCCATGTTCAGGACCTTCGCCGCACCGCGGGTAGCTAGTCAGACCAAAGGCGGAATGAAGGTGTTCATGATGCTCGACTGACCGCGGATCGCGTCCAACCGGTCAGCCGAGCCCGCAGCTCCAAGCGATGCGCTAGAGCTGTACCGGGCTCGGAATGCTCAGATGCCGATATAGAAACCATACATCCGGCGGGCCCCCAGATTATTTTTTCTGAGAAAGACGGGCCCGCACACCAAAAGGTTAGCTGCTGAAGCGACGGGTGTGGCTGCAATCTAGATCGCAAACCGGGAATAGGATTTGGACTGTATGCCGAGTAGCCCACTTGCCGGACGGACCCTGCATGCTTCAGTCGGCGCGAGGTCAGTGAATCGGACTTTTGTTTCCAGTGGTACGGATCTGGGATTGCTTTTGGAAGCAGGTGATTCTTGGTTAGCAGTCGAAATTTCGAGCGGGTGGTGTTTTGCCCAGAGGATTCGCGGACGCAATCTGAACCACCCACCCCGGACCACGCCTCGTACTCTGGAAAATGTCGCACGAGGCTGAAGAAAAGCCTTCCAAGGAGTTCAACAGCGTTGCTTCCATTGCCTTGACGGAGGTGGAGAAACCGGCCTTGGATGATCCCGAGAGTCGAGAATTGGACATTGAGAAACAAGAGCCTACAGAGACTCTGGAAGAAAAGCAAGATGGCCTCACCGAGGTCAACAATAACATCGTAGATTGGGATGGAGAAAATGATCCTGAGAATCCACGGAACTGGTCGAGGGGGAAGAAGTTGCTCAATGTTGGGATCATCTCAGCTTCGTCTCTCACTTCGTACGTTTGCAACAGCACTACTCGCGAAACCACCGCAAATACGGCCATGGTGACTGACACTATACATATCAAGACCCTTGGCATCTTCGATGGTAGCACCAGGTGTAAAGGCTCTCATGGCCGAATTCCACAGTGACAGTCGTTTATTATCATCATTTACTGTTTCATGTTATATTCTCGGCTTTGCCTTCGGCCCCTTGGTGTAAGTCCCCATATTTCTTACAAGAAGTCTGCATTGATCACTTGAATGACTCTTCAAAGACTAGCTCCGCTATCAGAACTCTACGGAAGACGCAAGGTCTATTTGTTATCATGGCTCATGTCATTTGGTTTCACTCTCGGTTGCGCCAAAGCTCCGTCACTTGGAGCATTCATCGTATTCAGAGTGCTAGCAGGCTGCGGAGGTGTCGTCGCCCAAGTGAATGGAGGTGGAACTATAGTTGATGTATATGACGTTCACCAAAGAGGGGCTGCTATGTCCATCTTCGCCATGGGCCCTCTACTCGGTCCCGTGATAGGGCCCATCGGTGGTGGATTTCTGGCCGAAGCCAAAGGATGGAGGCAAGATACCTCCTCTATTCATTCGGAATCCCGCTAATAAGTGAATTGTAGATGGGTATTCTGGTTTCTCACTATCCTCTTTGGGGTCTCAACTGTCGTTGGAGTCCTATTTTTACGGGAAACCTATGCTCCAACACTACTCGCGAATAAAACTAAGCGCCTCATCAAAGAAACCGGCAACCAGAACCTCGAGTCCAAACTCGCCATCAAAAAGACACCAAAGGACATCTTCTGGACGGCCATACGACGTCCAATGACGATGTTGTTTCATGACCCGATTGTGGCTATCCTATCAGTGTAAGTCTAATGAACCACCATCGTGACGCGCCCTATTTCGGGATGCCTACTAACCATATCTACAGTTACATCGCGATCATCTTCGCGTTCTTATACCTCCTCTTCGCCACCTTCCCCACCGTCTTCGCGGAACAGTACCATTTCAACACAGGCATCCAAGGTCTTGCATACATCGGGATGGGCGTAGGTAATTTGTCGGGCGCCGTCTTGACAGCATTCACGAGCGATCGGATATCCATTGCCCTAGCTAAGAAGCACGGCGGACCTAAAGCTGAATTCCGACTCATCACAGTGATGATGACGTGTTGGGCCTGCCCTGTCGGGCTGTTCTGGTATGGCTGGGCTGCTGAGGCAAAGGTCCATTGGATTGTTCCGATTATGGGGACGGCGCTGTTCGGGCTTGGGCTTTTTGGTACTATGGTGAGGCTGAACTATGCTTCCTTGGATTTTCGAAAGCTGATGACTTGCGTGCAGATGCCAGTACAGACGTACTTGATTGACTCGTACAAACGATACGCTGCGTCAGCTCTTGCAGCGTCAACGTTGCTGAGATCGCTTCTTGGTGCGCTCTTACCTCTCGCGGGACAAAATCTGTACATCAAACTGGGGTACGGGTGGGGAAACTCCCTCCTGGGGTTTATTGGGGTTGCGATGTTGCCATTCCCCTTTCTGTTCTATCGATACGGCGAGGCAATAAGGAATAAGTTCAAGAGGGAGTACTGATAAGTCGCGTCGGAAAGGGGAAGCTGACTGCACAAAGACTAAATTGATAGCTATTTGGGGGCTAGGCTTTAAAACATATGTAAATAGCCACGATATCATAGAATAGAGATAATCCCGGGGGCTTGAAGGACAGGCTTCCAATGTCAAAAGCTTATTACCCCATTTCACACGCAGCACACTTAATTTCATTACTAATAGTATCACGTGAAGGCAATGGCTTGAAAAGCAATGAAGCATGTATTATGTGCTGTATGTATGAGCGTCTAGTGTACTTGCGCATCGCCAGCCTTGTAGTAATGCAGAACCTGAAGATCGCAGTACGTCTTGATGGCTCCTGGTCCACCTTCAACACCGATACCACTTTCCTTGTGGCCACCGAAGGGGATCTTGATGGATACCTTCTCCATACTGTTAATGTGAACACTCCCAACATCCAGCTGCTTCGCGATTCGTGTAGCCTGATCCAAGTCGTTGGACCAGACGCTGGCGCCCAAGCCCATTTCCGAGTCGTTCGCGAGCTCAATCACCTCCTCTTCCGTCGACCAGGGCATACTTGGCACAATCGGTCCCTGTATTAAAAGTTAGCAATTAGAAGGACGTGTAAATTCCGACGGCTTAGGCTTACAAACTGCTCCTCCGTTACGATTCTAGAGTTGGCTGGAGGCTGATCCACGATGGTGGGCTCAAAGAAAAACCCCTTCTTATCGATGACTGCCCCATTGCCAATAGTCTTATGTCCCTGCGTCTTGGAGTCTTCAAAAATGCTCTTGACCTTGTTATATTGCATTTCGTTCTGGACGGGGCCAATGGTCACACCCTCCGCATCGCTGGCCCCGACTTTGAAACTCCGCGCAGCCTTCGCTATGGCTTCAAGGAACTGGGGATAGATGTCTTCGTGGATATAGATTCGCTTTGTTCCCGCGCAGACTTGTCCTGTGTTGAAGAAAGCGCCCAAGATAACCTGAGGAGCAGCTTTCTCGATATCGACGTCTTTGCAAACGATCGTGGCGTCATTTCCTCCACTACAAGACTGTCAGCTATATGTTCGAAAAAAGAACTTAGAAAGATCGTACAGTTCAAGAGTGACTCTCTTCAGAGTCTTCGCCGCCGCTTCTGCGATTTTCTTGCCAGTTGCAACTGATCCAGCGAATGATATCTTCGCAATGGAAGGGTGAGTGGTCAGGAGCGGGCCAAGGTTATCGTTCCCGTTGAGCACTGAAAGAACACCCGGAGGGAGGATTCCCTGAGCTATCTCTACTAGCTTTAAGGCTGAATAAGGCGAGAATGGCGACGGCTTTACGATGACGGTGTTTCCGGCCATCAGACCAGGGAGGAACTTCATGGTTGCCTGTCCAAGAGGATCTGCAAGCTGTTTAGCAACTGGAAAACACTTTGGTCAAAATGATACCTTGGGGGCCGCTTACAGTTCCAAGGGCATATGGCAGCCACCACGCCCAAGGGCTGGTATCTCAGGACATACTCTCGGTCTTCGCCTTGGACTACCTCATCTTCAAGCGTCAAGTTTGCTGATCTCGTTAGGTCACAATCTAAGACGAAGGATGCTTGGAACATCGTAACATACTGAAAAATTCAAAAGCCTCGGCACAGGCATAATGAGCTTCATGGTGAGCAAAGCCTTTCTGTCGCGTATTGTGAGAAGTGAATTCATTGAAGCTTGGAAGCTTGACGAACCGGCTTGCCGATTTCCTTCATGACCAAATCTCCAAGGTCCCCAAGATATGGCTTGATGGCCGCCGCATATTTTTTCAACAGGACCGATCTCTCCTGGAGGGTCGTTTTGCTCCATGATTTGAAGGCAGTCTTCGCGGCCTGGATCGTGTCCTCAATGTCTTTAGCGCTCGCAATCGGGACATCCCATAGATCCTGCTGAGTCGATGGGTTGAACCCGTGGAGGAATTCCTTGCTGCTTCGCTTCTCACCGTTGACGATGTTGTAGAATTGAGTGAAATCAACCTCGGTCGTCCTTGCGGGTGCCATGATGAACGAGAATATGCCAGAGTGCTTTAAAGTCCTAAGCCTCGAAGCAACCTATTTGTAGAAAAAATGCTAGACAGGTGTTCGGACGAAACGCTGCAAGCCTGCAATACGTTGACTGGTGTTAGAGTAGAAACGGAGATTAGAGCATGAGAACAAGTCCGGCTGAATCAGAGGAGGCAAATGGCCAATGAATACAGTACTTTCGCGTTCTTTGCCACTTCGCAAACTATGTTGTGTCTGCTTGAACTTATAGTTCGGGTCCGGGTATACTGGCTTCCTCGTGGTTCCGATATTCCACCGGGTGTCGTCCTCTTCCAGCATTGGTGCTCGGCCCGCTACCATCGCATTGGATCCTCACAAGCTACACTGCAAGCACCCCTCTTTCACCCCGCATTTCTAAGCACCAAAATTATGGAGGATATGTCGGATAAAACGGATCGACTTCGGTCTAGGGTTGGCCGGCCATGGCGAATTCGATGTCACGTGTGGCGGAATAAATTCGCGGAATGGCGCAAGCAAGACTACATATAGAGCGAGAAGAATGCCATGGCTATTGGATATTTTGCTCAGACTCGTGATTCACTTCAAGATATCGCCAGTGAAATTTCCCAGCTCAGAAAATAATCAAAATGGCCGATACTTGGACTCATCTTGTGCGGTTCTACCACAACGGAATCCCTACCTTTGGCCAATTAGTCGACTCTTATGATGGCGGAGACCTTCCTGATACATTCAAGGTGAAGGTTGCGAGCGGTGATCCAGTCAATGCAACCATCAAGTACACTGGCGAAACCGCCGAAGTGGTGAAGAAGGATCTCCTGGCGCCGGTTGCGAACGTCCCGATTGTCATCAACGTTGGGTTGAACTACAGCGATCACATTGAGGAGTCGCAATTCCATCTTGCAGTATGCTTTCTAGGTCCTATTGCACGTCTATTAATGCTCATTTCTCATAGGATCTTGCCGCCCCAATTCCTTACATTTTCTACCGACCCACCGAGTCAATCGCTGCGCCCTACCAGGATGTCAGGGTATACAAGGTGCAACAAGAATGCCTCGACTACGAAGGCGAAATGGTATTCCAAACGGACAGGTTTCCCCTGAGGGATATTTCCGTGGAGGAAGCGTCGAAGCACATCATTGGTTTCTCAGTCGGAAATGACTTCTCGCCTCGTCCTGGCAAAGTACTCGGCAAGATGAATTTCATCTACTCGAAAGCCTTCGATGACTGGACTCCAGTTGGGCCGGTGCTGGTGAACCCGAGCGTGGTGGGAGACCTGCCGCAGCTCGATCTGAAAACCACAGTGAATGGAAAGGTGAAGCAGTCGAGCAACACGAAGAACATGATCTTCAATGTTGCCGAGATTCTATCGAACATGTCTGTGGGCCATACTGTTGCTCCCGGAACGGTCGTCTTCTCTGGGTAAGACATTCTACTACGAGCAATATTTGGCTGATTACTGACTTCATATTAAAGAACATGTTCCGGCGGTGAATGGTTTGCGGCCCAGGGTAAGGGAGGTTATAAATCTGGATTGGTAAACGGGGATGTCGTTGAGGTCGAGCTTGCTAAGCTCGGCAAGATCCGCACCAAGGTCGTGCTTGACGAGTAAATATATCTATCCGAAGCAGCTGAGAAAGCTCAATCGTGAATGTTACCACATAGCTCAACATGAGCTGCAAATCAATGAATGGTAATATAATCCAAATTTAGATTACAACTTAAAGCGTTTTGCGTTGCCATGAAATCTAAAAAGCGTGAATTTCTGGAGTATGTTCACCGTCAGGCACGTGCTCCTCACGTGACTGTCAATCTAATTTTGATCGCTCTTATTACTCTGAAGAGGGAGACGTAGGTATTTATCCGCGAGAACGGACTTCGGAATCGACGAAGCCGATCACTCACATGATCTCTGGGTTCTTAGATGAAAGTTCGCGCGGCATGAAGTTGACCATATACACCTTCCATGTGAACTCTCGAACGAAAACATCAAGCGCCAATGGCGACCACATTAATTCAAGACCTCTTCGAGACTATTCGAAAGTCGTTTCCAGAATCGCTTCCCCAGGATTCTTGGTACATCCCAGTCGTAACTCAAACACCTTCTCCATCTCAACTTGCGCACTTCACCTGACAGTCCCAGGCATCAGCGTTGCTAGCAACAGATGGAGGAGAAAACTTCGCGGCTCTTTACAAATACGCGATCAAGCAGCTAGGACCTGGCTCTAGCAGTGAAGCACGAAAAAACGTATCCCGCCGCCTCCGCGAAGTCATTATCAAGACATGGACGCTCCTGGGCCTTCCGAAAGTCTTTCCAGCATACTACTCGCTTGCCAGCGCCGAAGCCCCTGGAGATGCTGCCGCAGATTTCGAAAGATCTGAGCGCCGGGCGAATCTTCATCCAGATGAAGTATCTGCACGGGGCCAGGACTGGATCGAAAGGGAGCTCGCAGATGATGGGGAGGTGGTCAGGAAGTCGCTGTCTACAAACCCAGACCTGGGTATGAACATCCTCGACTTCACAGAGTTTGAGAGTCACTGAACTAATTTGTGGCGGATATAGCTTGGACAATGAAGTTCATTCAGTACGGCTACTTCTTCGCCGACACTTCCGTCTTGGGCACCATCGAGAATGAGATGTGCATCCTCGCGGCTCTGATGGGGCAGGGAGCACAGATCGCAACGTTTGTGCATATGAAGAGTTTAAGAAGACTGGGGGCTTCAAAGTCCGAGGCGGAAGCTTTCCAGGACGTTGTGGTGAAGGTTGCTGTGTTTCAGGGGAAGAATACGAGCTCGTGGCATCGATTCGAGGAGATTGAGCATTTGTTCGAATAGCTTCACGTCGGATAATCAATTGCTCTTCCAGACATGAAAATTCGGTGAAAGTGCGGAGTAGAGCTTAGTCTCAGAAATATGCATTCGGCTCGTGTGCCGGTGCCTCGGAACGGGCAGATCCGCGGCGGAATGACAGCATCTTGAATATATTTCCTCGAGGTTACTTCTTAACTCCGCCAAACTTTTCGTGGGGTTCAATCGCGATATTCTAATATTGAGCCAGCAACGGCTCATGCATTCCTTCACAATGCGATTATCCTTACTAACCGCCCTCTTCACCCTCGCGTCATTTTCACAATGCCATGAACAACAGCCCTTAGTAAACACACAACTAGGTACCCTTGGCGGTCTCCACCTCCCTAAATTCAACCAAGATGCATTCCTAGGAATACCATTCGCTCTCCCTCCAACTAAAAATCTCCGATTCGCACGTCCGCAACCCTACAATGTTACCTGGAAAGGCGTAAAAGAAGTCACATCATACGGCAAATCATGCTACGGTATGAGCAGTTTCTCCGACGGTCTCCCACTGGACGAAGACTGCCTATTTCTCAACATAGTTAGGCCAGCGGAATCGAGCGGCGTCTACGAAAACGCATGGACTGGATTGAAAGAGAAGGTGTCTGAAGGCTTGGAATATGCGGGATTGGGCTCGTGGCTTGAAGAGGGGGGAATAGCGCAGCAGGTCCTTGAGAAGGCGCCAGGGAAGAAGCTGCTTCCTGTGTTTATCTGGATTCATGGAGGAGGTATGACTGATCAGTATCTACAATCTGATTCATACTCTGGAACTGGATGGCAAAAGAAGCTAATATTGGAGACAGGATGGATCGGAGGGGGTTCCGCGGACCCGCGCTACAACCTCTCTTACCTCGTCAGCCAATCCGTAGAGATGGGTAAGCCGATGATTGGCATATCTCTAAACTACCGTATGCTAGGCTTTGGGTTTCTGTCTGGGGGAGATATGGAATCTACGGACTTCAATGCAGCACTGAAAGATCAGAGACTAGCGCTTCAGTGGATTCATGATAATATCGCGGCGTTTGGGGGCGATCCGGGGCAGGTCACCCTCGCGGGGGAGTCCGCGGGGGCGTGGTCGACTGGGTTTCAGCTCGTGGGTCATGGAGGGGATGCTGCAGAGAAGGGATTGTTTCAGCGTGCTATACTACAGGTGATTCGCTTTCCCTTAGGAGATGCTCACCAGACTAATGTTTGATAGAGCGGAAGCATGTATGGGAAGAAGAGTAGGTCAACCAGGTCCAAAAGGGGGTCCCGCCAGGAGACTAATTTACTTGCAGTCACTTCAAACGAGTTTTATACCAAACGTTACAATGAATTGGCAGGGGAGATGGGGTAAGTCATTTTTCAAGTTCGAGTCCCAAGCTTGCTGATGCTAAAGAACCAAGATGCGATACTTCGCCTAGCAAACTCGAGTGCCTCCGGGAGATCCCACCGGAGAAGCTATTTGACTATTTCGTGGGGCACCTGCTGGAATACTTCTGGGATCCTACTCTAGACGGCGATTTCCTTCAAAAAGAGCCATGGGAGCTAATGGAGAACGGACAGTTCGCCAAAGTAGACATCCTGATAGGCACAAACATGGTAACCCAAAGAGCACCGCTACGAAGCCAGCTTTCACTAATTCCCCCCACAGGACGAATGCACATGCCCCACCCACGGCCCTCGAGGCTTCTTTAACACGACCGAGCAATTGCGGGATTTCTTGATAAGTACGTCTACTTCTTTTCCATCTCAGAACCTACCCTTAACTCCACCAGATGGCGCACCCCACCCCCCGGAATACCGCATCCTCTCCCCCCTTCTCCCCCCCGAACTCGCCGACCGCCTCCTCTCCGCCTACCCCGACTCCCCCTCGGACGGCTGCCCCTTCAAAACCGGGCCCGAGCGCTTCGAAGAGCACGGCTACCAGTACAAGCGCGGCGCCGCGATGATCGGCGACTGGCTGATGCAGGCCGGGCGGCGACATGTGGCGCAGCAGTTCGCAGACGTCGGGAAGAAGGTGTATTCGTATCATTTTGAGCAGGAGCCGGTGCATGGGGTGGAGTTTGGAGTTGTGGAGGAGCATCCCGTGGGCGTGGCGCATTTTACGGATGTGAGTGAAGATTTGCAGATTCGAAGATTTTAAGGGGGGAAGGTAGGGGGTTGGCTAATGTGGTGGTAGGTTGCGTATATTTTTAATATCCCCGATCCGGAGCTGGTCAATCACTTTGGGGTTGATCCGGGCCATGTGGGGCTTGGAGAGTTAATGTCAAGGATGTGGATCTCGTTTGTGACGACGAGGGATCCGAATAATCATGGGTGTAAGTGATTTGCTTGCGAAGGAAAGGAGAGAAGTGCTGACGGCGAGATAGTGGATGTTGGCGGCTTGAAATGGCCGCTGTATAAGCGTGAAGGAGGAGAGAACATCATCTTCAAGGCAAACGAAACGAGGATTGAACCTGATGATTTTAGGAAGGAGGGAATGCAGTTCTGGGCTGAGACGTGGGAACAGACGAGTAAGTCGATGCAGGAACACGAGTTGATGAGGGAGGTTTGATGAAGCGCTCTCATGGGAGAGAAGGACTCAGGGGAGAGATATGAGTTGGAAAGATAATTCACTGTTAGATAGCTTGATGCTTTCCCTGGAGAAAAGGGGTACTTGATTCACTCCCCATGACACCAGATACATCCATAGAGGCAAATAATACACGCCAATCGAACATTACAGCCGTGTTTTCAACATTCACAATTCTGCACAATCTGCATGTCTCAAAACACCCCGATCCCAGTCGTCGACATAAGCTTAGACCTTCCCCACGTGGCAGCGCCCCGCGCCGGTACCCCGCAGAACGCCACCCCAAATCCCCAGCTTTTGCCGTTCTAGACTCTCCAGAACGCCGGCCCTAGCGCGGTCCCCAGCTCCCGGCGAGCATCCGCGATCCGGGTCGGTGCCCTGCGGAGCTGGCGGAACCCGAAACCTCCCTGCCTTCCGCCCTGGACCCCACTGATAACCATCATGAGCTCCTCCACCCCGCGCCCGTGATACGGAGACTGGGATAGCGCTCGAGTCGCCTGGGCGCATGACGATGGGTGCGGGACGGCATCTTCGACGATGCGAAGCCTGCCGTAGCAGGTGGCGAGCGTAAGGGTGAGGTGATGGGTCGAGGCGCAAGCAGGGCGGAGAAAGCATCGCGACGCCGGCTGGGTGTAGTATCCGACCAATAGCGCGCTGATAAAGCCGGTGGCCTGGGAGGTATTCGTATACATCCGCCAAACCTCTCACAAGCGTATAAATCTCTACTGTCAAACTTCTTCACTCATCGTCAACTTCAATATCTCACATCTACAACCCGCAACTTCAAGCACAAGCCCCAGAGACCAGAAAGAAACAAGCACAATGGCCGTCACAGAGGAAACCCCAAAGAAGACCGGCCGCGCGCCCTCCTTCTTCGTCTCGCACGGCGCCGGCCCCTTCGCCATCCTCAACGCCCCCTTCCAGCTGCAGCTCGTCGACCTGTGCGAGAAGACGCGCTGGGTGCTCGATGGCTGGAAGGGCGTTATCCTCGTCACGGCGCACTGGGTCACCGACCAGCCGCACATCTCCTCGGGCCCCAAGCCGCACATCTACTACGACTACATCGACGGGCTCGAGGGCATTCCGCCCGAAGCGTGGGAGATCAAGTACGAGAGCCGCGGCGACACCGAGGTCGCGCACGAGATCAAGCGGCGCCTTGACAAGCAAGGCTTCAACTGCGTGCTCGACGACGAGCGCGGCTGGGACCACGGCGTGTGGGTGCCCATGAAGCTGCTGCGGCCCGACGGCGACCTGCCCATCGTGCAGGTCAGCGTGCCGGGCAACATGGGCGAGCGCGAGACGCCCGAGGCGCTCAAGCTCGGCGCTGCGCTCGAGAGCTTCCGCGACGACGGCTGGGTTATCTTGGGGAGCGGGTCCAGCTACCACAACTTTGATGCAGTCATCCCCGCTATCATGGGCGTGCCGGGCGCCAAGGACGCACCAGATAATAGGCCGTTTGAGGCGGCGTTGCAGAAGGTGGCGTTTACCGAGGATGTGGAGGAGAGGCGGAGGCTGATGCTCACGTGGCGGGATTGGTTTCCGGAAAACGAGGTTGTGCAGCCGATCGGGAAGGCGGAGCATTTCATGCCGTTTATTGTGAATATTGGGGCGAGTGGAGGGGATAAGGGGACGTTGTTGGGGACGTGGGATCTTTTTGGGACGAAGATGACGAGTTATGTTTGGTAGGGGGCTTGTGCTGGTAGTTCTGGGGTGGATATTTGAGATAGCATGCTTTTAGGGGGTGTGGTGTCAGATTCGGAATTGGGAGTACAGCTAGATCATGTTACATCTATAAAAATGAAGTGTTAGATCACATAATAGTTCGACCTAAGTGAGAGTATTAACAACACGTGAGATATGTGTAAGTGATATTTTTGAAGCGCGATGAAAAATGGATTAACTCCTAGCTATGCTGCGTTGCGGACGTCGAAGTGATTGAAAGGGCGCCGTGTTGCCTCATGACGCCAAAGTCCCCAAGACGCCTATGTAAACATCTTTTCCCAACCGGCATTTCACATTTCCGATCCGTCCATTGCCCAAATACTCCAGTGTTTGAGAACATCCCATCCTACAGGTCGCACTCTCCGTCTCCATACAAATCGTTCGGTCTCTTGTGGCGCGTCCTCCATTTCTTTATCCATATTCTGAATGTGGACAGAAGGAACACCATTTGAATTCTCGTTTAGCGACGAGTTGGACGTCGATCTAAGCTCGCGCGTCCGTTTGCCTAGGGTAGACTGAAGTGGTTTCCCAGCTGGCGTAGACGTCCTTCGGGTCACTCTCGGCTGCGCCGTGGGTGTCCCGGGAAGAGAAGGCGGCCGCGATCCTATCAGTGGCTCTGCGTATATCTCACCTAACTCATAAGACTTCCACCCGAGTCCTATGAGTTTGAGGTGGCCCCATGCTTCGTTGTCGCCCAGCGTGAGACCAATCTTCTCAATGTGCACACTTTCGTCAAGTTCTACGACTTCGCACAGCGGGCGCGACCTCAGTGGAACTAACAGGCCATGCGTGTTTGCCTTTACGGGTTTGGGCGGCCCGCTGTTGGAATTAGGGGGGTATATGGGGACGAGGAGGCGGATCGCGACTAGGTTACGGAGAAAGGGTATCAGTAGAGTCATGGTGTCGAAGCTGGACGTTTCAGTCGCGTATCCGAGCTGCACGAGGTTCGGACATGTGTGCACAAGGCGTGCGATCATCGAGGTGGAGAGGTGCCATGTCGCGGAGAGGAGGAGATGAGTCAGCCACTGCCCGTGATTTGAGAGGATCGTCGTGAAGTAGTTGTCTTTGAGGTAGCTTTGAGTCTTGGGGTCGTCGGCGAATGTTGGTGAGGGGTGGGATGTGCCGTTGGGGAGCACTCGGATAGTATCCATGTCGTGGTCTACCGAACCTCGCCTGAAAATTGCCGGCGGGGATGCAGAGGGCCGCTCAATGTAGTATCTCGCGTCGTGGTTGACGAAATAAATTTGTTCAAGTCCCATCATCGAGCCCAAGAAGTCGCAGTGAGCCCTGGAGATCTTGTCATGTCTCATGACTTTGAAACCGGGTTGCGCGATTGGTGATGGGTGGCGAGAATTGGCAGAGGGGTTGTGGAAGATCATCGAAAAGGTACAACTGGAACTGTTCAAAATGGTGACTTCTTCAATGCGCTCTTGATCTATCGCCTGGTACAGATCGTCGGTGGCCTCAGTGTGGAGATTCTGAAAAGCCAGTTTCTTGATTCTGAGTCGAGATGACCCAGTCGATTTTTTAAAGTAGTCGTGAAGTCGGACGCAGGGTTTTTTGGAGTCTACCATTCGAGGCGACCATTGCATCCTCAGATCCTGAAGCTTCTTGCTGCAAAGCAGAGTCGAGATATCGTCCTGATTTAGTGTAGGGTCGATGTTGGTCACGGATAAGGCAACGAGGTGCGGCATGACGGGGACAACAGTGACAGGCTGCGTGCCCCGGGTTGACGGAAATCGCAAATGTAACTCTGAGATTTTCAAATTCGCTAGACCCAGATACACGGTGTCCAGCATTCTGATATCGAGTTCCCAGCTGTGAGCGAATTAGGTCAGCGCTCTGCAAAATTCGTTGGATTCGTTTCGAAATACGTTCATATCCAGCTATCGATACCTGGGGGCTAGCGGATGACGCGGATGACGTAGAAATCCAATCCAATTTCGATGCAATTCACGTACCTGAACTGTTGTAATCTTGTCGTCTTGTCTAGTGCAGCTCTTACGGCAATATTCAGAATCGTGAGGCGATCCATGACGAAGTCGTTGGAATGTCGTTGGATGGTATCCTCTTTCCAGACGCCTCGTAATGTAAGAGAATGGACCATTGGACCGAGACTGCCTCTGACCAGTGAATTGAGGCCAGTCGCGAAAGCGCTTCCACGACCACCGGTTGGCAGCTTCTGATTATGGGGGCTTTCTTCGCCCGTGCTCAAGACGAGAGTCTCGTAGAGAAGTGGCACAGCCATGTAATTGAGGACCCGACATGTTGAACATACTCGCGCAAGGTCTGCAGGAGTGTCTATCTGTATAGCAGCAAACATCGCAAGTCAGCGGACGAACTCTAGGGCGACACGGATGAGCAAAACCTGTGGCTCGATGCACTCACATATGAGACTATCAAGGCGATTATCTTCAGCGGGAGCTGGACGAGCGACGGTGGACGGGCCGAGTAAGGCGACTCGCTGCCAATGCTGTCGCTGGAAGTCAACATGAGCGATCTGATAGCTACCATGGCTGCCGGCCGTCTTTTGCGGGGCTCCGGCATTCCTTATGATGCAGTGAAGCTACCCCTGTATCCAGACTACGCTTAGAGCGTGCTTAGCCGACGTTAGCCACCGGGGAGCTGCATGCAAAGAGAAAAGAGCGCGGGGAGTCGTCGTTTTCGCGATCTGTGAGGGTCGTTGCTGCACTGTGAGTGGGTGGTGGGAGGGAGCGGGTCATATGGCGGAGAGTCGTGTTCTCGTCTCGACTCTCAGTCCGCCGCACTGAATCTTTCGGCGCTAGACCCGTGGACGGAGGCCTTGGCCCAATTGGCACATGGGCGGTGGGCTGGACGGTGGCGGCTTTGGCCGTGGGCGGCGCTTCGTGCGAATTGGAATCAAAGGGGGAGAGTCTGGGGATCGCGACTGGGGTGTGCTGGGGTTCCCCGCACAGGGGGTGGTCAGTGCTCCGGGGTCCGGGGACGCGGGAGGAGCTGGGGCGGGGCGGGCTTTCGCAGTCTTGGCTTTAGTCAGCAGAGAATGGTACTTCGGTCGGTACGAGTGCAGCTGCAGTGTCTAGTGTCAAATTTCACAGGTATACGCCTTTGTACCGATCAAGATGGTATATGCAATGATTTCGACAAGACGCCTATTTGCAGCTTTTGACGACCAACCCAGGATCGCTCGGACGTCACGCGGCGGCCTGCAACGCCTTGATCATCGGCCCGGAGTCCTGTGCAGCCGGATTAGCAATGTGCGTCTATGCAAGGTTTGTGCACATCACGTGACTCGGCACGGCTGCTGCACTGCGGATTCAGACTTACCCCCCACACCTGGAAGTATTTGATGCGCACGTTGTCGGTTCCCACGTCTTTGAGGACTATGCGCGCAATCAGGTTGCCAGCAATCTTAATGTCATTCTTGTGCAGCACGATGCTGGCGTCCCCGATTGCGAGCAGGTCTGAGCCGTCGTCCGTGCTTGTGTATACCTTGATCAGTGTGTGCACCCGCTCCTTCACCACGTCGTAGGCGTGTTCTCTCGAAACTTTGATTTCTATCGCAAGTCAGCCTGCTGCGGAGCTGCATTGGAGCTTTCTTTCCTGGAGTGGAAACGGGCAAGCTCAAACATACCGTCGAACCCTGTGAATTTCTCGCTGGATGTAATGAAAGTTCCGTCAGGCGTGAAGATTCTGGTGGCCAGCTTCTCCCCGGCGTCTGGTGTGTCCTCGTCTAGAATCACGAAAAAGTCGTCCAAGAGTTGTTTTGTGCTGGGTGCAACGCCGATTGACGGCCATTCCGTATTCGTGGTTGCGAGTTCTGCCATGGCTCCAGTCCGTGAAATGTGGGAGTAAGGGAGAAAAGCTCTGCGTCCTTCAATACAGAGAGGACAGTAGGTGGCTAGGCTCACAGGTGAGCGGTGTCTTGATATCTCTGTACCATGTCGGCTCCCACGGGAGTTGCTTGGCCCCGTCCCTCCTTACGGCTACGTGGATCATCCGAAGGCTTGCATGACTGACCCGGTAATTCTATTAAGGTGAAGCCAATGGGGCAATTCATTCACTGTGCGAGCGGTAGCCGCAGTAGCACCCAGGTAGCACCGTGCCTTAGCGAGCTGTGTTGGTGTTTCGCATGAATCCATCTTGATTGTTTCCTGGGTCACGAGGAGCATGACGAGATCGGCTCCGCATGTATATCCACCTTCAGGAGCTCTTTTCGGTGATAATCGGTCAAATGAGGGGATAACTTGTTCGGGCTCGTAGAGCACTTCTTGTTCATTGTTAGTCGTGGAAGCCAATTCCTCTCAACATCGTTATTACCAGACGCCTTTGAACTCCCTTCAGAGATTCCAGCAATTGGCATAGCCTTGCTCGCAAACATTGGCTCCTGTAATTACACAGAAGGATCTCACATGAAAGAGATGCCGAATTTAGCCACCCCGAGGCCAATGCCTGAATATGTCAGGATATCAATGTGCCACAGCGGCAAAGTTCCATTCGTTGCTTACACAACACATATCAGTACATGTGAGATAACATCAATTCATCACCGTATCTTCACTCGATCAAATACGCATGTGGAGCGAAGTTCAATTCTACGGAAACTCGAAGGCATCTTCGCTTCCGTGCGGAATAGCTATGAACCGGTACCCAGCGCTAGCCTCGCTTCAGTGAAGTGAAGTGGGTCTCTTCAACCTGGTTCCCACCTCTATTGGGCAAGCCGAGTGACGTCTGTTCTTCTTAGAGTTGAGCTAGACCAAGGTGGCTGGTAGTTTTGCGATTCAATTGGTGCTTACATACTAAGCTTTTCTCAGATGTTGTCATAAGCTTAGGATCAAAGTGGAAGTGTGCTGAGTGGCTCCCTAAGCGAGGGTTCGCAATTCGTTTGCTTCGGACTTGCAAGTATCACTGAAGTATCTTTCAGTCGAGTTCGGGGAATTGGAATCGTTCTCAGCCGTCCTACGTTCTATAATTCCCCTTGTATGAGACTGAACTTCCAAGTCGGCAAACATGGTGGCACTGTTGGCAGTCTGAAATCTATGACTGCAGCATTCTGTAGTTAGGATACGACCCGAAACTTCTCTAGTCAATGATAGAGTAAGTAGGGAACTTGTTATTCCAAAGGATTACCGGTTTGGCTGGCACGAAGCATAAAAAAGCTTCCATGAAGCTTTCGAACTTGCAGCCACGCTACCCGATATCGTGGAAGCACTCAAAGCCTAGCTTAGCCTCTATGCTCACGTTATTACTGCGGGGTAGGAACTTATGTCGAAGCCGTACAGGTGCCCGCACGCGGGGTACGTATGTAATATGGCTAGTAGACAGAGCTAGGCGTGCAGATGATTTCAGAAACTAAGATAGATTCTCGCATTAAGCTTTCCCATGAGACGACACATAGTACAGTTTTGCCTAAAGCATCCGCCCAACTATTAACTTCAGGTCTCAACGAACTCCAAAAAGCATGTCGTCACCAACAGACGCAAAAGTGGCATTGGTCACAGGTGGAGGTAATTTCCAGAAGCTCTCCACTACCACTTCATACTAAGAAAAGCCAGGATCCGGGATGGGCAAAGCCGTCGTCGAATACCTCGCCTCCGAAGGCTGGAAAGTCTCAATCGCAGACATCAACGAGAAGTCCGGCGCTGCAGTCGCAAAGGCCACCAGCGGGATTTTCAACAAAACCGATGTCTCAAACTACGATGGCATGCTCAAAGCATTCTCAAGCACGTTCGAGAAATGGAACCGCCTGGACTTCGGTCAGTACTCCACGTTTCCAAGCCATCCAGCATAGATCCTCTTGTTGACAACTTGCGAGCGTCGAAGTGTTTGCGAATGCTGGGATTCTAGATCCTACCAACTTCTACGCTGAATCCACCCTTCCCCCACCGAAACCCAGCTACAAGGCCACCGAAGTTAACTTGAACGGCGCGATTTACTCGGTGTATCTTTCGATGCATTACACGCGCAAGAACCCTGTCCCGGGCGGTTTCGTCCTCGTGACTGGCTCAGGTAAGCCAGCCACTCCCTTTCGCCATCAGCAAGCCAGTCGCTAACTCACCTTTCCCTTCCAGCCGCGGGAATCTACGCCAACGCCGCGATGCCCACCTACGGCGCCGCCAAACACGGCGTTGTCGGCCTCGTGCGCGGCGCTGGACGGCGACTCGCAAGAGAGAACATCAGGGTCAGCACGATCCTGCCGGGTCCCGTGAATACTAACATCACGGAGTCGACGGCTGTGGAGATTGTGCCTGGGGGCGTAAATCCGTTTGGGGATGATGTGTGGACGACGACGCGGAATATTATCGATGCCGCAATGCAGCTGTATAATGATCCGGAGGCCGGTGGAAAGGTTCTAGAGGTTAGCAAGGGGAACTTTTATGAGAGGGAGCAGCCGGATTGGGGGGATGAGTTGATGAAGAAAGTTTTGATGGGGACGGTGTATTAGATTGCCGTATCAGGAAGCTGGGTTGGTGAAGGTGATCTGAGAGAAGAGTAGCTGCCACGGGAGCGTAGCGTTGTATGCCAGTTCGCGAGCTAAATTTAATTGTATTGTGCTTCTTATTGATCTAGAGGAAGGAAAGGAGTTGTAGCAGCTGTAGAGCTCCTAACTTTCCTGCGTTAGAGACGTACCTGACAGTAGCAAGCGGGGTATAGATGGCATTTATGTCTTCTATCTGCATTAGTGTGCTACAACTGTCTAATTAATCATCAACTTGTTCGATCAAGATCGTTCAGGGTCGTCCAGGTTCATTCACTTCACAACGTCATTGACTTTGTCATTTGAAATCGTCAACTCGTACTGGAAATCGTATGAATGGTTCAAATGATGCACAAGTGAAAGTTTCATGGACTATCTGCACACTTCCTGGCTACAAAATGATAAAGAAAGATCACTTCCCATTCGGTTTCCCATTCGGTACAGCCTTCCCAGATCTGGTCTTGATCATATGCAACGCACCTAGGTGGCCATAAAGCAAGCCCCGGTTCATGGCAATACCGCTGTTGTACCCCCCTCCCCAATCCCGCCATGCCGCAGAGTTTCCAGTTGCATAGAGGCCTGGAACTGTTTTACCCGCCGCATCAATGACATTGCCATTGGTGTCAATTGGTAAGCCTGCCGTGGGTACTCCCATCGTGACACGCTCAAGTGGGACAGCGTAGAAAGGACCTTTCTCGATCTCTCCAAAACTAGGATACTTCCTCTTGAAGTCTCCGGTCATGATGTGGCCCCATGGCACCTCTCCTCTGGCAAAATCTGGATCCTTGCCTGTCTTACAGAATCCATTCCATCGGTTCACGGTTGCTTCAAGTCCTTCTGTATCAATGCCGGTAGCCTCAGCTAATTCGCGCAAGGTATCGGTCTTGGTCGCAACGCCTTCAGGCACTGGTTGACCAGGGAATCCAGGAAGAAGGTTGTGATCGTCAACGAAATCTTGGTCGAAAACGATCCACGCTGGCCAATTTGGCGTTCCTTGCTCTTGTCCATCGAAACGGCTCACTTTGGTCGCAATATCGGGGTAAAAAGAGTCATTTCCAAATCTGAGTCCCTTTTTATTTACGACGATCGTGTGAGGGTACCCAGGAGTGTGTAGACGACTAGCTTGTCGTCCATATATGATCTCGCTCGGCACCTTATAGCCAATGAAGATCGGTGATTGCGTGGGAGTTCGACTTGGCATGGGGAGGACTCCGGCCTTGGAAGCCATAACGATGTGATCACCAGTGATTGTTGGCATGGTCATGTTTCCTGCTTCTGGAAGAGCGTCAAAGCTCTTGACGAAGTCTTTTCGCCACTTCCGAAAGTTAGTAAAAGTGATGCGATACTTCAGATTGAACGAACTCACGTCATAGCCTCCTGTAGCCAATACCACTCCTAAGCGTGCCCGGATTCGATGATCGCAGCCCGGAAGACGAGCAACGACGCCAGTCACAACTCCGTCTTCGATCACCAACTCAGTGACTTCCGTATCCGTATGGAGGTCAATACCCAACTTCAACGCTTGATACACCTGTGCGGAGGCTAATCCCGAACCCGCACATCGTTCATCTTTGGCAACATGGCGTTGAATGCATGCCCCCATACTCTCTCCATTCCGAATCTGGGCTTTGATGAACTCACCCGAGGTCGAGTAGCTATAGTAGAATCCGAATGGCGACGTCATCACCTTGTCCTTCCACTCACCCAGCTTCTCGCTGGGAAACGGCTTAATTTCCAGGTACCGTCCTTCGACCGCGGATCCCTTCACGGCGGGATAGTAGTAGTCTGGCAAATCTCTAACAACCTCGAGCTCGAGACCAATCTTGTCGGTGAAGTATCGAATGCACTCCCGACTCCGCTCAAAATACTGGTCGCGCATCTCCGGCGTGGAGTGCCCTTGGCCCAAATGTTCAATATACGACTTCGCATCTTCAAGTGAGTCTTTGATTCCAGCCTCCTCCGAGATGTGAGTAGGACCTGGCCATAGCTGCCCCGATGAAAGGGCCGTTACACCACCTAGTTGGTTGAACTTCTCAAGTACAATCACTTTTGCGCCCTCTTTTGCGGCTGTAAGGGCTGCTCCCATGCCACCAATACCAGAGCCCACGACCACGACATCGTATTCATTGTCCCAAGCCATTGTCGCGAAGAGGACGAAAAGTTAGAAAAATATGAGATTTGAAGCCAGCCTGACTATCTGCGATAAAAAGCAGGAACTAGCGTACTATGCATATTTCTCATTTTAAGTTCCCGCAACGAGATGAAGTCGCACGTGGCTGACATAATATGTGAAAGTGTTAGCGTGCACAATTTTATGACATTTACCCCGGATCCGAAGCGTCAATGCGCGATATGGGTTCCCCGCTAGACTACCCCGCACGCGATTTTGGTGTACTAGTATATCGGCTACCCAATTCTAACGTCCGCTGGTGGTGAGAAAGTGCCGGCACGGATATCTGCAATCGCAAACGGATGAAACATGACCATAATCCGTGCCGGAAGTCAAATTCTTAACACACGCTTTTCGGAGGCAGTCCAAAGCCGTTAAATCCATCAATCTCCAGATCAGTAGGTTCGGCTTATCAAAGCTTCCCAAGCGTTCCAGTGGCTTTCACACCCCTGATAAGTCTTTCATTGCTTCGACTTTGCCAAAGTTATCTACGCACGAGCAAGACGAATTCTCCGATATAGTCTCAAACCCCATTTCGTTATCACATTTATCGAATTATTTCTATGGCCTTTCCAGCTCTCACAACTACTCAAATCAGCTTGGACACCCCAACTCTCGAAGACCCAGCGAAGAAGATGCCTAGTTGGACCAACACCCCCAGCGGCACCATGGCCGCGAGCGTGCTCAGCGCGTTCTCCAAGCCCAAGCCTTCGGACTGTTTCACGTACGTTACGGACTATCCGAGGCCATCCCTGCCATCTAAAGACTGGGTCCTGGTCCGCGTCCATGCCGCAGGACTGAATCGCGCCGAGCTGCGCGCAAGAAACCAGGAGCACGTGTCCAAGCTCGAGTTCGGCATGTTTATCGACGAATTCCACGAGAACCACCCGAAGATTATAGGCGAGGAGTTTGTTGGGGAAATCGCAGAAGCCGGGACTGACAGCGGATACAAGGTTGGCGACGCCGTTTGTGCATGGGCCTACGGTGGCGGCAAGGCCTACGACGGTGCTTATGCAGAGTACACCATCTGCCACAAGAAGCGAATCTGGCCGCTTCCAGACTCCGCCAAGCAGATTCCGTGGGATGTTCTTGGAGCAGTGCCCATGGGTCTATGGACCGCATATGGTTCGATATTCCACGCAGGCCAGACGAAACCAGGCGACACTGTATTCATTCACGGAGCCACCAGTAGCGTGGGTATTTGGGGCATCTTGGTTTCCAAGAATGTGGGCTGCACCGTTATTGCAAGCACGAGGCAAGAAAGCAAGATTCAGAAGCTGAAGGATGCGGGAGCCGACCACGTCGTGCTCGAGAAAGACCTGCTGGCAGACCCGGGCCTGATCAAGAAGCTAGTCCCGGGAGGTGCGAATACCGTTTTAGAGATTGTGGGACTTGGTATGCTGAAGCCAATCGCATTTCCCGCGTGTGCTATGTATGGTACCGTTGTTTCAATGGGTATTTTGGGCAAGGTGTGGTCGATCCCGAACTTCAATGCATCGTTCGTTCCAACGACTCGCAAGTTGACTACGTACACCACCCTGGATGAGGACTATGAACCTGCGAAGAAGGTACTGGCAGACACTGTGGAGAAGATCCTGAGTGGTCAATACAAAAAGGAGCAGTTCTTGGATAGTGTATATGACTTGAAGGACGTTGGTAAGGCGCATGAGCGAATGGAAGCGAACGAGGCTACCGGCAAGATCGTCTTGCGTTGTTAGTTGAAATACGTAGCAGTAATTGCAGTCTATACTTCACTCCGTTCGCTTTGAAAATATATCCCTCGTCACTTACATGTAAGCCAGAATCTTTCATTTTCACAATATGTCCAGTCTTAAAACATCAAGTAGCTAGCTTTGACATCACGGGAAAATTCATGAGAACAATTCAGATGGTAGCAAATGCCATCGATTCATTTAAAGACTTTTTGGGGTGAGATTGTATCAACAGTACGGCCGTATCGTAACCTAGTGTAATCCGTGCATGACGTGACTGTAATCTGCAGTAGGGTCCAGCCCGTTCTTCGCATACTCTACCAGTATCTTATCGAAGTTCGGGAATGTAAAAACCATAAACTTCTCCTGTCGGACACCCTCAACGAAATCTACCGCCGCTACTTCTGGCGCCACTCCGTTGTTCTTGAAGTACTCGTGGATGGCATCGGTGAATTCTTTTGGTGCGTTTCCCCCATTGAATGCGGCGCCCGTTTTCGTAGCATCCGGATATATCACTGAAACTCCAATTCCATACTTCTGCAAGCCTGCCTTCAGGGCCTGGCTCAGGGAGATGTCTGCCGCTTTACAGACGTTGTAGGGCAGTCCGTACTCGGCATAACTGCTCGGTGGTGTGATACCGTTTGGGGAAGATGTGTTGACAATCCATCCACTCTTCCGTTCGATCATTGGAGTGAGGAAAGCCTTCACGATGCGAAGGTATCCCAAAACGCTGACATCAAGCGCCTTGCGGATGCCATCGATCTCGATGTCCTCGACGCAGCCATTTGGAGCCCAGAAAGCATTGTTGTGCAAGATATCCGGGACACCAATTTCTTTGATAATCTTTTCTCCTAGGTCTGCTACGCCTTTGTCGCTGCTCAGATCCACCGTGAATGAATAAGCTGGAAATTGAGTGAGTCGTGAAACGAAGTCAATATGGCTTTCTGCATACCCGTATGGCCCGCTTTCTTCAAAGCATCAGCTGTCTCGTGCACCGTCTCCAATATATCCAGCAGAATAATTCGAGCCCCAAATTTGGCGTATTCGGCCGCAACAGCTTGTCCAATTCCACGTGCGCTTCCAGTCACCAAGATTAACTTGTCCTTGAAGTCGAGGACCATGGTGGCGCTAAGCACGGTGTGAAGTTCTGGATATGTTTACCTGAACTGTCGATAAGGTAGCGTCGTGTGGAAATGATGAATGAATGTATGAGACTGGCGCAGACAATATTGGGCGAATAAAAAGCGAAAGGGATCTTTGCCCGATGTCACTTTGCAGATGCAATCTTCCCCAGGAGTATTTGGGGCGTTCAGTCGAGACTAGGGTTCTCAATACAGCTTTGTTCTGGGGTAATGAAGTACATTGTGTGCAACTTTGTGAAACTTATACTCAGTTTTATGGATTTATGCAGAGATGGAATATCCGAGCCGGTGAGGCTACGCCAAATGCAATTCATGTGGCCCGGGAACCACGTCTAGGCCTCCCGCAGCGGGTAGCGGCATATCAAGGCAATAGCTACCCCGGTCCTGGAAATTCTCGGTGAAAGGTAATCATTCACTGCGGGAATGCTGGTCTCGGAGCTGAGTGCATACCGACTGTACGGCTGGATCCCAGACCTGATCCCATCCGGCCCGCGGTTACGGTATTATCCGGCTACATTCGTATCTTATGCCATGAGGCGTCTGTTGGGATGGTACCATGTCATACGAACTAGTCGACTCAACATCATCTAATTGGTTGGCTTACGTCTGAGTCCGCACGGTTCCGGGCCTCGACTATCATTGCTATTTGCAATCACTCCCATGGGGCACTCGTGGTATTTGCGGGGAACTTGGGGAAGCACTTGGCTTTTCTGGGGAAAATACCGAATTGGCGACAAATCCTTCCGTCCTTTAGTGCGCCTGCAAATATATAGCATAGACGCTATTACAGCTGACATTCACTCTGTGTCAACTCGACTATTCACTTCGCCTTCCCCCAGTTTTGGATATAAACATCCGCCATTATGTCGATTTCGCCGACGGAGAAACAATCTCACAATATGGCGGCTCCTTCTCATATCGAGAAAGTGGAGCAGCCGACTCCTGACGAGAGTGTGAGCCATGAGGATGAAGCACATTACAAGTTCACATGGGGCATGGCCTTTGCGATTGGGGTATGTAGCCTGGATACTCACATAGATTCATCAATTCTAACCATCACAGTCACTCATGCTTGGTTACATGGCCGCTGTCTTTGCGATTCAAATGTCAGCTTCTGTTCTGACACAAATCAACAACGATATCGGTGAGTTTGCTGCCAAACGAGATATCTTTTCAAACCCTGTTTACTCTGAGTTCCGTTCATGAGCCTCATAATCTAACTTCAGCCGATAGGACCAAGTACCTCTTTTGCCTGGCTATCTACCAGTCAGGTTCTTCCAGTCGCGACGCTGGGACCTATGGCTGGACGCCTGAGTGATATCTTCGGTCGACGAAATTTCATTCTTTTCGGGAATCTATGTGGCCTCATCGGGTGCGCGATATGTGCTACCGCAAACAACATCCCCGTCGCAATCGGTGGCGGCGTTTTCATTGGCGTTGCATCTACCTTACAGCAACTTGCATGGACCGCCGTCGGCGAGATAGTCCCTAGGAAGTATCGAGGTCTCGCACTTGGACTTTTCGAGATGTGCGCAGGTAAATGATATCATTGAGCCCCCGAAACGACATTGGTCTAACGGTTTATTAGTGCCGCCGGGAGCATTTGGCGCTATAATGGGTAAGTGATGATTACCTTCAGGGCATTATTTAGAAGCTTACATGCTCGGCAAACAGGTTGCGCCATTGGGAAGTATAGTACATGGAGATGGGTTTTTTGGGTTCCATTCATCCTCAACACGTGTGGTCTCTTCGCCGTGTTCCTCTTCTACCGACCGAAGAACCAGTGTGTAAAAGCCCTTCCGTTGTGTGAAACGTCGCTGATCGTCCTTAGATACATCATTGAAGAAGGAAAAACCAGACGTCAAGAACTCTGGGATCTGGACTGGATAGGCTTCTTCCTTTACGGCAATGGCTTGCTATTCCTGCTTCTTGGAATCTCGTTCGGGGACAACGTTTTCCCGTGGTAAGTTTCGAGTCGTTTCTCTCATTGAGAAAGGGTCTGAGACGGCTAACGGTTACATAGGAAGTCTGCTGGTACAATCACGATGATCGTTCTCGGAGTCGTTCTGCTCATCGCTTTTGGGATATACGAAAGATTCTGGGATCAGATTTTCCCGCTATTCCCGCCCGTGGTTGTGCACAAGATACGCGGTGTCATTTTCGTAAACGTCGGCATCTTCCTGTTCGGCATGATGTACTACTCTGTGGCAGTTCTTTGGCCACAGTTGATCCAGGGTTTGTACACCACCGATCTTCTGAAAGTTGGTTGGTATGCGTCTTCGCTCGGTATGACTGGAATCGTCTCCTCGTTCATCACCGGTTATGTGATGACTCGTTATGGACACGCTCGACTTATTTTCGCCACCATCATCGCCATTGGAACTATCGCCGCTGGGTGCATGGCGATCAGTAAGTACTATATAAATACTTCAAATCGGCTCAGTGCTAACAGTTCATCCAGAGCCCCAATCGTCGACAGCGTGCGTGATTCTGGTTTCACTTCAAGGATTGACTGTCGGTGGCGGTATGATCGTGTCCACCGCAATGATTCAGCTAGCTGTAGAACATGAGTATATCGGCCTCGCTACTCAGATGGCCGTCACTGCTAGGAATGCCGGAGGTGCCGTCGGTACCGTTGTCTACACTGCAATCTACACGGGCCAGATCAGAAAAAACATCAAGCAACGAGTGGCTCTGCCATTAGCCATGGCTGGAGTTCCTCCTACGAGCCTTGCCGCCGTGGTTGGAGCCCTCATGGGTCAAGCTCCACCATCTGTTCTCGCAGCTCTTACCCCTGAGCAACTTGGCCTTGCTCTGGCTGGTCTAAGGCAGGCGTTCATCCACTCTTTCCGAGTCGTGTTCCTGAGCTCTATCGCTTTTGGGGTTGTTGGAACCGTCGCGGCGTGTCTAACGAAGGATGTTGACCAGTAAGATCCCCACCAGTGAATGCCCCCGGAGATATACTGACATGCGCTACAGTCTCATGACCAATAAGGTGGAAATGACTCTCGATGTGGGTGCAAAATTCACCTCCAATAAGACCGACACTGGTGAAGGACATGTCATTGGAATTGAAGAGCAGAAGCTACACACCAGGCACAGGGTTTAAATCACGGCTGCGAAGGGGTGATCTGATGCGAAATGTTGGCCACTTTGCCTCCTTTTCTAGTCATCTCTCCTGTTCAATTCATCCGTTGCTTGGCCCATGTGCTCTCAGCAGTCGTAATCATTACATGTTCAGCAATGAGTGGGTCGAACGTACCGTCGTACTATATAGACTCGGTTCATCGCAGATAGTAGTCCCACAGTAATGTTTTACCACTTGCTAAATATCTTGAACTACCGCATCGCTTCGATGGCGAGCTTCTTTGGGTTTTTTGAGGCTATTCGTCGTTGGATGGTGGTATATATATAGCTTCAAGCAGCTACGGCTCAACTCAAAGTGCTAACGTCCAATCAAAGGAAAGAGAATTCGATTTGCAAATACTAACAAATTGATCACGATACACGCCCCTCTGACCTCAAAGATGTGAGAACGAGACCTGCTCGTTTCAAATGGAATTCTGATAAGATACACCTCTCCGCCTTTATATAGAGCCATATGTCGAGGAAGGGCATATTTAGAGTATATACTCTGGTCCATGTGTCTTACTCTTTCGGTGCGAGTCGAACCACGATCATTCGGTGGTGGTGAGAACGGATATGCGGATGCCATAACGCTCGTGCCCGAAGTTATGTAGCACAGCGGCACTGCAGCAATAAGCCATCCGGCGGGCTTGTGACTGGCCGACAAGGTCGCTCCGAATAAGCCTGTATTGTGCATCCGCCGGGAGTGCCGGTGACCAATGCCCGGTTGCTGATTTGCGGTCGCGCAGCACTCGGATATGTTCAAATGTAAGGCAAGCCGTTGAAGGCTGCCGTTCCTTCTTTCGTCTCCTCCTTTATCGAAATCTCAGGCGACATTTTGCGCGTTTTTACTCTGAAACTAATTCTTTCCGCAAAGTCGTTCCACTGAATCAATCCGCAAGTCACGCTCCTGAGACTCATATTCTGGACCACACTTTCTAGGCAAAATGCCTAAGGATTACACATATGCAGAGGTGTCGGAGCACAACAGTCCTGGGGACGCGCTGCTAGTGATAGAGGGCAAGGTCTATGACATCTCAACCTTCGCCGAGGACCACCCGTACGCATAATTTTCTCATGCCCACTATCCCACACCAATGCCTCGCGTTCATTGTTCCTAGCCCGGAAGCTTTGTTATGAGATTGGGGGCCTTCTGTGCAGTACTCAACATGTGAATTCTCACCTTACTAACTACGTCTTGTTTAGTGGCGGCGAACCTATCATTCTGGACCAAGCAGGATCGGATGCAACAGAGGCATTCAAAGATGTCGGACACAGCGATGACGCAAGGGCGATTCTGCGTACTTTGCTAGTTGGAACCTTGAGGCGCACTGTAAGGAACACGACAGTGGAATATCCTAAACAAAGTCAATATACTGATTTAATTTGGAACTCAGGCCGGTGACTCAGGAGGTACTGCGACCGTTCAGAAGATAAAGCCAGCCAAGACTACTTCCAGCTCCCTTCTTGGAGGACCCGCGATCGGTTTCATAATACTGGCTGTGATAGGCGTTCTGGTAGCACGAAAGTATCTAGCATAGTATGAAGGTTCTTGACATTTATCTTAGAGTTCACTTAATCGAATGCAATTGGGAATATGGGGAGACTTTCCAAACCGTAGAACCAGCTTTTGAGACCATTCCACAGTGCGTGACTTCAGTGCCAAGGATACCAAGATAGAAGAATGACCACGCAATGAATGCCTTCGAGTTCTGGCATTGCCCTATTGATAGTAATTGAGACTTTCGAAAGTGTGGGGCGTATCGTGACGAGATTAAGATCCTGGGGAACTTGACCCCCCATGTGATACTAGCTAGGTCTACTTGGACCCCACAGTCGGAGCGGCCCAGACAGCTTGGAAAATGCTATGCATACTTCAGCCCGGCAGCACAGGGTCTAATCCGTGCGGCGTTTGTGCACGCCTGGATACCTCGCTTACCCCTTTCCAAATCCGGTACTTTTCGGCACGTCACGGGAGTATCGGCTGGACCAGACGGCACGGAAGGAAACGATGCTAGCACCCCGCAACGGATTCTCCATTCCCGAGCCCCAGACGCCCCAGATTCTATGCGGCGCTTGAGCTGGGTACACATGCTGGCGTGACAAGCTCGCCATTCCAGGACGCGTTCCGCAGCCGGGGGCATATATGTAATCTCGAATTTCAATGCAGATCCAACCACAACTCTCAACCTGTTCCTTTGTACATTTTTGCCAGCCTTACAGCCCATCATGGTGGTCGCACTCACACAACCGGATGAACATCGCTTTGCGATCATTGTTGGCGCTGGAATCGCTGGAATCGTGCAAGCTTGCGAGTTTGTCAGGAAGAAAATCATTCCTCTGGAGGAGTTCGCAATCATCGACAAGAATGACGGCTATGGGGGTGTCTGGTTGACGAATACCTATCCGGGATGCGCGTGCGATAGTGAGCTCAAGCTGGACGCATGATTCAGTGGGACTAAATTAACATTTTCCGCAGTTCCAAGTCATGTTTACAGCATAAGCTGGGCAATGAACCCAGGTGAGCTAGCACCCTCTATTCCCGTCTGTGAGATGAACTGCGCCATCTAACATCCTCGTAGACTGGGGTAGGAGATACGCCCCTCAGTCGGAGATTCAGAGGTACTACGCAGAGATCGCGGAGAAGCACCGGCTTCCCGAAGTCACGACATTCAGCACCAAGGTCGATTCTGCAGAGTGGAATGACGGCTTACTGTTGTGGGTTCTTCAAACAACAAACCTCAAAACCGGAGAGAAGAAGACTTGGACATGCAATGTGGTATGGGCAACTTATTCTATGTTGAATGATAGAGGTCGCTAACAGAGTTTGCCATAGCTCATGAGCCCTACCGGTCAATTCAGCGTCCCGAAAAAGGCTCCCATAGAAGGTCTTGACAGATTCACTGGTGAGGAATGGCACACCGGTTTATGGCCCAAGGACGCTTCCATCAAGGGCAAGAGAGTTGGCATTCTCGGTACTGGTCCCTCAGCTGCGCAACTTCTTCCCAAGATCTACAAGGACTGCAAATCACTCGTCGTCTATCAAAGGAGCCCTTCATTCGTGCTGCCTCGAGACGATTATGAGGTATCGGCTCTTCAAAAATGGATCTTTCGGTACGTTCCGCTAGTGATGCGACTTCACAAGTGGTATGTGTATCAAATGGTAGGTGATATAAGCAACGAACTTGTTGGACGGCTATGTTGACACAATTCTCAGAGCGCTTTCCTCAACAGACACGTGTTTGTCGTTGGCTCGTGGTTCCAAAAGAAGGCCATTCAAATGGCTTGGGGACATCTCAACAAGCAGGTCAAAAACGAGGCTACTCGAGAGAAACTTCGGTCACATGACAATTTCGGATGCAAGAGACGTAAGACTTTTCATTTCTCACTCTCAAACGTATAGCTAATATCAACCAGCGTTGTTGTTAGATGACTACTACCCAATATTCAACTCTCCACACGTAGAGTTAGTGACAGACCCGGTTGTCGCTTTGACAGAGCACGGCATTGTGTCTAAGAGCCCCAAGAGCAACGCCAAGACGGAAAAAGAAGTCGACGTTCTGATCTGGGGAACTGGCTATCGGCCTGCGGAGTTTGGGATAGCTTATCCTTGCAAGGGACGAAGCGGAGTTCTTTTGTCCGACAAATACAGACCGGAGAACTTCTCTCTCTACGGTAAGTATGATTCAATAGCTCAAATTTCTCCAATCTGACGAGATGTGAATCTAGGTGTCGCAGTCGACGACTTCCCGAACTTCTTCACCTACCTCGGACCGAATAGCTTGGCCTTCGAAGCCAGCGTTATCGACGAGTTGGAAAAGCAATCAACGCATAACGCGTTAGTAGCAAAGTATGTCTACGAGAAAAATAAAGGGAGTTTCAGATTTGCTGTGGAACCCCGCGAGGATGTCGTCAAGACCTGGACGTTGTCACTGCGAGATGGGCAGGCAAAACACCCGGCAAATGTTCCTACCTGCCAGAGCTACTACAAGGTCAGTGATGCTCCCTTCTCCCTTGTTTCAGTTCCTTGGTACTGACTGGTCAAAAGTCACTAGAAGGAAACATCTACTTCTGGCCCTTCGAAATATCGAAGTACTACAAGATCATCGCAAACCCCAATCTCAAGCGCGATTGGCGGTTGCTATCTACGCGACCGGGTCAAGGAGTGAAGATCTCTGACGTCGACTGAGAATGATATGATATAGTTGCGTTTGTGTACAGACTAGCTTTGATAGGGAGGGGAGATGGTGGTGGCTTGATATCTCATTTTCTTTGGGGACATTGGTTCAATTGATGTAAAAACACGCACGTGTTAGCACTTCAGGCTTGGGCAAATGCATCAGAAGTGAATTTCAATCGCATTATTTTTTCCTACTCTGACTCCTCTCGTGTGCCTTATGAAGCTGTCATGCTTCAAGCTCCTAGACGGTGTTGATTTGCAGCAAGCATCCACAGATCTACGCAGCGTGGTTAGTAAACCGTCCGATTGATTACCGGCCTTAAGATTAGATTAGACTATTCAAACCAAGATAGGGATTAGATTGGATTGGCCGGATAAAAGTGCGGATTGATTGGACGGATTGAGAGATCTCTAGCCAAGACCTCAAAAAGAGTATAAATCTTTCCGCTTTAGGCTAAGCGAGAGAGAATTGGAGCGGATTAGACGGATTGAGGATTGACAAAGCTTTGGATTGATTGATTGGACTGTTAAGAGTATGTTTTAACAAACCGGCCATCAATCCGATTGAGGATTGGACGGTTTACTAACCACGCTGGATCTACGAGCATGCATCATCAATTTGTGGCTGAAGTCTAAAATATCCCCATGTGTCTCAGGGGAAAATCATTCTTCAAAAGACAGCCTTCACTCGCAACCAGATTGTGTGTTCAGGAAATGGTGATCTGGGTAGCAAATCGAATTCTTTGTTGTGGTACACCTACTGACTCGAAAGCGAAAGACATTTAGCGTGAACCGTATCTAAGCTAATTGATTTCAAACAATTTCGAGGCCAGCTTTCTATAAATAGCATCCCCTACTGACAGGCAACAAATAAATCACCCCCATCAACTCGATTCATGGTTCCTTGGGCATTCTTTTCAAGTCCGTGAAGCTTCATCGGCCCTTGTGAATGTGATCCAGATCAAGAGACACCTCCGGAGTTCTCGACTTGTACAACATAATCGCCTCCGGATTCGTCACATTCTCAAGGCCATGGGCCCTGATTAGGGGTTGGCCCTGGTCTTCTGGGAATTTGAAGTCGTATTGCAGCAACGCGTAGGCCAAAAGGATCTTGATCTCGTTGGATGCAAAGAAGCGTCCAGGGCACGCATGCTTTCCATGTCCAAATGGCAGATAATCGTCTCCGGTAGTCACGAATTGGTGCTTGCTCTCCTCTCCGGCGCGTTGCCGCATGTCGTAGAACCGACGACCGTTGAATACTTGCGGGTTCTCGTAGTATTCTTCGTCGTAGAGCCGGGTGTTGGGGACGGTCAACGCTGAGCCTTTGGGTATCACGGTACCGTCGGAAAGAGTGATGGTCTCATTCGCGATTCGATTCACCGTCACTCGTGGATAGTTAGCACTCGGAGTTAGTGGGTTGAGGAATTCACATACTGAATGATGCGGGGTGCATGCGGTTGCTCTCTTTCATATAGCTGTCCATCATCTTAAGTTGATTGAGAGTTGTCTTATCCCATGACTTCGCCGAGCCGAGCACCTCGATGAGTTCCTGTCTCAAAAGCTCCACTGAACCGGGGCTTCCGACGATGTTGTACATGCAATTCGTGAATGTGATTGAAGTAGTGTGGACTGCTCCAAGGGAGTAGTTTAATTGCCTAGCGTTCCTCTATGTTAGCCCTGGTGTCCATTATTTGATCTAACTATGGTCGATGACGATGAGAGATCATACCCATGAACGGCATCACACATGTCTCCAGTCTTCTCGGTGATAGCATCCATCCATGCGAATGCATCTGAGTACTTCTTAGGCTTCCGGCCAGCTTTGATATCCGCAGCACGCTCCTTTCTACGCGCAAGAATAGTGGGCTCTATAATGCGACGAGCAGTTTCTACATCTTCGCGCAGCTGCTTAGTCTGTGGCAAGAACCAATGGACAATCGGTCGTAGGATCGGGGGAATCGCTCTCATGACGTATCCTCCTTTGCCGAAATGCAGGGTGTACTCGACCGAAATGCGTAGCCAATCTTCATTCTTAGCAAGCTCTGGTGGCATGAAAGTGCGTGCGGACAGTCTTGCGATAAATCTAAGAGCTATGGCATTGAACTTGACAGGGGTCCAGTCTGCTACCTCATCAGTATTTCTCGTTCAATTGTGAGACACCTTACGGGAGATTTACCGTCTGCTGGAGGGAAAGACTCTTCGTAACATTTTTCAGCTTCCTCTGCTAGCACGTGTACTACCGTTGCTGCAGAGCATGTTAGATATGACAAGTTTAACGCAGTGTCAAAGACATGACGTACCAAGAGACTGCGTCAGGCCCATTCTCACGGAGTCAATGAATACATTGTTGTCGACAGCCGGCCTGGAACACATTAGGACGAGACGTATAAAAGCAGATACGTGAACCTACCTGAAACCTTCAAATCCAGGATAATTTGTAAAGAAGTCCTGTCGAGTTTGAGCAAGACAACAAGCTTTCGGAAAGAGGCACAAATTACCCTTTTTAGCCAGCTTTTGAAAGTCATGCGCTCGTCCGTCCGAACCTCCGAAGTCATATGAGGTGGAATAATGATGAGGGGTCCGTTCATCCCGAACACCTGGAAGGGGTGCTTCCTCTGTATTGACACAATGTCAGTCGCCAATTCAGAGATTCTCAGAGCATTCGCTAGACCATCTTACCGTTCGGACAGCGTTGTTCACGATCTCTTTGGCGGACGACATCCATCGTTTCTTCGCTTCAGTGTAGTCCTTCTCGCCGTCTTGCTTACCGATGAGGGGTATTCCAGAAATCGGTTTATCGTTCGAGTTACCAAAAAAGAAATAGAATGAACCCAGTAACACGACAGTAGTAACGGCGAGTACTCCGACACCCCCCAGGAGACTCAGAGGGCCTAGCGAAAGGCTGTTGCTTGAGGAAGCCATTATGATCAAGCGTGTAGGTGTTTGGGACTTCTCGAACGCTCACGCTTTGTGGGAACTTATATCTGGACTGGGCGGGAAGCGACTGAACCGGATATATGCCTACTGCAGCCACCGGCTCATGCATATCTTGGTTGGTGTAAGCTCCCAGGGTTGTTGTCGGCTTAGGTAGCATCCTCTAAAAGCCGTGCGCTCTTTTTGCACTGTGCTCACTCGTACGAGCACTGTAGCCAATCACACGAGAGCGAACGTGTTAAGAATGGTCAGCCGTGCTTACCGTAGCGAAAATTTATGCAAATGCATAAAGGCAACATGGTTCCGGCCACGACTAGCGCATGGGGACCCCAGAAATGCCTTTCGGATGTTTCTGGGGCATGAGATGCGGGGAAACGCAACCGGCAACTGCCCCCCTCCGCCGGTATAGCAGGGATTCCAGCCACCCGAGAGGATGCCGTCCGCGAGCACAACTCTGGACATGGCTGGAATCTTTCACGACATCGTCCGAAAGGGAATCAGTTCCCAGCTTCATTCCCTCTACGATCTTGGACCTGCAGCCACTGACATTCAGAGAGTTCGTCATGGCTGTTCCCTCACTGAACGAAAGTGTGGAGACATATCCTCACCCAGGCTTGATGTTATTGGCCGCGGGAATTCTCGGCGTGAGTAATGACTGACTCTCAGAAGCATTATTCTACATACTCAGGTCTTAGTTCTGGCTCTACTACGTTTCCACTGCAATATACTGTGTATACTTTCATCCTCTATCGCATATACCAGGGCCAACTTTCGCCAAATTCTCAAAAGTCCCGTTTGCGTCAAGTCTTGTCAGGGGCAGCTTTCACGATGACATTCGATCAATGCACGATAAATATGGAGAAATCATTCGCTTCACACCAAACCATATTTCCTTCACCAACCCTGAGGCATGGAAAGACATGTATAACTACAACAGCGCCGTTCCCCATTTCATGAAGGACAAGATGAACTATCTGACCCCTATCAATGGAGTTGAGAGCCTTCATTCCACTCCAAATGACCTCGACCACCGCCGTCAAAGACGTTTCTTGTCTCATGCCTTTTCCGAGAAAGCTTTGCGCGAGCAAGAGCCGCTGGTGGTGTCCTACGTCGATCTTCTCGTGAAGCGACTAGGCGAGGAGGTCGATGGACCAAACCAGGGAAAAACGGATCTGGTGCGGTGGCTGAATTGGACAACCTTTGATCTTGTGGGGGATCTGACCTTTGGTGAACCCTTCAATTGTCTAGCGAGCAGTGACTACCACCCTTGGATTGCAATGGTGTTTGACTCGATGCGTGCCGCCATCTGGATGGTTGCGTCAAAGCAGTTTCCAGCTCTGGATTGGGCTCTAGAGAGGTTGATCCCCAAGGCCGTCATGCAAAAGATGCACGATCACCACAATCTGAGCGTGCAAAAGATGGATCGCCGTCTCGCGACCAAGACCGAGCGTCCAGATTTTGTAACATACCTAATCGAGAGATCTGGAGGCCTTGAAAACATCAATCTTCCTGAAATGCACTCCAACTCCACTCTTATCATTCTAGGCGGCAGCGAAACGAGTGCCACGGCTCTTTCAGGGGCTATTTACCACCTTGTTCGGAATCCAGAGAAGTTCGAGAGACTGGTCAAGGAGGTTCGCACGAAGATCAAGACGAAGGAAGATTTCGCGCTGAATGACCTTGCGCATTTGCCCTACCTAAATGCGTGCTTGGAGGAGTCTATGAGGATCTACCCACCGGTGGCAGGATACCTACCCAGAACTGCTCCCAAGGAAGGCTGCATGGTTGCTGGATACTTCGTTCCTCCATTTGTATGATTGAATACACTCTCTTGTGTTTCCTATCACTGATCACTTCATCTCAGACCCAAGCCTCGATCACTCCATGGGCCATAACTCATTCCAAAGAAAATTTCAAAGATCCGGACAAGTATTTTCCTGAGCGCTGGCTCGATGAAGGTATTTATGGCGAATTTGCGTCGGATAAGCGTGCTGCATCCCAGCCTTTCTCCGTTGGTCCCAGGAACTGCATTGGGAAGAAGTGAGTGCTCGAGTTGGAAATCGATCTGGGATTTCGTACTGATTTTTTTGGGTAGTCTTGCCTGGGCTGAAATGCGCTTGATTTTGGCTAAGCTGCTCTGGAACTTTGATATTACCATTGATCCGGAAAGTGATAACTGGACCCAGCAGAAGACGTACATCCTGTGGCAGAAGCCTCCACTGGTCTTGAAGCTGCGGCATAGGAGCTATGGCAGTGAGAAATAAGAAGGGAAACGGCACTCAATCGTCTCGTGTTTCTGATACGCTCGAGTTGAAGGGGAGATGAATGTAAATAGGAATTGAGTAGTTTTTCGAGACCTGTTCTCTCCATCTCGATGAATTAATTACCACGAAGTTCAACGTTTGAAGATAGCAGTCCTTCAAAATACTCATAATAACCTAATCTGCACCACTACAGTCATTGAGTCAAAGTCACAAGAATTTTACAGAGTTTCTTTCGAAACTAAGACGGCTAAACCCATTAACGCATCATAATCATGAACTTGAGAAAAGGGTGTGCAGTGGGCACGCTAGATACACGATATTCTTAGCTTGAGATCATGGCATAATCGTGCTGATGGGAGTGGTGGATAGCACGGCAAGATCCAGCACGCCGCGCGATTTTATGCACACCTCTCGGAATCATCTGATCCAGACATGCCTGGACTCGGAAGCCCACGCCCTGACCCCTCAGTTCGGGAGGCTTGTATCCGCCCCGCAGCAAGCTCGATATTTCTTAAGGCTTGCAATAAAACCCGTGCTAAAGCCACCTTCAATTTTTTCTGTGCGTATCTCTATCCGTCTTTCTCAAAATGGGGTTCGTAGACGATTTCACGTCCTTCAAGCTTGCCAGCCCAGCGGGACTGGTCCTCATACCCACTCTCGGCATTTCCGCTGTAAGTTATTTCGCAATGCTTCATCAGCCTCAATATGAAAAAGTACCAATCCGTCGTCACTAGATCTTGAGCTACTACATCATCATCGGGCTGTACAACATCACGTTCCACCCCCTCGCCAAGTACCCAGGTCCAAAAAGCTACGGCTTCACGCGTCTGACATGGTCTCTGGACGTTATTTCCGGAAAATCATGCTTCCGCCTCGCCGCCCTCCACGACAAATACGGCGAAGTCGTCCGCATCGGCCCCAACGAGCTCTCCTACACCAACTCGAAAGTCTGGAAAGAAGTCTTCGGCTCGCAGCCCGGCGGCAAGCCGCAAATGCAAAAGGATCCCCTCCACTACCAGAAACATGATAAGACGCCATCCTTGCACGTGTCTGGGGACGCGGACCACACGCGCATGCGACGCTTGATAGCCCATGCGTTTTCCGACAAGGCTTTGCGCGACCAGGAGTACATCATGCAGAATTACTCGAGCTTGTTGATCAGCCGATTACGGGAGGTGAGTGCGGGCGGCACAACGGTGAATATCCGCCAATGGTATCACTGGGCCCTGTTCGACCTCTTCGGGGATCTCTGCTACTGCGAGCCGTTTGGGTGTCTCCGGGACGGGAAGAGTCATCCGTGGGTTGATATCATCGGGGAGTCGATCCAAGCTTTCGCGTATATCGGACTCGCGAGACGGATTCCGGGGCTGCAGAAGCTGCTGTTCAAGATGATGCCGAAGAAGAAGATCGAGCAGGCGGCGTGGCACACGAAGTTCAGCAGCGATTTGGCCGATAAGCGAATGGCGATGCAGACGGACCGACCGGATTTCATGAGCTTCTTGCTCAAGTATAATGATGAGAAGGGATTGTCGATTCCGGAGATTCGATCGAACTCGAATGTGTTGATTCCAGGTGGGAGTGAAACAACTGGGACGTTCTTGGCGGGGACGACGTGGCATTTATTGAAGAACCCCGATAAGATGAAGAAGCTTGTTCAGGAGGTGCGCGGAGCTTTTGCTACTCAGGAGGAGATCACAGTTGTCAAGTTAAACCAACTGAAATATCTTACGGCTGTTATCGAAGAAGGCCTGCGGGTCTATCCTCCAGTGCCCTCGAACATGCCTCGATCGATTCCACCAGAAGGCGCAACAGTGTGTGGGAAATGGGTACCTGGCGGAGTGAGTTCATTGACTTCAATTTGCGACTCCCTTGCTTACAATGACAGACTTCCGTTGCCATAGCACCATGGCCAATGTTTACGAGCGCCGCAAACTTCTCCGACCCGCTCTCCTTCATCCCTGAGCGATGGCTTGGAGATCCGCTCTTCGCGCACGATGACAGGGCCGCATTCCAGCCTTTCTCATCTGGTCCCAGGAACTGCATCGGAAAGAAGTAAAGTCACCCCTCGTGTTCACGATTCCCAAAGCTAACATATCGGTAGTCTTGCTTACGCGGAAATGCGCATGGTATTGGCAAAGATGGTATGGAACTTCGATCTTGTATTGCAGCCGGAAAGCGAGAATTGGTTCCCACACGAAATGGTCGTCGTTTGGAACATTCCGCCTCTTCATATCAAGCTGATTCCGGTGGTACGCGAGCCTGCAATTACCGTTACCGAGTCGTGAAGATTGTATTCTCTCGGAGAAAACTTTTGTTCAGACGGATGTATGCTCACAGCTACTACGTTTGTTAGGGTAGCAAGGGCTTGAGGTTACAGAGTTTTGAGGAGGTACGATAGAGTATAAAGCAATAGAAAAACTATATCACTAGAAGATTGAATACTCGAGCATTCGGTGTGACAGTCTATGAGGAGGTAAAAGCAACGGTAAAGAAAGGACTCCGGCTCAGCTCTTCCGCGACCCGGCAAAAATGCAAAAATGAATCGAAGCATTTACGTGAACCGTGTGGCATCAGCGGCGATGTGACCACCTGAGTGGTGAGGGTCTGTCTAGCGCTTTCTGAGGCAAATACACGCGTGAACAGGCTTTGGTCGAGTGCTAAGAGTCTAGGACTGCTTCAATTATGATGGGTCCTTGATGGAGTTGTGATGATGGAGACGAACGAAGAGAAGTGTCCAAGTGGACAATTGCTCAAGCGAGGACTGGTTTAGTCGGCATTTCACGTAATATAGCAACATGTGGTTCATAATAACTACCAAATAGAGTAACTGACGGATCTATTCTCTTCATAAGAGTCTTATAAGAAGATCTAGGGAAGTGACACTATACCTCATCACAATTTTGTTCACACTCTTCTGCCAGTGCGTGTAGCGCTTCGACACACCGACACCCTTGTAGTGATTCGGGGCGAGGGATACGATTTTCAACCGGGGTACTCCCTTATGCTGTTGTTTGGGACTGCATGCCCAGTTTAGACTTCCTCAACTGGTTTATCAACATGAGAAAGGGTCGAAGGACTGTATGAAGGCGTATGTACCAATACCGAGATGGCTTACCCTGTATCGTAGTATGCAGAGCTTCTTGCGCTTTTAGTTGGTCTCTTTCCACCCAATCTTCTCTCCCTTCGTCCGAGACTTTCTCTTGACTTAATTGCTCACTTGTGTATGAGCATGCCTCGCTTTGCATATTGAGTGCCCGACGTCAATCCCTATCCAGACATCATCTATTCAATCCGAAAGACTCGCTAATGTAAGGCAAAGCTACCCTCTCTTACATTCTTACCACTTAACTTCATAGCTTCACCATGCATAAGATCGTGAATATACGCCTCCCCGATAATTTTGTACGAACCATCAGTACTGGGACGCAGAATAAAGGGAACCCGCCCCCCTACTAGAACACAAATAACATCCCCAGGAGCTGCACCTCCGGGAACAAGCCCCAGCCTGCCAGCGGCAGTACAGCAGAACCGCCTGTACTGCGCCCAGCGGATGACCGCCGGCTCGTGATAGTTTAATAGTCGGGACATTGCCGATACAGGATCTTTGAACTCGAGGAACCCATCGAGCGGGACATAAGTCCGCCACCCGTAGTCAGGGATGCGAAACCCCAATTGAGTGGCTGCAACGGTGAAGGCATAGAGCCACTTTCTTTCAAGTGGCCTCCCGCTGGCGTCCATACCGCAAGATAGGGTAGGCCACCACATCTGGAAGACTTCGAACGATAACGCGCCGGTACCCCGAGTGGTGATCATAAGGGTCTCCCTGAGCCAGTCATTGATGCGTGTGTAGGACGAGCCGACCGAAACTGGTTGCCCGCTCATGTTCGGATCGTAGTAAGGCACTATCGCGAAGTTCGCCACGGAGCCTACTTCCTTGATCTCGTCCACCTTCCGGCCATGGACGCGGAGTTCAGTGTTGTTGTCTTCAAGAGAGACACTAGGTTGGTTCCGCATGCTTGACACCCCTCGAATTGTCGATTCGAAGGCTGAGCTATCTGCGTGGAACACGTCTCGTTGCTTCAGCCGAACTGTTAGCCCTTGGGTCCATGAGGCTTCGCTAGCGGCGCTCAGTAAGTTGGGCATGACTGGCAGAGGATCGGCTTTGTTTGACCTTTTCAAATCGGGGACCCAAGATGGTAAGGATAGCGTAGGCGGCATTAGCGGGTCAGGTGTGAGTGCAAGAACCTGCAGATCGCGTCGTTTGGTGATGCTCCAGAGAGCAAACAGTTTATAGACATCTTCAGTAGGACGCGAGTAGTCGGGTGTGACCTCCCAGTCGGTCGACTCGACGTCTTTTGCCAAGCCGACGAGTGCGAAGACCTTGTCCCTCGGATCAGTACATTCGAAACCCCTGGTCAATAGTACAAGGTCAAGTAACGTGTGCCCGCTTGTTTTGCTTTGATATTTCGACCTCATCAGATGCATAGTCAAGAGGTTCGTTCGTGCGGTGAGCGTGTCTGCCGGCGGCGGTCCCAGCTTATAAGTTTCTTTCGCGTACTGATGCGGTATGATAGGCCAGAGAAAATCAACAACGCCTTTGAAGACGTTCCAAGAGAGTTCCGAGTTGCCGCACATTACGACCGCGCTTCGAGCACTCGCCAGCTCTTGAGTGACCCATATGCGCCGAAACCAAGAATGGCGAAGCAGCTCTGCAATAGGCTCCGTCCGTATTTGCCCGGAAATCAACAGCGTCGAAGACTCGGATACTTCGCGGTCATTGGTAGGCTGTTCGACGAACATGTTCTCGAAGAAACTGTGAAAGTCGTCATCCCAATCTCTCCAGTCTTCCACGTTAGACAGATACCCAAGCTCTCGAGCCTCGTCTACCCAGCGAGACACCTGTCTTGGATATTCGGCACAAATTGCACGGATCATCTTGAACGCTCCGCGATTGGCATCCGTCTCTTTGCCCAGCCAGATCAAAACTCGTTGCGCAGTCGAGTAAACATCTCCTATCTGCAGTACTTGATGCGTTCGTTCTTTAATGTCGGCTTGATTGATACCTAGAGCATCGATCCAGAGTACTCGCTCACGATCCGGAAGTCTGAGGCCCTCCAGTGCCTCGAAAAGATTGATCCCAATGTCGACCTCCGAGCCCCCGCAGATGATATCTCTCTGCTCGCGGCTGTCTCCCCAAACATATGACAACGCCTCGAACTGTGGACCATCTGTCAGACACACATGTCGCAGCTCACAAGAAATCTTCTCCTCGCCTTTCCCGGGTTCAATAATGAGCAAGCGGATTTCATGCTCGAGGAGAAGAGGTTCGTATCGGGGCTGTCTACGGGGCTTGCGGGCTTGCTGCCATTCGTGAATCTTCAGCCCGACGGTGTTTTCGAAAAGGAGATAGGCGAGGGATAAAACCATGCAGACTGGAACACCGAGCATGATCAATTTGATTAAAAATTCGAGTGCGGTGGGCGGGTTTCCTTTGGAAGAGAGGTATCTGTTATGTCTCTCATCTTCTTTTCCTTCTCTTATGTCTTTCTCCACTCGCTCGATTGCCCACTCGATCAAAGATGCCATTTCGGGGATCTTGAAGTGTTCTCCGATGAGCTTTCCCATCCCGGGATGTAGTATCATGCTGTCTTTAGTCTCCCTTTCAACCCAGAGTCGCCAGCGCTCCGTACGGAGTCCTTGATCGGCACCGGAGGACGAACCGTCTTGATGGATAAGATCAACGCCGTATATCTTGTCCAGGTCCGTAGATGGCGAAGGTCTAATAGCATTCTTCTTAAGAAGTAACTCGAGGTGACGGGATCCATGGAATGCTGCACAGATCAGTCCCAAAAGGTTCTATTGAGGAGAACAACAAACCTTGCCAATGCGACCATGCCCTGAACACTAAGTAAAAAAGTGGAAATTTAGGTATTCTTATCTCGGTCAGCTAAATGCCAAGGAAAATTTGCTGTACTCGCTCACATCGGTACCAACGCAAAAGGCATCGCAAACGGCAGGCCAGCATAACTCCAAAACATGCGATCCGAATGCCTCGACTGGCCCTGAAGCGCGTACCGCTCCAACGTCTCCCTCAACTTCTCTTCACTCATGAAGCGTGCCGGAAACAACACCTCGACACTCTTGACCTTCCCATTCACGATATCCACGCGTCGTTTCCTACTCAAGGGCGGGATACTCTTCAGACCCCATTCTTGATACGGGATCCGTTTCAGAAGCTGATTATCTGTGGCTGTTGAATTCTTCTTCCAGCCACCGGATATGTTTTCCCAGTTCACCAATGTCTGCAGCGCCTGGCTTTCAACGCGCCTCACGAGGCCGTCAAAGACGGAGTGTTGACCGAGATTAGATTTGGAGATGCACTGGCAGTATATGAGGGAGTGACGGGTGGAGATGGGAAGGAGGAAAATGCGCATTTTGTAGCCTCTGCTGCTACCGGGAAGGGCAGGTTTGTGCGGCGGGGCAGATTTCGCAACTCAACGCGTCGTGCGTCTTTCCAGCCTGCCAGGCCGCGCACCGCTGTAGTATTACAGTCCAAGGCATAGTTCAGCCTCAGCCTCGTGGGGGAGGCGGCAAGAGATTGTGGGGGTCAAAAGCCCCACCTCTGCTCAAACCCCAGAACTCTCCTCCACTGACCCAAGATCATGCCCGCTCCCCTAAACTTCTCAAAAGCGTCAAACCATCCCTCGTTCGGATCTTTCTCTTCCTCAAATCCTGCCCTTCTGCACTTCTCCAAGCTCATTTGCCTGTCGAAGTCGAGATAGAAGCCATACGAATCCAGAAACTCCGCTTTCCATATGAGAATACCTATGCCGTTCTCTTTCAGCGCTTTTTCATGCCTATGGGCATACTGACTGGGCAAAAGAGGCGCTTCGCTAGACTCAGAGGCTGGGCCAACTCCCACAAGCCCGAACCAGGACGCGATCTTGGGCCACCGATCGCGCATGCTTTCCGCTTTTGCACTGTCTGCAACGTTGATAATTTGACTCGCGGAGACCTCGGGGTGGAGCGACGCCCAAATGGCGAGGCGGGCGATGATCGAAGAGGATGCTTCGTTGAAAAGCGAGTTGTATGCGTTTTCGGTGCCGGGAAAAGCAACGCTAGAGCCGGCACTTTCGATATTGGCGTAGAGTGAGAGGTAGGTGGCCCAGTGGGCGGTTAGATTGTAGGTGGAGCCTGTTGGGGCGAATCCGACCTGTGATACAAAAGATTAGACGTACTCTGGGCTGGATAGTGGCGGTACTCACGACGGCGTCCGGACGAACGTCGCACCAGGTCCATTGCTTTCCTTTGCTCTTCTCGGTCAGGAGATGCTGGAAAGCGGCGTAATGGATGCTGCTGTCGTTTGGGTTAGGAAGAATCATATCTTCGGTGTACGGGGCTTTGAAAGGCTTGGTTTCGAGATGGATGCCGTAGCCCTGCTTTCATCAGAACCTTGCTTCCAGAGTGACTTTCTCATACTCGCCAGCCTACCTTTGAGCCGCTAGGAATCACGATGAATTCAAGCTTCGGATAAAGTGCCGTCAGAGCACCCATTGCGCGCTCAAGCATCTTCGCATTCTCCGCGGTCTCGACTCTCGAATTATCATCCTGCTTGTATGCTGGCGATGTCAGCAGCACCCTTTCTCACACGTTCGATTCCCTCACCGAAGTAGTAAACATGCGTCACTGCCTCTATTCCTACCACTTTCTCCTTCATTACCTCGGTGAACTCCTCTATAGTGCCAGACGCAAGATTGATCCCAGAGATGAGCTGAAGTTCCGGCCGTGACCGATCTGGAGTTGGCCAGTACGAATTCTCGATGTTGAGCGGTCGATTGACCAAAGCCGCTACTTTGGAAAAAGTGGAATTCTCAGGATAGCCTTTCAAAAGCTCATCCACGAGAGCCCAGCCAATCAGCCCGGATGCGCCGAAGACTAAGGCGTGCGCGCCGGAAGCTCTGGAGGTTGACATATTGAGCTAAGATAGAAGGGAAAGTAAAGATTGGGGCACATGGAAAAGCGAAAAGAGATAGAAGATGAAGACAGATGGAGTGGGGACAGAGTATATAAAGTACTCCAAAATCGTAAGTGGTCCAAAGCGGTCCAGCCGGAGACTATTCGTCGAAATGACTCATTTCTACATAGGGCTCTCGTTTGAGTAGATCCCAACGTACAGACCAAGAAAGGTAGCCACGAAGTTGGTGTCACATATCAAGTCTCAATCAATCGAAGGAGGGTAGAACGCGTTAATGGACTGTGTGGTCTCGACAAGGATGATCTATTGATGGATAGGTCGAGAAGGCGGGGTATGCTAATCCAGACTACTGGCCTAAGTAGCCTTTCTCGAATTATCAAACTATCACCACACATGACAACGTCCAACAGGAGGTCGTCTCCCCTATCAATGAATCGCGCCTCCGAGGACAGCGTTGACTACTCCTCGGCAACGTGTCCTATGTTGTGCGATCTTGTAGGTGTCCGACGCAATGATGAGATTTCTGGCAAGTTCGGAACATTATGAATTGAGTAGCTTTTCTTCTAAGCGTGCGTATTTAGAGCTCGATCTTTCCAACTCAATCTTTCCAAAGCTAGGAGTCCGTGACCCTCTGCTTGCTCAGGCCTTGACAATTTCAGGAAACCTCAAGCAGATGAGGACAGAGTCGATCTCGACATAGATTTCATTTCCCCTTCGCATCGGATTTCTAGTCTTTCATCTTCGATGGCGGCACATCTTCGATGGCGGCAGCGGCGAGAGCCCTTCCATATGATCCAGAAGGATGGTTAGACGAATTTAAACACATGTGATATGCACGTGATTTATCGACAAAGCTGAGGTAGAGCAGCCAGCCCTGAGCGTGGCCATGTGCAGCACATCGAAGTACGTCGCTTCAAAGGTTGAAATACTCAAAGAAGGACTCAAAATTGATCCGACATGGCACAATGGCAAGCATGGTCAATCAAGCAAACCATCTGACAAGTAAGTCGCGCGCGTACTTAAATCTGAGTCTGGTTCCACATTCGAGCTCCTTGTAAGCAACATCCTCCTATATATATATACGACACGAAGTCTAAAATTGGTACCCGGCACTTGACAAAAGCAAGGTTGACGGAGATGGCATTCGTCCGCCAACTTGCCGCTCCGGTGAACGGTGACTCGAGAGCCCGCCCATGAAGTTCACCGCGATGCTACCGCTGCTCTCAAAATCTGCCTATATATTTTGCCGATACTAGGGGCTTTTTCAACAAACCAGTCCCCCACACACCACGTCTCAAAACACCACCATCGACACTCCAACTCGCCATGGCACCCGCCCTCCATACCATTCCGAATGAGATGCTCTTGGAAATCTCACAATGGCTGCCTCATTCAGATCTCTTCAGACGCACTCCAACATTCGCGTGTTCTTGCAAGCAGAGTTACACAAGCCTGCCATTATGGACAGGCCCGGATGTAACCATACGTCTAGCCGCCACAATGCGGTTTGCCCATGCAAGCACGTGCCAGCTATGAAATGGACTATTCACTACGATGACCATCGTCTACTTGAGTATCTACTGCGTCACCAAACTAGTGGCAAGTTTGAGAACAAGCATTGGCCGGCTGTTGATTGGGTAATTGAATATGGCTATTGCGAATCCGAATTCATCGTTGTGCTTCTACAGTATGCACAGCGCCTTGGCAAAGACCGTAATATCCTCAAAAACCAGATGACAAGCTTGCTGGAGAGTCATGTTGGGGGCCTTCATGCTTATAGAGTGGAAGCTCATAAGTCCACAAATCGAGCTCGATATCACTGGGTATATGTGGCGACCAAGGCCGATCTGCAAGTGGTGAGTCCCCATGACATACTTCTAAGCATTATGCACATCATAAACAACCCTAACCTCTAACAGGTCAAATTGCTACTCCAGCTCGGAGCAGATCCCATAGGTTTGTCAACCTTAGAAACGAAATGGTCACAGCACGCGATCCAGCCATCTTTCCCTGTTCCCCACGTATTCAGAGTTACGGTTCCGAACATTCTTAAGGAGTTCATAAAGTACGGGGCGGATTTCTCCTAGTCTTCAGGTGCGGGTACGGGTAACATACTATGGAACGCCGTAGAAAACCATCACTACCCTATCGTCAAAGCACTGCTCCAACCAGGGATGAATCCAAACGCCGGCAGGCCAACCAATATGTTCCATCCGCTGAATTGCGCACTCGCCTTTCCTCCGATCCGATATGCTATGAAATGGACTAAGATCGAGCGCCGAATGATTGCAGAGCTGCTCATTGAGAAAGGCGCCGATTCCAACGTCCCTTTCCCTGACGGTGATTACCCAATTCATAAAGTCGTCGAAGACTTTCGGGAAGAATACAGGACCGATGTGCCCGACGCTGGCCACGATCAAGACTTCAAGAAGATGAGTCGCGAGCATTTCACCCTCCTTATGTCCCGCTGCTCAAACATCGACATCCAAAACAGCGAGGGAAATACGGCTCTCCACATAGTGCTACAACACCGATACTACTCGTGGAGCAATCTTGGTGGTCTGGGGTATGCGCAGATGCTGCTAGAAGCGGGTGCGGACCCATTCTTGCCAGACCACTCGGGCAAGACACCATACGAACACTCCCTTGACGTCTCCACCTCCTCAACTTCCAGCGATTGGACCGCCTTAAAATTCCGTACCGACGACTTTTACACTCTCCTGCATTTCTTCACTTCATGCGCGCTCAAGTCCAACCGCGTGCAGCTAATCCCGGCAAAGCTCGTATACGAGCAAGCATACGCCGAACACTGCCTTAAGCTGCTATTGTCCGCGGATGCCCTCGATGCGATGGGCAATACGCAAGAACGACACAGCAGTAAGCAAGTACTTGCTACGGCACAATGCAAGCGGCAAGTTGGAGAATGGGACTTGGCCGGCTATCGACTGGATGAACGAATTCCCGGACGATTGGGACACTGAATTCGTCATCCCTTTTCTACAGTATGCCCAGCAACTAGGAAAGAATAATAACGTCATCGGCAGTCGGATCATGAAACTGTTGGAGACCTTTCTGGGTCGCTTTTCAGTTCGTATCGACGGTTTGCTCGATAACAGTACTCGCCGCGATCAACCCATATGGGCCGCGGATGAGAAAGTGGGAAGACTTGAGCTTGAAGCGGTAAGTTGCTGTACACCCCGTACGCATCAAGCCTTCGCAGAGTCGACTAATGACTAGTAGGTAGAATTGATACCTCGGCTTGGAGCTGACCCCATGGGCCTATCAGCTTCAAGTGTATATTGGCCACGACGTAATATAACGTTTCCGTCACCTGTGCCTCATACATTCAGAGCTCAGTCGCCAAAAATTCTGAAGCTATTCATTGAACATGGGGTAGACCTTACCTGGTCCTTTGCCGCGGGCAACATCCTACATCAAGCCGTAGAAAACGACAACGTACCCATGAACAAGATCCTACTTGAGGCAGGAGTGGATGTAGATATCAGTGGAACTAGCGATGGCTTCACTCCGCTCAATCGGGCACTTGTTCTCACGCATCTCCCACATATGTATCAGGGACCTAACAAACTGGAGCGCCGAATGATCGCTACCCTTCTCATTCAGCATGGAGCAGATGTCAACATACCCTCTCCGGACGGCGATTACCCGATACACAGCGTCGTCAAGCATTTCCACGACCGCTCTTTTCAGTATCTAGGAAGCAGTTCTGTAAGTAGAGTTGTTGAGTTCTTCTACCACTACGGCGATTCCGACAAGATGGGCCGAAAGTATTTCAGGATGCTCATGTCTCGGTGCTCGAATATCAACGTCCAGAACCGGGAGGGAAAGACGGCCCTTCACGTCGCTCTACAACGCAAAGCGCCCTTCCCTTACAGACCAAACGATTTAGGGTACGCTGAGATGCTTCTAGTTAAGGGAGCGGATCCCTTTCTACCAGACTCATTTGGAAAGACACCATACCAATACGCTCTTAATGCCTCCAACTGGGGGGCGGATGAATCTGTCGGCATGCTCGCCCTCAACTGCCCTTTCAACCAGCTTTACGATCAGATCCACTTCCTTACGGCCATGGCGCTCAAAATTGACCGCGTTCAGCCGATCCCAGCTAGACTCGTCTACGAGCAAGCTTTCGCGGAGCACTGCTTGAAACCACTGCCACGCAAAATCTTTCCGCCGTTCCCTGCATATGCAGGCCAGCCGCCACCACGCGAACTACACATCGACCCGCGAATTGTCAAGGTCTTTCTAGACGTAATGCACGCGCTAGAGCAGTTCCCTCCAAAGGTAGGACCCATTGGCTTGAAAAAGCTAGACAGGTCGTTCTGGAACCAGTATTCGGAAGGGATTATAAACCCTACTTTCAAGGCAGACGTCCACATGTTGGAGTGGCGAGAGGAATGCCAGGGCTGGCCGGATTGGACGCCGGAGGAGTGGCAGAAGTGGCGGGATAGCCGGTGCTGGATGAAGGAGGCAGAAGGTTGACGAGTGTTTCTACCTGACCTCTAGACTATGTCAGGGGCAATCGATATATTCTCGATGGCTCTGAATGAAGCGTAGAAACCGAACGGTAAGTGCGTTAAGCTAAGAGTATCCGTGCAAGTTTCTAAGATAAGGGAATTAAATGCACGCTGGTTCTTTCAAGTTCTCTGACTTCTTTCTTCAACATGAGCGAAATGCGACTTCTCCGAAAAAACTCCTCTCTCCGGAACCTTATGACTGATCTACAACAGATAGATGCCGCCTTACAAGCAAAGCGATATTTATCTAGGTAGGTATGGGCCTGGCTGCGATATCGTGTCTATTTGATGCTCTACAAGAAAAACAAAGCAGCAAAAGAGAACCCCGGCGATTGGGCAGCATAAGCACTCATTCCAGCAATGCTACCAAAAGTATCGATATACTAAAATGGAAATTAGAGTCTACGTCTAATCTCCAAGGATGAAATACCAGCCATGCACAAAGCCGAACCTCATTCAACAGAAAATGAGATGATCTATACAGTTCTCTTAAGACCACTCATCCTGCTCCGGGCGCGGCGTCTTAGGTCTCTGAACGGTCTCAGGCCTCGAACCCGAATTGCCAGAGCACTCCCTACATCTCAAATGATAATCGTCCTCTCGGTGATTATAGCACACCTCCGCCCCAACATCCACGTACACCTCCTCACACTTACAGCACCTCCACCACTGCTTTGGCGTTCCCCTTGCCGCCATATCCCGCGGTCTCTTCCCATCCGGTGATGTAGTCCCATCAGCGGTCGCACCAGCTCTGATCTCTGCACTCTTCTGTTCAATCCTAGCAGCGACGCCGGGGAGCATCTCGCCGTACGCGTTCCCGTGGAGTTTCTTGTTTGCGGGCACTGGGGCCCCTGAGAAGTCGTACGGGGCGGGTTTGAGCCACTCGGGGTGCCCTTCGGGGAGCTTGGCAACGGGTTTGGATTGGCGCAGGGCTTCGTCGGATTTAGACTTAGATAGCTTTTCTCCTCTGCCTTTGGATAGTATTCTTCTCTTACCCTTCGCTGGCGATGTTCCCTTTCCCTTTGGGGATTCGCTTGAGGACATGTTGGAGAGAGAGCGCGGTGCTTCTATGTTTCGAGGGTCAGTTACTAGCCTGGAGCTGAACGTGATGGATTTATACCGATGGATAGAAGGGCAAACAGCAAGCAGGAAATCCGGAAAACCAAGGCAGTTAGCAGCGAGTAGCAGGTGGTATTCCGCTTGTCATCTCGCGGTCATTCGTAAACTTCCACGGCCACAATTTGAGCTCCGGCCCCTGACCATGACCTCAGAAAGCATACGTGACTTTGCAATCGTTATAGCCGTCGCTAGGCGCACCACCACCTTTTCCTATCTGCGCCGCCTCTCCTTCTTCACCGCATTGTTATTGGTTAGACAAGCCAGGCCGACACCCTGCCTAGAGCAATTCACCGGCCACTATACTTCCATAACAAAGGAGTCTGTGTAGCATTTTCTTCAGTCCGTCGCCACTGGAAATAGCTATACAACATACAGCTAGCCCATCAGCTCGCTTGACACGGTGTGTTGGCAATGTTGAAATGGATGAATCTTTAGATGGACCTTGGATGAAATAGCCCTCCGAGGAGTCGGCCCGGCTGATCTAGCCTATAAAAGCCTGGTAAATAATAGTGGAGGGGAGTGGCATACGTAGAAGACGAGGGTGGTGCGTGTAGCAAAAGAGTGGTGCATTCAGCAACGGCCATCGTACTATAAAGCATCGATACAGCAACTCAAAATCAGTTTCAGTCATCCTGTGATGTCTACTTAGAAAGCATCTCGTGCGCTGCAGAGGTGTTCTTGAACGACGTTCTTGAAGTGAGAGGGGTAATTTGGGATGATTTCTAGCCGCTTGGTTACGTGAAGAAATGGGAGTACGTTAGTAGGTGCACGTAGCGTACCCTTGTAAGTGCCCTGCGCGTCTACCCAAAATCATCTCACGCGGTTAGATTCGTGACTCCTAATAAAAGGGACTATGCTAGGGACACCCAGTGTACCTCCTTACCCTCCACGTCTACTGAAATACTTCTTGCGCGGTTAGATCCGTGACTTCTTCTAATAAAAACGACTACGATAGGTGCACGTGGCGTATCCCTTTGCGTGCCCCTTTACGTGTTTACTAAAATTGCTTTCACGTGGTTAGATTTGTGACTTCTTCTAAATAAAGGGACCACACTACGATAATACAGTATACCCCTCCTTGTGCCTTCTATATCTGCTAAAAATCCTCTTACGCGGTTAGATCCGTAACCTTTTCCAACATTAACGTCCACGGAAAATATCACGATCGTAAGCCTAGACGATCGAGTGAATACCTTGCGGCTATTGAACAATTATGACAATAACCTACGGCAATTAAAGCTAGTTAAAAACCCGCAATACATCTCCCAGCACTCCAAGCGCTGAACGGGAACAGAGAAATAACCAGCCTCAAGAACACAGCCACCACCTCACATCACGCCTGGCTCCTCCTTCAACTTCAACACATCAACCCAAGTCTCCGGCTTCCTCCTCCCGCCCTCCAGCCCCGAATTCACCCACGCCTCCCCATCATACCCGAACTCGATCAGCGCATCTTCACTGCCCCACTCCCCGTTTCCAGAGAGGCCGATGGGGATCTTCCCCGTGCCTGCTACGGAATCTACATACCCAACCGGGAACTGAATGCACGGAATCCCCGTGAAATTGGCGAGCCACACATATTCCATATTCCTTACGGTCATATTGCCGTCGCTGCAGCCGTATTTCAGATCCGCTTTACCGCCCGAGATATGCCAGCCCGGTATCGGGCTCGTGGGCGTCACGATAATAAGGCCAGGGTGCTTTTGGAAGAGGTACGCGAGATGCTCCATAATCACCGTCCGCAATTTCTGCGCGAGCAGGAAGTCTGGCGTTGGCGTCTTTGAGCCGACCTTGATGAGGACCTTATTCGCGGCTGTCAGGCCCGTGACATCAGGCACGGTAACGGCAACTTCTGCGAGAATGGTCATGGCGTGGGCGAGCTGGCCTTCGTGGATGAAGGGGAGGGTGATGTCTACGATTTCGTAGCCGAGCTTGCTTGTGAAGTAGTCGAGGGCTTTTTCGCAGGCGGCGCGCACTAGAGGGTCTGCGCGGTTGAACCAGGTTTTGTAGATGCCTAGTAACTTCTTCCGTTTGTTGGAGTGTGCTTTTGGTGGCGAAAATACAGAAGAGGAGGGATTGGCAGGATTGGGGTTTGCCATGACTTGATATGAAACTTCGAGATCAGCCATGTTACCAGCCAAAGGGCCTAGGACGACTGTTGTGTTTGCAATTGAGGGTGAAGGGCTGGAGGAAACTCGTCCGTGTGAGGGCTTGAGTCCGTATACACCGCAAAAGCTTGAGGGTATGCGAATGGAGCCTCCACCGTCCGTTCCAATTGCGAATGGTATTAGTCCAGCACCGACAGCGTATGCGGCTCCTCCTGAAGAGCCACCGGTGTAGTAATTCTCATTGTATGGATTCAAGGGCGTGCCGTGATTTGGATTGTTGTTGGTGGTGTCTGAGAATAATTAGTTTTGTGAACAACAAGACCCAATTCGTACCCCACAACGTAGCCTCTCAGACCTTCACATCTTCAGGCAATATTGATTTGGTAAGCAGACATCACAACCTACCCATCCCTAACTCATGCATATTCAACTTCCCCAGCACCACGGCTCCCTCCTCCTCCAGTTTCACCACACACCAGCTCGTCGCATCCCTCTTGCTCGTATAATCCCTCAGCGTGCCATTACACCTCTTGTACCCCTTCAAATCCATCTCATCCTTCACAGCCACCGGCACCCCATCCAGCACCCCCAACGGCCTCCCCTCCTTCCACCGCGTCGTCGCCGCCTCAGCAGCTTTTGTCACAATATCGACCCTCGTCTCCAAAAAAGCGGTCGAGTGTTTCGTAGGCGTTTGCGCATCCCGCCGTATCAGCGGAAGCAGCGACTCGACGACATCCGTGGGCGTCAGCTTGCCGGACTTGTACGCGTTGTGGAAGTCGGCGACGGAGTAGAAGCGGAAGGCCACGTCTTGGGGCAGAACTCGGAGGTTTTGAGGGTTTGTATAGGTATGAGGAGCTTCGTCGGTAGGTTGTTTGAGCGGGATTACGGTGGGATCGTAGCGGTTTTCGACGTCGTTGAGCTCTCGGAGCCCGCGAAGGACGGAGAAGCCTGCATTGTTCCAGAGGTAGGTTTGGAGGGATGGTAGTGCGGCGACTCTGTTATTGTTAGCTCAATTGGAGGGATTGGAGATGGGGAGCATACATTGAAGCGCCGTAGTATAGTGGGAGGCCTCTGATGACGGGGTTGGAGGGAGGTGGGGGAGCTTTGTACGGAACTTCAAGCGATCTGGGAGTTGGATAATTGATGAATCCTGGCACCGCAGAGTCGGACATGACTAGTGAAAAGTACTAATTAACGGGTGAGAGCTTCGCAAATTAACTTTATACATTCGCAGATTAATCGTGCGGTTGTTGACGCCCTTGGAGGGGAAAGAGGTAGAGTAAGCTGAAGCTCCTCGAGTCAGTGAGATACACGGGTATTCATTCCTAAGTCGCTAAATGATCAATCGACGCGTCCTCCAATATCAGCAAAGTGTGGAAGCATGTATAGAAGAGCATACGATGTGCGGGGAGATATCGCATGTTCATGAGGAGGCACTGTTTAAGGATTGTCACATGCTTTCTATCATTCAAAGTCGAAACCAGTTACTACAGACAGCCCAGTTGCCTACTGCGCCCATTTTTGAATACCAAGGGAACGCATCGCCAATAGGCATAAACATGATCTGTCGTACGGATACTAATGTACGTGTGCCCTCGTCTACCGTTATGAAGTTCCGATAGCGTATACATCGAGGGGGTGGTTTAGGCGATGGTGTAACCACAATCATCCGAGCGATCGAACGTTGCTGCGGATATGACGCCCTTTCCATCCCGGTAAGCATCTACCGATCCTTCTTGGGGATGGAGTCGGTTCCAGATACTTGATCGCCCAAGCGGTTGTACTCCGCCGACATGCTCTCGACCTGCTTCTTCAAGTTCGCCATATCCCGGTCCTTCGCGGCAAGCTGCTCCTTGAGCTTCGCGACCTCGCCGACATTTCCAGCATCCTTGAGGCTCTTGCCACCCTTGGTAGCTGGGTCGCCCCTGAAAGTCTTGACCTCCTCTTCGAGACGGAGGACGTCGAGGATCATGACGTAGGTGCGGTTGAGAATGAGGGATAGGAAGAGCGTGAAGCCGCAAAGGTACATGTTGCGCTGAGAGTAGAATTTGCGCGCTTGGACTTCCATGCGCTCGGATCCACCAAGAACAGCAGCTCTGTACCGACTCAGCAAATTAGCCTAGTTCTCAACAAGTGTGGCATGGTCGGGGAAACGTACCCGCCAGTATTCTGGCTCTTATGTGCAGCCGCAAGCTCAATCTGGACCCGATAGACGCGGTTGACGCTATCAATGAACAGAATGAGAATGAAAATGAACGTGATCTTCATGCCATATTGCAGCTTGGCTATAATAGGGCTCTCCGAGATGAAGGTGAAGAGCTTGCGGCGCCATGTGAACGGGAGAGGGACGATAAGGGCCATGAAGATGACCATCTCGGCCACCAACAGGAGGAAGACCTAGAGGCAGCACGAATTAGCATCCCCGTTACGTGAATTTTGGATGGTGTTGTGGTCGTGTGTGGGGCATGTTGACAGATCAGGCTCGCGGGAGAGACTCCGGAAGCTAATCACAGCATCGAAGGAGTGTAGAGCGATGTGCAATATCGATTTCAGAAGCATTGAGTGTGGTCGAGTGCTTACCAGACTGTAGTAGAGTGTCATGTTTGCTGCGTAGGCTCAGGGTGGAGGTTGAAGTTGCGGTGGGCTAAGGGCTTGCTTGTTGATCCAAACGTGTAGGGTTTGTAGGTAGGTTGGGATAGTGGTGGGAGACTTCAAGGACAATGCGAAGCCTTTGAAAAGGAGATGAAGTTGACAAGAAGTGGTGTGGTGGAGTGAGGGAGGAGTTGTGGTGGTGCTGTGAACGAGGAAACTTGTCTTCAGGCAGCACGGGTTGGCACCTCTTCCAAAGTGACGTATTTTATTTACCGCCTTAAGCCGCTTTAGGCTAGCGCGCGACTTTCCACAGAGGTATTTCTCACTCCTTCAATTCGTTACCACACTCCAAGAAGCCATCAACACTGCACCTCGTCAACATGGACCCCGAAGTGCAGACAAAGGAGCCAGTGTCTGAGGGCAAGGCCGCTGCAATTGCCCCGGCCGAGCAGGCAGCGCAAGCCGTCGACTCGACCGCCACCAAACTGGATAAGGCAGAACGTGACTCTGTTCCTGAGACTACCGCCGAGTTCGAGCAATCACCGTCCAAGCGACAGAAGCTTGGATTCGTACCCTATGGACCCATGGATGGCCTGACTGCATGGCCTACTCCAGAGCGGCGAAAGGGTGTAGCTCAGATCAAACCAGAGTTCCTCATTCACCCAGCGGGTGGTAGAACAGAAGAAAGTGCAAGTGGTGTTGAGCGCGATGACGCTGCTGAGGCCTCTGGCAGCCGATACCAGGCTGACAATAGGTCTGACAATCGGTCTAACAATCGATCCAACAGATCCGACAACCGTCAGAATGGCCGGGACAAAAAGAACAAGCAAAAGGGCCAGAACAGCAATCGTCACTTCGGTAGCTCTCGCGACAAATTCCCGCTTTGCAATTCACGTGTCACCAAGCCAGAGTTCTCCCCAGACGAATGCCAGTTCGGAGATAAATGCAAACTCGAGCACAATCTCCGGAAGTATCTGAAGGAGGGCAAGCGTGAAGACCTCACCGTTCTTGGTGGGCTATGCCCTACCTGGGACTCTACAGGAGTCTGTCCCGTAGGATGGAAGTGTCGTTTCGTGGCGTCTCATTCTGAAGAGCGAGATACAGAAGACGGTAGAAAGGAGCTCGTCCTCATCGAAGATGCCGAACGCATAGCAAAGGCAAAAGAGCTGCCCGGAACTGAAGACGAGGTTGGAGTAGTAAATGTCGTTTCTAAAGAGGCCAAGTCCAACCTGTCAAAACGCATCACGAAGACTCCCAAGTCAGATGCTTACCTAGAATGGACCACGAAAATCATAGATCAAGGCCGCAAGAACAATGAGAGGCAAGGAATCAGAGAGGACATCGGCCTTACAAAGGCCATGGCAGATAACGCCTCTGCCAAGCAGGAGGCTGCTGAAAATGACGCTCCCTCTAGGGGCAAAAATGCAGAGGGCGCCTCTGGCAAAAATGAACCTATGGAGGGTGTATCTGCTGAAAAACAGACGAGAGAGGATACTTCCTCCGTGAAAGAGGACGATACTTCCATTATCAAAGATATCTTAGAGGCTTCTGCCAAGAAAGAGGCTGCTCAAGAAAACCAAGCCCAATACATCGAGCCACCCTTCCTTCCATCCGAGAAGCGCCGCATCTACTATGGGCCAGAGACGCCAATCCTCGCACCTCTCACGACCCAGGGTAACCTACCATTCCGACGCCTCTGCGTTGAACTCGGCGCACAGGTCACGTGGTCCGAAATGGCTATGGGCATGAACCTGATCCAAGGAGAGCGAAGCGAATGGGCTCTGATGAAGGCGCATGAGTCCGAGATCCGACCGCCCAAGTACTCTCCGACCGCCGGCATCGTCGAAGGCTACGACAACTCCAAAGACATCAAGTTCGGCGCTCAAATCGCTGCCAACAAACCCTGGCTCGCCGTCAAGACCACAGAGATCCTGACCTCGCATTGCCCCAACCTACGCGCTATCGACTTGAATTGTGGATGCCCCATCGAGCTCGTCTGCCGTGACGGCGCTGGATCCGCCCTCCTAGACAGCGCCGGCAAGCTCGAGAACATCCTGCGCGGCATGAACGCCGTTTCCCAAGAAGTGCCTATCACGGTCAAAATCCGCATGGGCACCAAAGACCGGGCGCCCACGGCCGACAAACTCATCAAGCGCCTCGTGCTCGGCGGCTACGAAACCCACGCCGCCGGGCTCGGCATCTCGGGCGTGGCCGCCATCACCCTCCACGGCCGCAGCAAGCAGCAGCGCTACACGCGCAGCGCCGACTGGGGCTACATCGCTGAGTGCTCCGCGCTGATCGCCAGCCTCAAGAAAGAGCGCTGGGACGCGACCGACACGGCCCGCGAAGCCGACGCCCGCCACGCGCCCAGCAACGGCAAAGTCTACTTCGTCGGCAACGGCGACTGCTACTCGCACACCGACTACCAAGACCACCTGCAGCACGCGGGCGTCGACTCGGTCATGGTCGCGCGCGGCGCGCTCATCAAGCCGTGGATCTTCGAGGAGATCGAGAGCGGCCAGCACCTCGACAAGAGCGCGACGGAGCGGCTCGCGTACGTCGAGAAGTTTGTCAAGTACGGCCTGCAGAACTGGGGCTCGGACGAGATCGGGGTGGGCACGACGCGCAAGTTCTTGCTCGAGTGGCTGAGTTTCGCGTGTCGCTATGTGCCTGTAGCGATGCTAGAGCATCTGCCGCCGAATATCCAGGACCGCGCGCAGCCGTTCAGGGGCAGGAATGAGCTGGAGGCGCTGATGAGTAGTGATAACTACAGGGACTGGATTAAGATCAGGTAAGCAGATTTTTTACTATTTTCTTTTCATTCCTCCGAGCTATGTAGGGCAGCGAGTAGCCAGCAGGGCCAGAACTCCTTCGAGACACACATCACTTCCACTTCATTGCTCTATCCTCAGAAGACGAAGCCAGCTGCTAACGCCTCCCAAACAGCGAAATGTTCCTCGGCCCCATCCACCCAAACTTCCGCTTCGAGCCCAAGCACAAGTCAAACAGCTACGACATCCAAGCCGAGGGCTAGCCAGCCTCCCATTCCCATTCCCCAAAAACTCTCATCGCACCCGAAAACCTGGAAATCGAAGAACGGCCTGAGATAGGGGAGCAGGTCTTCGGCCCGGCCCGATCACGTGATTTCGGCAATCAGATCGGGCGATTACCCATGGCGGATACCGGGAAAGCGATGTTGGTCGATGGTGGGCTTGATGCGCGATCGATGGTGGGTGTTTTGCGCGTGCGGGGTGGATACCTTGGGAACCCGTGGAATACGGTATTGTAGCGAGCCTAGATGCATCGAATCGCCCAAAGCAGAAAGCTTCGAGAATTGATTGGTTGATTGGGGAAATGCTTATTTCTTTCTGTGATGGTGATGTTGGAATTTTGCGCGTGCGATTGTTTTGGGGAAACTATGGGCATGCGTGGAATTGCGATCGTGAAAGGGGATGGAGGTGCGGAATTGCCCATGGCTTGCGGCGACCAGGCCGTGTTCCCCCTATCGTGATTGAGCGGACGTGGACGAGCGGCATGCGTGCGGGGATGAGGATTGTGGGAAATTGGCATTGGGAGTGAAACAGGTTTGACTAGAGAAGGTGAAAAGGGTCGACGGATGCAGGGTTTATTCAGAGCCGCCTGAGTGTGTCAATCTAGGACTCACGTCGGAGCTTGGCATGATGAGAGATAAGTAGATGTTTGGAAATGATGAATAGCGTATATAGCTACTGTTGTAACGCATGCGTTTGAGGTAAGGAGCGGGAGATCGAGATGTTGGAGCCAAGATGGAGCCGCCTGAGTTCATGAATCCTGGGCTCCCGTCGTTGGCCGCCTGGGAAACAAGTTAATGTTTGCGAATGACGAGCAGCATACGTACCCACTGTTTCACCTTCTGCAGCTAGGTTCTAGTGAGGTGCAGAGGTGTAGCCGAGATGCGGTTAGTATGGTGCAGGTGTATTCTGGCCGAGGTTTGATCAAGTAGAACAGGAACCTGGGAAAGTTGAAGCGGTGCTGCAGGAATGATTCATTGAGCAACTGGACTAAAATGTTTATATGCAGGATCGCCTCTAGAGGCGCCTGGGTTACTAGATCCTAGGCTTGCGTCATCGCTTTTCGCGATGGGAGATTGGTAGTTAGTTGGGAATGGCGAGGCGCGATGTACGTACCGCCGTAAACTGTGCGCTTGAAGTTACGAGCGAAGAAGTAAAAAAGGCCGGTGCTAGGTGGCCGACCCCTTTTTGCTATTCGGCCGATGCGTATTGCTATGTAGCCTACGCACCCACTCGCGGACCTTTCACCGCGTTCTGATTGGCTCGCTTATCGGGCCGACTCTTCCGGAGCATAGATAGCGTACATTAATCAGCCGCCTAGGAAGCGCAGTAGGCCACCTAAGAACTCAACACCAGGAGGTCCTACAAAGAAGCAACGTGCGAATACAAAGGCAGACCTTGAGCGGAAGATTGCCCTACTAGAAGCGCAGGTACGGGGTTTACAGCCTGTCGTAGGAAGTACAGCGGAGTCGACAGGCCTGCCGCAGGCTCGTGAGGTGGCTGATGAGGATTTCAATGAGTATGCGGAGGATCTTGTTGATGAAAATTTACGTAGGTGCTTGTAGGCCAGCGGCGATGGAACAAGGGCCTCTATTAGGTGCGAAATCGACGGTTTGGGCATTCTCCTAGGCAGCTAAGGCACGTAGCTTTACACTAAATGGGAAGACTGCAGATGAAACGGAAAGGCTGAATATCAAACGGAAAGGCTGCACGTGCATTGAGTGAAGGCCCGGAGGAGCCGGCCCGATAAGCGAGCCAATCAGAACACGGTGAAAGGTCCGCGAGTAGGTGCGTAGGCTACATAGCAATACGCATCGGCCGAATAGCAAAAAGGGGTCGGCCACCTAGCACCGGCCGTAAAAAATGTAGCCGAGATACGGGAAACGCCAGCAGGGGTTAGAAAGGCCCGAGTAGAGTGCGGATGTGGACTTTTGGATTGTAGATGAGACTTGAGGGAACTGGGACCCAATTTCGGAAAGACGGAAGCTATGCCGAAGAATTACCTGCTTGAGATGACGATTAGTCGACATACATGCAGGGTCGCCTCTAGGACTTGCTTGAGCTGAGTAATCCCGAGCTCGCTTCGTCGCTTGTTGCGACGAGAAATAGATAGTTGGGGATGACGAGCCTACAACGTAATCTACTGCCCGCAGAGCATGGCGCTTGAAGTTATGAACGGAGGGATCTAGAGTTGTAGAGCCGGGATGCAGTCAGGACGGTAGTGGCTGTTGATAGTGCCATTTGCCGCTTTCGGCAAGTTCCGCTTTCGGCAAGTTCCGCTTTCGGCAAGGTGCCGCTTTCGGCAGACTAGTCTAGTTGAAGAGCTAATGTGCTTAGGTACCGTCGGCGGGCTCGGGACAGCGCAGTAGGTTCACTGGAGTCGGCAGGCTCGGGGAGGATGGGGTAGGTGATTCTGGGAACCAGCGGGGGCTGGAGCTTTGATACACAAGGTTGCGGCTGGGGATGGGTATAGTGGCGATTGGTGAGTTGGTGGAGTATGGGGTGAGTCGCGGATACCTCGTATCTGGAATTGGTACGTTCGGAGATTCGCCTGATACACACGATTGAAATCTTTGTGTTCGGGTTAATGGATGATAAGCTACGAAGCCGAATGGATGGGAAGTATGTAGGGCCATGTGGGTACATAGGGCCAAATACGTAGGTGGCACCTCCCGTCTGGATCTAAGCACGTCCGAGATCTCGGGGGGTCGGTGGGTCGATACACAAGATCAGAATTCAAGATACTGATGTTTGGAAGTACCTCGGAAAGAGATGCAACATAGATCCGGGGATTCGTGGGAGGCATGTCGGTGGTACTTCGCTTCTAGGCTTTAGCACATACGTGAAACAGTAGTTCGATAAAAAGGAAAGAAATCCCGAGGTCTAGATAATGATGGATAGGACTGAAAAAATGGCTGGGTATTTTTCCAAGCACTGGGTACGTACTTGGTACCTCATCTCTAGAATTCAATACATTGGGCATATAGAGGCTCGGATGATAGGATCGACACTCGAGATAACGATGTCATTGATAGCGCTTTATGGAAGATAGATGTTCTCAAGAGATAACAGGCCGTCGGAGATGGGACATCTTCAGGATTCTCATGTCTAGCATGCCGATACCTCGGCGGGTCGGCTGCTTCATCCACAAGATCGAGATCGAAGATGGCGATTGGAGTGTCCTCGGAGCACGTAGGAGAGATGGTAGAGAGAACCTGAATTTTGCGTGAGGTACGTAAGCTGCATCTCACCTCACCTCTAGATTTTAGAACATCCTGTGATCCGGAAGGCGGGGATTCGATATCCGGGATCAAAGTTCGAGGCTGTGGAGTGATGGGGTGCAATGAAGATTTACAACTCCATCCGAGAAATCGCCTACCACTGAGAATTGGTGAGAGATTGATAGGCAAACCCAGGGTCGACCAAGCCAGAACACGGATAGTGACTCGCCTCTCCAGACTCTATAGGATACCACCACTTCTCGCTGGCCGATTCTCACTCGGGGTCGAAGACGGTAGTTGTGCTAAGTCATGGAATGTCATGGGGCGTAAGCGAGTTGCTATCCTCGTCGGGGTTCCAACCTGTGTATCAGTCTCGTCGCTACCACACTGTTATCGCTGAGATTGGACAGAGTGGATGTATTTGGAGACTAACTAAGCATGGATATGATTAGGTAATTGGGTGAATAGTGCGTGGTATGTAGGTAGGCAATCAACTGCACATGGGTATTCGGGAAAGTCACCACCTAACGTCAGGATCGGCGAGTAGCGCCATGCTAGGTGCATCTCATGGTTCGATGATAGGTACCAGAACCGATCGCGATAGTTGATGATCGGCCGCTATTGGTTGAGAGCGCTGATCTTGGTGTTTCGTGAAAGATTAACCGAAAACAAACCCCGCTCATTTGCTTGGGACAGGGAACTACACCGAGACTCGCCGTTAGTTGCACATCTTCGAAGCGCTCTTTCCCTCCCGTACATAAGGAATTTAGAGAAGACCCCGTCCTGTCGTATAGGCGAGGTTGATGTAGATATCTCGCTTTTGTATCGTATGCGTAGCATGAAATCTGATTATGGACCTCTCATAGATGCATCGCCAAGGCTGATTCCGGAGGGAGGTTGATATATGCCTCCTGGCAGCCCCATAGCACTACGACGCCACTCCACTTTTCATGTACAAGCGTCGGCGAGCATCCAGGTGTATTTAAGTGCTAAGGCTAGCCCCGACTCCCCAAAGCTGCGCTTTGCGGAGTGATACGCAGCTACTATGCGCTACTCGTTTGGCCTTCAGCGTCTTGGGTTCATCACAGGTGCCCAGTCCTCGGGGCGACGCAAGATGACAGAAGTGATTCAGCGCCTAGGCATGTAAGAAGTGCGTGTTCGGCCGACGAGGTTCAGGCAACACGTGGAGCCGCATAGCCGGTTGGGCGATTGAGTGCGTAAGGTTTCCCATGCAGCCATGGTGCGGCGAGATGATGAAGCGCGCCGAGACAAGCCCCGAGCCGTAGCCGTGGTCGTGGCCGTGATGGTTCCGTGGCCGTGTGTCGTGGTCGTGATGTTTCTTGGTGCTGGAAGAGGCAGCTCGTTGCAGTGGCAGAGCAGACGTGCGGCGGGAAATTGAGGCTGGCTGTGGTTTTGTTTGACGACATCAATTAGTTGCGGTTAGGTACGAGGCTGAGTTGGACAGGAGAGCGTGCGTGTGAGGGTGGACCTGGCGAAGGGCCCTTGGGCCATGACTCTCGCAGGGTCCGAGTGTCCTTCTGGAAGCTGTGGATTGGGCCGCGGAATGCAGGATCCAGACACGGTTGGAACACGAATCGGCCCACGGCCCAATTAGAGGCCACTACGCCTGCCGCGGCATGGTGGGGCTGTCCAAAGGATTACACAGCCGTTGCGAAGGTGCGTGCTGAGGTGGCACGCCGGAGCCGCGTTAGGCTAGTGCAGAGCCGTGGACGAGTGTTGAGGAGCGCGAAGCTGGGGGGGATGCGGGACCGGAGGAGGAGGGTGTCACTGGGTGTGAGTGCTGGAAGAGGAATAGACCCGCTAGATATCCCATGGTCAGACGGGCGGAATACTCCAGACCCGTGTGACCTGTGTGGCTGAAGAGTCCACCAGCACGTGAGGTCGGCGGCTCAATTGCTGGAGCCTGAGGCCCAAAAAGGCAGAAAAGCGGTTGTCAGGCTGGCATCAACCAAGCATGAAAACAACGGTCGCAGTCGCTGTGGAATCTTGGAAAGCCACGGCTGGGCGCGTTTCTTTTGCGGGGCGGCGTCGAAAGCGGTATGCCGAGACGTGAGACATGTTTGATGCAACTTCTGGCGGCTGTTTCGAGCTGTGCTTCGTGCAAGCGCATCGTTCGCGCAACGTCTACGTGTGCATGCGACTAGATGCCGTTGCATGCAGAGCAGGAGCTACGTGCAGAAGTCTGTCCGCCCCTGATCCATGGGCATGAACCATAGATTTGAGCCCTGGACGTGAACCACGGCGGGGGGATGCCTGTAGCGCCTGTTTCCCAGCATCGCAGCAGTGCTCTCCGAGGTCAAATTCTGGCTGTCGTGAGTGGCCGGATGCTGGCTGCCTGCCGCACTACTAAGCACAATGAGGGCGGACAAGTGTGGTGGTGATATACACGGGGTGGGATGAGATTAAAAGCGACCTTGGAACGATGGCCGCGCCAAGCAGGGGATAGCGCGGCCCTCTCTCCAGCATTCCCAGGCGGCCCTGGCCAGCCGTGGCAGAGATGGCTTCGTGAGACCGACTGCCCACCCCGGGCCGTCAACGCTGCGTGGTGGTGCTGGCGCTGGCGGCCTCTGGTGGAGGGTGCGGCAGGGGGCGTAAGGAGCGGCGTCTGGACGAGAAAGACGCCCCGGAGGCCACGCGATGGGCCGTTGCGGTGTGGCGGCACCATTTCGCGTGGCAAGAGACCGCCGTGAGCTAGGGCAAGACTCGGGGAGCAAGTCGATGTGTGAATTGTGCCAGACGTCCAATCGCTCCGTAGATACATGGTGCTACTGCAGGCGCCGCAATACATAGACGTGAGGCAGCCCGCAGCGTTGACAGCATATCCCACCTACCCAGTTCGCAACCGACCGCTGGAACCGCAACCGCATTGCCGCCCTCGACATTCACCCACCGCAGTGACACAGGACCCGCCCAGGTACGCCGCCGTGCGCCCACGCATCGAGAACGAGTGCCAGTCGCAATCCAAGCCCAATTCGCAGCGAATCAGCGCACCCGCGCCGCTCCAGCCCCCGGCCCGCATCTGCTTCTTCCAGTCCGCCGGGCCTTCGTTCGTCACCGCATCCATCCCTCGACCCTCGAGACACCACCACAACTCGCCCTCTGCTCCACGCGCCCGCCCGACCCGCCGACGCACCTGTCGTTTGAGCCAGCTACGCACTGCTTTCACAGTGCCATCGCGCGCCGCTGTCCGCTGTCGCTAGTCGCCTGCCGCCGACACCGCCGGCTCAACTCGCCCAAGCCGTGAAGCTGGATTCACAGGAGACCTCGACGCCGCCACCCCTCTACTACTCGCCTGTCACCAGCGACCGAGGGCGCGAGTCCACTGCCGACACCACTCCCATCAGCACCCCCGTCGAGGCTGCCTGCTCCCCTCACTTTGGCCGCAAGCGAGGCGAGAAGGACCTCTACTTCTCGTGGCACGCCCGCCGCAAGCCTCACGAGCTCGGCTCTGGCCACAGGAGCGTCGAGCTCCACGACGCCGATCTTCTGTTCGACGACGCGGGCGACTGCAGCTTTCCTCTGTTCCCCGAGTCGCCCCCGCGGCACACGGTATTCGACATGGCCACAGCAGCCTCGCCCATCGACATCTCAACGCCACCACGCTTCAACTCGACCTCTCCCCGCAATCCCGCCAGCAATCTGACCTCTGCGTTGCAGGGTGCTTCGGCTCACGATTACCATGATGCAGTCCTGAACATCGGCGGAGCGACCCAGGAATCCCGCGACGGCAGACTCAGCGTTGGCGGGCGCCATGATTCCATCAGCACCGGTCTTGGCGGATCCTACTATGGCTCAGGCGCACGACCGATATCCATGAAAGACCGCCCACGCCGCGAGAGCAACACGGGCAGCTTCATGGGCGGTATGTCTTGGGGCGGCGTTTCCGTCGGCAGCTTCATCAGAGACGAGTAGGTACCCCTCATTCACCTGTCTCACCAACTCGGCGCCTGTCATGCTCCTCCGCCACTCCACCTGCTAATACACGCTGCTTCTATAGTATCTTCATGGGCGGAACCTCGCCTGCCTTCAACCAGTCGCCCTCGTACCACTCATCCTCATATCTGCCAAAAATGGAGGCCAATTTCATGAAGGACTTCTCTTGTTGCGGCCTCGTCCTTGACACGCTGCACGAGCTGCTCCAGCACTACGAGGAGAAGCACGCTAACCCCCCAAACATGCGAACCTCGCAATCTGTGCAGGAAGGACTGCCCGGCAGCAGTAATGCAAACGGCTCATCCGGAGCAGCTCCCGCAGTCCAGGCTCAACCAGACTCCGCCACACAAACACAACACGGCTTCCGGACACCGACGACAACGCCAGCGAACACCTTCAGGTCGCAGCGAATAGGCTCGGATGGATTCAATAGAACAAACTTGTCGACAGTGCAGGATATGGATTCCTTGGAGGACATGGAGATGGACGATGCAGACCCTCTCCCGCAAATCGATGAGAACCCATTGATGGGCAATTATCAGCGACCTCACGACACCCCCGCGTCTAACGGACTACCACAACTAAACGTGAACGCCGCCAACACAGTGGCTCACTCAGGTTTACGTACATCGACTCCCACTACCCCGGCGGCTGGACATCAAGGGTTCGGGTTGCAACACAACCCCACTGTTTCATCCGTGAACACGCCGACCCTCGGGACCACGCAGCAACAAAATCGGTCATCACCTGACTCATCGCACCCTGGAACGCCTGCCGAGCTGCTGGACTTCGATTTTACCGGGTTACCCATGCAAATGGGCGCGGGCATGATGCAGGGGTCCGACAATTTTAACTTTGGATTCCAGAACGGCATATCCAACTTTGACGGGACCATTGACCAGCCGGCGAAGCGGCTTTACAGCAAGCAAGGTGGTCCCAACCAGCAACAGCTGCAGATGGCTTTCCAGAACTACCAGATGGGCAATGACAACGGCGAGTTCGCCAAGTTACGCCAGCAGCAGATCACGTCTGGCAATCTGAACATGGCCCCAATGCAATTCCAGGAAGAGGTCAAGCCGTTCAGGTGTCCAGTCATTGGGTGCGAGAAGGCATACAAGAACCAGAATGGCCTCAAGTATCACAAAGTGGTAAGGATTCCCAATGGCGCAAGCATCGCAATCTTCACAATCGACTTTATACTAACGCGTCCCAGCACGGCCACCAAAACCAACAGCTCAAGGAAAACGATGACGGCACCTTCTCCATTGTCGACCCCCTTACGTCGATCCCATACCCTGGCACCGTAGGAATGGAGAAAGAGAAACCATACAAGTGTGAACACTGCGGGAAGCGCTACAAGAACCTCAATGGTCTTAAGTATCATCGCGGACACTCAAACCCGTGTAACCCAGACCTGAGGATGAACCAGCTAGCGGCCATGGGTTTGGGACCCAACAACCTGCAAGGCCCGAACGTGAATGTCGCAGGCGCGGGCTTCTTATCATGAGCTCACACTTCCCTTTCCCTGGTACATATACCCGCTTACACGGCCACTGACGAGAATATGGGTGGTGTTCTGATGACTGATTGTTTTGGTATGGTTGATTATTGCTTCTTTCTTGTCGTTATTGTCATCACTCGACTCTTCTTTCCTTACTTCTCTTAATTCCCTCTCTACCATGGCGTTTAGAGGCTGCAGCCAGACAGGCTAGCCCGACAAAAAGTACTGCTTGAGCATGCGCGGATACGCCCCATCGCTTTCCTTCTTGGAAGTCTGCACGGCGTGTCTTGTTCTCGTTTCTTGTTTATAGAAGGTGTTGGTGGTTGGTTGGACTCTGTCACGAGATTCGGTATTTTTCTGTTAATAGAATCGAGATTACGGAATGACCTCTGTCAACGTCTTCTTTTAATTCCCTAGACTGATTTTTTAACTCTTTTGGATACCAAGTCAAGGTCGGGGGATCTCCTCTCTTTGTTTGATATCCGCTTTTCTGCTTCTCCTGTGTTATTTTTTGCTATCACGTCCTCGATGGGTGTCTATAGAGTTTTGAAAAGTTATAAGGATTATACTCCCTACCCTTTCTTGCTATTGCCAAGGCTGTCAGCCTTCAACACGCCTCTTGCCAACTTGAACAAGACGTAAGTTTCTCTACTCGGATGGTCCGTAAACTCTCTGCATAGTCCCGGCGACAGTAGTCTACACCAATCAAATCTCAGTACTGCGATTCGCTGTGCGTATGCTCCCCGCAAACAAACCCCAGCTCTCCCCATTTCTCCTACACCAGAGGCCGGTACAATCTCGCTCCTCGCTCTGCAACACCACCTCCCCGGAGCTCGCTCCGCTCAATGCCCAGATCTCACTCCTACACCCCAGATCCCCGTTACATCTGAAACACTCTGACCCTCAGCCGCAGCGTGCATTCTCAGATTCCTAGTCCGGGTTTACGGATCACCTTTACCCCCCTCCCCCTCCTCCTCGTCGGGCTCGCACATCTCTCGTTCCCCAAGCATCTTGGCCCCGGAGCACACTCGATCGCGCTTACCTCCCCTTCCAATCCCGACCCTCATGTGCCCCCGGAGTTGCGTAATCATCTACCCATCACTTCAACCTTCTCACCCCATCCACCCAATAACCCCCCTCAAAAAAACCCCCACCCGTACACCCGCCCACCTTCTCCACCCGACCCGAAACCCAGCGGGCCGAGGCATCGTCGACGCACGCGCCCAATCCCCGCACTGCCTGAGCGGGCTACGTATAAGACGTGTCCCAGCCCTTCCTCGGACGGGCCGGCGGGGTTGTGGGCACGCCCGACGGAGGAGAAGCCGTCCGGTGGAGATGGGGCTCGGCGGGTGGTGGTGGTGGTGGTGGCGGTTTCACAGTTGGCGCCGTGTGCGATCGCACTTCTAGCTTGAGATTTGGGGTTTGTTTAGGGGGGTGAGGAGGGGTTGGGGAAGGGACAGCGGAAGGGGAGGGGAGGGGAGGGGTGGCTAGGCTGACATAGGATGATGGTGTGGCAGGTAGGGGGTTGGCTTGGGCTGAGGTGGAGTGCTTGGAGTGGCTTTTGGGCGAGAGGGATAGGGGTTGGGGTAAGGGTGTGGGCTACGCGGTATAGTTTTGAGATTGCGTGGAGAGGAGGCGTCTGGGGTTCCATGGGAGCTGTCTAGGTGAGGGTGGGCGGAAAAGAGGCATGAGACTCATGAAAAGAAGGACTGGGGGGGTCTCCTTTTTTTTTCTACTTTTGGGTAAGGTATCGGAATTATGTACGAAGACATGTAGCAAAACTCGCTCTTGATTCCTTGTGGAAGTCTCCCGAATTGCCCTCTCGCGCGCGCGCCTCTCGGAATGCTGAGAACCTGGGAAACAAACGCGCGAAGACGAGGATTCCACCATCGTGACGAGTGGTTGTTGGATTGGAATGAGGGGTCCGGCATCTCGCCGCATCAATCCGCCTGCTCTGCTACTCCCTGCCCACTACTAAAAGAGGTCGCAATTCACTGCGCAGGATGCACACTCACGTGACGTGGCCTCAAAGCACGTGCAACCGCTTTGCCCCCCCATTCCACTGGGTATAAAATTATGTCTCTTCCCGTGTTTTTCTCTATTATTTAGGTGCGTTCGTTAGATTGGTCGAATCGCACCTTTGAGGAGGTGATGGAGTGGTAGCGGTGGAAGTCTGGAAGCAAAACCGCAGGTGGTGGTGGTTTTCGATGTGTTCAACAACCGGCCATGGGAGGGGCCATGGTGTGGTTCAAATGAGCGGTAGGAACAGCCCGTGGAGAAGCGGAGGCGGTGGGGTTGGCCGGTGTCTGGGGGGTCTGCTGATGATGACCATTAACACGCGCTGATAGAGTACAATGTCGAAAATGGGTAGGTGCTGAGCAACAGTAATGTTAAGATGAGTAAAAACGATTAGTTACGGGGAATCGAGGTGGAGGGGATGGGTTGGAGCTGATGGGCATGGAGATTAATATCAGATGTGTGATTAGGTGGGACACCTGAAATAGACTAAACGGCGTGGGCTGAGGAGAGACAACGAGGCGCCTCCGTGGACATTCTGACTACTTTTGTTGGAAGAAGTCACGGATCTAACCGCGCAAGAAAATTCTTGCTAGGGGTGGAGGGCCCCTCCAAGAGGTACGCGCTGTACAGCTGATGTAGTCCCTTTGATTGGAAGAAGTCACGGATCTAACTCTGTAAGAGGATTTTTTGGTAGGTTTTAAGGGTACACAGAGAGTACACGGAGGGATACGCGCTGTACAGCTGATGTAGTTTCTTTAATTGGAAGAAGTCACAGATCTAACCGCGTAAGACGCTTTTCGGTAAACACGGTGGGCACGTAAAGGGGTACTCTAGTTGCCCCTAGCGTAGTCCCTTTTGTTAAAACAAGTCACGGATCCAACCGCGTGAGAGGATTCCTGGTAGGGGCGCACGGCACTTAAAAGCATATGCTACGTGCACCTAACGTACTGCCATTTTCTTCACGTAACCAAGCCTTATTCAGGAGTTCACCCCCGCCCTCTTCTTAGACCCTCAAAGCATCTCTATACTCCTCCACAAACTCCCTCACCACCTCCACAAACCCCTCCACCTCCTCGCGCGTCGTACCGAGTATCAAACTTATCAACCCCCGCGTTGCAACCCAATACCCCTTCTCAATCGCCCAGAAGTAAAACAACCCCCTTAACGCCTCCTCAAACCCCCCGTAGTCAACCTCAAGATCCTCTACACTGCGTATCTCCGCAGCGGGGTTAGGCACGAAATGGACCGTGTTAACGGCGCCGAGTCCGGTGACTTTCATCTTCGTTCCCGCGCCGACCTCGTTCAACCTCGCGCGTAGTTCGTCGCCAAGCGCGTTCAGCTCGAGACACGCGGAGGGCGTGTAGATCTGGGGTAAAGCGACGAGCCCGCACGCCATAGCAAGCGAATTGTTGTTGAAGGTGCCGGAGTGCGGGACTGGCGACGTGCGGGGGTCGTAGACTGCCATCAGATCGGCTCGGCCGCCGAAGGCGCCTATGCCGATGCCGCCGGCAATGTTTTTGCCGAGAGTAGTGAGGTCGGGGGATAGGGGCTGGTGGGTGATGGGGTGGAGGATGGTGGATTGGAGGCCGGAGGGGGCGAGGCGGAAGGTCATTACTTCGTCGAGGATGAAGATGATGGAGTTCTGGGGCGGGTGGTGTTAGCATTGGGTCTTTACAAAGATATACAGTTGAGCCTTTCAAAGGATTGAGTGATGAATGTGGTTGAAATCGAGTCGACATACGAATCTACATTCGTCCTGTATAGCGTGCAAGAACTCCGCCGATCCGGGGATACCTCCCCCGGCGCCCATCATCCCCTCGACCAACACGGCTGCCAATTCCCCCTTGTGCTGTGTTATCAGCTCCCTCAGTCCAGCAACATCGTTGTATTTTCCAATTAACCACTCGTCCCGGTCTACATTGTTGACTGCTACACCTGCCGCAAACCCTAACACGCCACCGTGATACGCGCCCTTGAAAACTAGCACTTTACGTCTCCTAGTGTGGATCTTTGCGATAATGAGGGCGTAGAGGTTCGCTTCGGTACCGGAGTTGCAGAAGCGGAGTTGCTCGATGCATTTTACGCGTTCCTTAATGACCGCGGCAAATTGGCTCTCTGTGGACGTCGTAGCACCAAGATTCAGTCCCACAGAGGAAATGGTCTTGACGAGTGTCATTTGGATCTTGAGCTGCGAGTGCCCGAAGAGGCCGGCGGTCATATCGCCCACAAGGTCGAGGTAATGATGGCCGTCAGCATCCAGTAGTGTGTTTCCAGTTCCGGAAGTGATGTAGAGAGGAAAGGGGGAAGCGTGGAGGACTGAACGAGTGTTGCCGCCCGGGAGGTGCGATGTTGCTTCTACGTGCAAGCGGGATGAAGTTGGGTTGGCGGTGGTGTAGCGCTGATGGGCGGTAGCGAGGGCTATGTTCAGGCGAGCATGGGTCTGGGCTTGTGGGAGCTTTGTAGAGAAGTAATTCAGTTGGGTTTTGGGCTTGGAGTCAAGGATTGTGCCGGGACTCATGATGGAGTTTGAGAACGATAATGAGATCTGAAGTTCCAATGTATCTCTTTCTTTAGATGGCAGAGAGCAGTGAAGCTATGAGATGGGAAATTTGGAACCAGGGAGTGGAAAAAACTGATGAGTGACGCAAAATATATATAGAGAACTTTTCTCGGGTTTGGAATTGAAAATCTCGGGTTTGAGATAGCGGGGTGTTTTGCTCCAAAATGGTTTAGTCAAGTATCTAGGTAGGTCTGCTCAACGTTATACAGCGATAATACCTGCTCACGATGAGGTTTCGGATTGCATGTGTGAAAGGTGGTCAGAGGATGGAGATGGGGTGCATGCTTACTCATTGAATTCCTCACACAGTAACCGGATGTGGACCTATCTAGGCGAACCTAACTTCCCGGTGACCAAAGCATTAAAGTATTGAGAATCCTATGAAGTTTCCTCCATTTTTCACCTTGGTATAAGACAGGCATGGCATGTCTTACTAGTAGTTCCGCTGTCCACAAAATTACAACACCTTATACTTGTCACGTGACGCCGCAGCTCTTCTTCGCAACGTCAATGCACAACGACCACTGAGGCAGCATGTCGCTGATCAAGTCTATGATCACGTAGCGACGTAAATGAGATACAAAAGCATACCTACCGAATGTACCCACGGCCCAAGAAAGAGGAATATATGCGCTTGTGCGGCACAGCGCCATCCTTCTCGAAGCGCCCATCATCACCAAGAATCCCAACCACAGCGGCACAGTCTCCGCCATTAACAACCAACGAAATAAGCGCCCGTATGCATTTGAAATTGTCTAACTCTTTTCTACATCTTCACGATCGCAAATTGCTCCTACACGCATGAAACCAGTGACTCTAATGTTTCATGCCCGCCCTCGCCGCCATGGGATTAGCTCCTTCCAAACTGTGCCACACAGAGCACTGCCTCTGCTGCGGAATATGAAATTCTTGGTATACGTTGAATAGAAACTGCTGCATTTCCTTCTCTTCCCCTGGTCCTGGTTTGTTCTTCCTCGAAACCACTGCTTCAATTTCATGAGCGACAGCGACTTGATACCCATTCTTTTCCTTATTCTTGCATTTATTTCGCCTTCCTTCTTCTTATTCTTTCCCTTGCTCGCACCAATTTTCGTTTATCTACTCCGCTTGCTTCACTTTCCTCACCAGTGAGCTCGTTTTTCCCTTTACTAGTCGTGGACATGGCTTTAGTTACCGTCAACAACAAAATGTCCTGTAAGCCACCACCATTAATCAAATCATCCACATTCTCTGGCTTCCAAACTAACTTCCTCTAGCACCCTTCTCAGACCTCTACACCTACTCCCCAAGCGAGCCCCTCGCCATCACAGGCATTGTCCTCTTCTTCCTCGTCTTCGTCGGCACAATCACCCAAATCATCCGCCTCCGAACATGGTGTTTCTTCCCGATGATCATAGCCGCCTCGCTTGAGCACTCCGGCTACATCTCCCGCCTCCTCTCTATCCTCTACCCCTGGAACCTCGGCACTTTCTGGACCTCCGAGCTCTCCCTCATCCTCGCCCCCACCTTTATATCAACAACCCTAATCATTCTTTCCACTCGCCTCGTCCACTCATCTACTTCCCCTTCCCTCCTGACCTACCGCACTCTCTGGCTGACGCCCACTCTCGTCCTCCCCCTCTTTGTAGTCTATGACTTCTTCTGCTTCTTTGTCCAGCTGCTCGGGATCGTGACGATAGGGATTGGTTACATCGAGGGTGTCAACAGAGTGGCGAACGGCTCGCGGCTGCTGAGGATCGGACTGGTAATGCAGATAGTCGGGTACGCCGTGATTCTAGCAGTCGCTGCAAGGTTCCTAATTGTGAGTCGGAACTGGGTTAAAGAGCAGTCAGAGTCAGAGGAGGGAGAGTGGACAAAGCGTAATGTGAAGAAGCCGGGGCAGTGGTGGCGGCTAGCATGGGTGGTCGTGGGCTCTTTGGGGTTGTTAATGGTGAGTTCGACTCGTCCGCCTCAGTCCACCTTTCAGTCAGTGGAAGAGTGAGAGAACGCATACTGACCTTGAGACTGCGCAGCTCCGCGCCACCTACCGCATCTTCGAGTTCACGACGACGAGCGCGAGCACGCCGAGTTATTTGCAGAGTCACGAGTGGCTTTTCTGGGCGTTTGATACCTTGCCTGTTCTCAGTGAGTATTGTAAAAAGCGGTGGTTAGAGAGGTACTAATCGATTTTAGTTGTGTCCGCAGTTTTTATCGTGTTTCATCCTGGCTACTACCTTCCCCGTGAGATGACGACGCTGGTGTTTAGGACAAAGAATGCGGAGGAGACGTCGAAGGAGATCTATATGCGCCCTACAGATTCGGTGAGCTGGATTGGGCAGCCGCTCGCGCCGCACCATGCTGAAGCTGTGCCACACCCATATGAACCGCGTATAGTGTGATGGGGATATCTTGATTGAATGGTATGGTACGGTGAGAGGATTGGTCATTGAGAGCAACGATAGGTTTGAAGAGACACGGAATCATGACGTTACGACTTGCACACGAAAATGCACTCTCTTCTTTTCTCATTCATCAATATATAGTTAGATTTCGTGTTTAACGCAGGCATGAATCTTCCCAATCCGCCACCTCCTTTTTCAACTGAGCCAGTTACTGCCCTTTACATCTATGATCTTTTGTTTCGTACTCTTCACTTCTTACTCCTAAAGTTCTTTTGCTAGAGTCACTCTTTCCCCCATATCCTCACTCCTATTCTACAAATATCACCAAACGCCACCTCCGTTGCCCACGCATTACTTCTTGGCCTATTTCTCCTCCCTAAGAAGAGTCACCCGAGCATCGAAAGATCAATTTTAGTCTATGTAGAGGCTCCTTGTGTTGCAGAGTGTATCATCATCAAGGGATAGGATCAAATCGTGGCCACGACCACACGCGAATGACTGAAGGGAACTCGGACTTCGACATATATCTGAAGCAGTGAGTATGAATTCGCAGATTCAGGATTACGGTCGTGACTCCAGCCTCTTGGGGCTGGCTATATAAATCTTAGAGGTAAGGAGAGTTTCATATCTTCAAAACACATACTCGGTACAGAATTTACAAGAGAGCCAGCATCTATCCTTCGATATCTATTCTACTTCAGTGTCTATTCCACTTCGATACCTATTGTTTCGATACCTATTCCTTCGATACCTATTCCTTCGATACCTACTCTGATCTGTTGTACATTACTCACTGCTTGCTTCTTATAAATCTATCGACTTCAGCTGCATTGTAAGATGCCCACATGTCTTCAGTGATTAATACTGAACCAGCCCTCCAAGACCAAAACTCCCGCTCAATCTCCAAGATGTCTCAATCTGGAAACTCTGGAAACGATTCCCAAAAAGGAAAGGAGCCGTTGCCAGCACCCAAGCCACAACGCCACTTTAATCAACCTATCTATGGTCCAGAAGTCATAAACCCCTTCGCGCCGAAACAGCCGGCCGACTACAGCGAGCTCACAGAGCCAGCGAAGGCCCATGAAAAATCCCTCGCCAGCAAACTGGGCGAGGCGGAAGTCTTCAGGAAAGCCAAATATGACGCCTTTACCAGCGCAGCCGAGGCTGGTAAGCGGAAAACCGACTGGAGATGCTGCAGGTGCTCCTTGTTCTACGAGGGTTCGGTAGAACTATGCGATAATTGGGAGGCCCATACGCAGCCAAAAGCGTATAAGCACTTCCATGACCGCTGCGGCGCGTGCCCGCCCGCTTTAAAGCCGGAGCTGGAAAGAGTCGCGACGCCGCATCCGGACGCTGAGGAGATTGAGATCAAGGATGCCATAAATGATTATGAGGAGCTGGAATTGGAAGGTGCCCAACAATTCTGATGAGTATAGGCGAGGTTGCTTTGGCCTTGGAGTACTCGGGCAGCAGAATTCGAAGAACCCGTCGGGGCCCGAGTAGATCTGGTTTTATGCATAGTTGGCGTTTCCTCTTTTAACCGTAGGTGGCTTAGGCTCTTGTATCATTGTAGTGTCGAGAGATCGGTATTGGGGCTGGTCGGCAAACGGCAGTATTGGGTGTCCTATAGGGTGTTAGCCGGGATGTTCTCTTTCATTGCTTTGTATTATGTGTAGACTGTGGTATTGCCTGTACATAGTTTCTATATGTATGCATGTATGCATGTATGCATGTACGCATGTATGTATGTATACTAATGTTTTAATATGACTGAACTTAAGAGAAATGCCCAAGCTCGCCAATGTTCTCCTTTTCCTTTGTGGTTGAAACATGCGAAGTGCGTGATTTTGCAAGCTCATAGAATCAATTCGTGGCCGCGACTACATATGAATGACTAAAAGGAACTAGGGCGAAGAGTATACCCGAAGCAATGACTGTGAGCTCGCAATCCTGCTGAAGGGATAGGATCAAACTGAGGCCACGACCACATAGGAATGACTGAAAGGAACTGGGGCCAAGAGTAAACCTGAAGCAATGACTGCGAGCTCGCAATCCCTCTGGAGGGATAGGATCACATCGTGGCTACGACTACATACAAATGACTTAAGGAACTTGGGCTTTAGAGTATACCTGAAGCAATGACTATACGCTCGCAATTTTGTTGTTACAATTGTGACTCTACCTCTGCTTGGCTCTCGGTATAAAAATCTTAGAAGGGAGAGATTTTATCTTCAACATACACACTTTGAACAGAACCTACGAGAGAACAAGCGATCATTCCTGCCATACCTGTTCCTGCAATACCTACTCCTTCGATATCTATTCCACTTCGCTGCACACTGCTCGCTGCTCGCTGCACACTGCTCGCTGCTCGCTGCTCACTACTGCTGCTCACCTATCAATACATGAGTATAGACCCACCGACTTCAGCTCCGTTGTAAGAAATCAGCTCTTCTCATTAATACCAGACTAACCTTTGAAGGCTAGGACTTCCGCTCAACTTCCAAGATGTCTGCAAACGAATCCCAGAAAGGAAAGGAGCCAGCCAAGAACGACGACCAGCAAATCAAACAACCAGCCAAGGACAACGACCAGCAAAGCGGGCAAGCCCCTCGCAACGACGAAGAGTTTAAACGTACATATACGTGGTTCAGACCATGCACGCCAGATTGGTCCACAGGCCCGGCACCGGCCCATCTGAAAATGCACGGCCAGGAATTAGGCAGCATGGAAGCCGTCAGGACTGCCAGACACGATGCCGAAACCAGCATAGCCAAATCAACGGTTGAGCGGGCTGCCCCGTGGAAATGCTGCCAGTGCAATGCCATTCAGCATGCTCACGTAAGGACGTGCATTAATTCCCCAGCCCATTTTTTCCGCACACCGCACGTGCCCTGCGACGGGTGCACCCCCAATATGGAAGAGACCGCCCCCGGGACGCCGCATCCGGAGAGCGATTACTTCTAAAGAGTAGGGCAGGCTGCTTTGTCGTCCGAGGAGTATTTTGTTTTCTGCGCAGTTGGTGTTTTCTGTGTTTTCTCTTTAGATCCTGGGTAAGCTTGACTTCGGTTGTCATTACAGGATCTGGACATTGGCGATGGGGCCGATCGGCGAATGGCGGTATTGGGTGTTTCCAGAGGGTTTATTTTGTCGTCTTCTGCTTCTTGTAGACTGTAGGCTGGGTTCTCTTGGAAATTTTCTATTATTTCAATATATTTCGAGTAAACGGTGGTGAGTACAGTGGGACGGGCGACCTACAATCGGTGGCTGTATGTAGAATTGTAAGTATGTACGCATGTACGCATGTATGCATGTATGCACGTCAATCTGTCAATACGACTCAGCTTTAGAAAATGTGCAAGCCTTGAAGCAATCGCATCCTCCCTCCATGGATGGAGCTTGCAGAGCACGTGATACCGCAAGCTCGATAGAGACCATGTCGAACCCCACGTCCACGCAGGAGTAGAGCCAACCTCAACGCTAGTGCAACAACGCGAGTAGCTTCTTATCTCACTTGCAGCTCCCTAAGTCGCACCTCAGCCTTATCATACCGGAACTCAAACATGTTCTTCCCCTTCAGCTCTCCCACAGCCTCGATCTCCCACCTCTCGAGGACTGCCGTTATCACTTCGCGGATTACCAGCCTCGCAAAGTCTTGTCCTAGACAAGCACGCGGTCCCCGTCCGAAGATGAGGAATTTCTCGTCGAGTCCGTGATCCACTTGAGGTTCCAACTCCCTATCTGAAGCATTGAGCAGCCATCGAGTGGGGTCCCACACATCCGCGTCTTCTCCGAAGAGCTCTTTTGATCGGCAAAGAAGCCAGTAGTTTACGGACACTTCGGTTCCGATAGGGAGTGTGCCGTAGATCCCTGGGATCGCTGTTTGAGTCTCTGAAGTGATATCCCGTGGAAATCCAATTGGAAAAGGCGGTAGGAATCGCAGTGTCTCTCTGATGACTACTTCTAATACTACCTCTCTAGTATCGGCAGCGCGTATCTTCTTCTGCCACGGACGGCCGACGGAAGTGCCGAGCTGCCAGAGGATGGATGTTAGGGCTGCAGTAGCGCTACCTTGCCCAGCAAAGACAAGATTGATACTTTCGATGTTTATCTGCGGTACGGTCATGCGTCTTGAGTCATCTTCGGAGACTGCGAGGTAGTTTTGCAGTATGCTGGGCTGGCTTTTCGTGTGCACCTCCAGAGCTGGTTGGTCCTGGGTGATAACCTGCTCAGCTAGTTGGAAGAATCTTGAGAGGGGAACGAGACTGCCATCAGGTTCATATTTCGGCTTCTGAATTATTTTCTGAACTGGACCTGTATTGAGAACCCAGTTGAGCCACGGTAGCCAGCTAGAGGTGAAGATGGACGCGGATACCATATGGAAACCTTGGCTGAGAGTGTCCACTTCGCCAGGCGGTGGTAGCGCCGCAGGAAGTTCACGGGCGAAGCTTATCTCAAACAGGGTGTTGAGTAGGAACCTGTGGAGAAGACTGGAAATGCTCACTGTACCGTTTTCGTTCCTGAATTGTTTCATCCGCTCGATCAAGACTTCGACGTGTCTCTTGACCACCGGCGCATATGCGGGAACTCTGTTGCCAAACGCAACAATGGTCTTTCGACGATGCTCTCGGTGAGTAGCATCATCTGCGGCTGCGAAAACGGTAGTACGTCCTGTAGTCTTGTTCCGAGCGAAGTCGTAGAAGGAGCCTTTCTTGAAACCACGTGCGCTGAAACCATAAATAGCTTCATAAGCTTCGACTGAAGAGAACGAAAGACTGTTCGGGCCGAGCCGGACGATCGAGCCGTGTCTGGCATGCAAAGCAGCGACATCGAGATGGAGGTCCCCTTTAGCAAATCGGATTGTGCGCCTGGATCAAAGGTTAGAGTTGAGGTACACCGCATCGGCACTTGCTGCTTTCGGAACGCGGAACTCACCACAGGTTCGTGAAAGAGGCCAGGAAGGGGCCTGGGTATCTGGACAGGGCGTGAAAGTACTTGAGGTAGATGCATCGCAGGAGAATCAAGGCGATGAACGAGGTCGGGAAAAACGAGAAGCCGGTCATGATGAAGTCCGTCAGATCAGATTGCCAGCAGGCTGGATGGGCAGTTCCCGAGTCCCAAATGGCGTCACTAGAATGCCGATGGTTTCCACATCAAACCCTCCGAAACGTGGAGAGAAATGGGGCGTGGCACGCTAGGGTAAGTAGATGATCAAGAAGGCTCCGAGAGCCAGTGTCGCACGACAGACAGTTTCGCACGAGAGTTGTTTCAGGCGTCCACAGCCGGTAAGCATAAGCCGGGGAACAGAGACCCCTACGAGGAGTCTGTCTCTCGGATCTCCCGAAATGGTGTTGGTCTCGATGCTGCACCATAAGCAAGGCGTCGCGTCAACCTGCAGCCAGCCAATAGCCACCTCATGCTGGGCAGAACAGCCGCCAGCCGCGTCGAACCTCCGCCCTACGGCGGAATTGGACCGCTAAGTGTGAGGAGAGTCGAGACGCAGCATGCAGATTGAAGCGATAACGATACGAGGATCATCACGGCGCGATTACGCCATTGCGCCTGCATCCGGCGTCTCCTAGTCGAATCAACGAAGACTCGCGAGTCGCGAGATCTTCACGTGGAGCAACCAAGAGGCAGCCGTATGGCAAGTTCGTGGTGTTGAGGAAGGGTGGTGAAGGTGCAGTTGGGAGGGTCCGAAGCGGCGCAATTAGGGGCCAATCGGGCCAATCAGGCCAATTAACGACTCCAACTTTTCTTGGACGCTCGCGACGGAATGCGGCCGGTGCCAGGTCCCCGAACGTCTCATTCTTCTGGCGTGGACGTAGACAATCGGGCTTCAGCCTTCGGGAAAGGCATGGCGAGGGTGTCCGGCGACGTCAATGGTCCCAGCCGCCAGTTCCCGACCACCAGTCTGCCAGTCGCGCCTAGCCTCATGCGCCATCGGCCTGCCCTATTGCACCAGTTCCTCAACACCATCACAGAAACGCGCCGGGCCGCATATCGCATCCGGACCGGCATCGTTTGTTGCTTCGCGCCCTTCCCATAGGCTCTGCAACTCGTCCCACAGGCAGCCAGGTCGGCAGCCAGGTCGGCAGCCAGGTCGGCAGCCAGGTCAGCGGTCGAGACCCTCAGCGCGCGCGACTCTGCGACACATGGGATGGCCATGGAGCCGAGTGCAGAGATGCCAGGCTTACGCGGACCGCGTTGGCACCGCACCGCGACCTGGCGTGCAGAAGAGGACATGCGCGGTGAGCCTGGGGAACGGCGGCAGGGAGTCCTTGGATGAGCGTCTTCATCAGTAAATCCGCTCTCTCAAGCGTACTTACTGGGGCATCGCCTTCCTACCGCATCCGTCAGAGGCCCGAGTGTCCCCGAAGGAGCGACAGCGAGATCCTCACAAACACCTATGCGTGGGGGACATATGCACCCTGACGCTCACCACCAAGCGTAAGACATATATGTCTGTCCCGAGTCCCACTTCTTCCTCCCCCAAATTGTTCTCACCATGGCCTCAACACCACCAAATAGCCAGTACCCTAGCCCTTTGTCACAGTCCCCCGAGTTCGGAGGGCCTCCAAAACGAGCGCCTAAACTGCGTGCCTCGTGCGATCTGTGCGCTGCCGCAAAAGTCAAGTGCAGCAAAGAGCACCCGTCTTGCATTCGCTGCACGTCCAACGGCCACGAATGTGTGTATGGTCCTTCCAGGAAGCACGGCAAACCAGGACGCAAGCGAAAACCAAAGCCGGAGAACAAGGCTGCTGCCAAGAGCATCGCCAATTGGGTCTCCTCACTCGGCAAGGATCAGTTTCCGGAGGTCCAGCTCGCCCTGGAAAGCCTCATGAACGGAGAGGACCAATTCTCCTGGAACTCGAATCCTGGGGTCCCCGCGCCCGAGCCCGAGCCTGCTAGGGATGCTTCGTTTTCATTAATGGCCGACTCTCCACTCAACTGTCCGGAACCTGCCGGGTCCGTGCGCATTGGTTCCGATACGACCACGAATTCCATGATGCACCCCTTCACCAAAAGCAAAGAATTGCATGGCGGCATTTCGCTCACACCGCCGGCATCCTTCGACTACCAGAACTTCAACGACTTCATTGGCGGTGACGACTTGCCATCTCTAGATGCCTCCCTAAACACTACCGCTTTCCAAAATCCGGGCCTGAACTCCACCCTTCTACCTGACTCACCTATCACCGATGACAGCGCGTATGGCTCCTGTCGGACAAGTCTTGACAGCAGCAATCACAACTGCTGTAGTCTTGCGTGTAATACCATGGAGTCGCTGAGCCACGATTCAACATGCTTCGGCCCTCAGTCTTCATCATCGATATTTTCTCAGCGCACTCGATCTAGCAGCCAGACGCTCGACAGCGTTCTTCATAACAACAAAGCCGCCATCGCGACCGTTAGTCAACTGCTCAACTGTCCGTGCGCTCACTTGCCACACCAAGCGATGCTGTACGCTTCAATTGTATTCAAAGTTCTCCACTGGTATCAAATCGCCAGCGGCGTCAAAGCCTCTACACCAATGTCGACCGGAACTTTTATGGCATCGTCGCCCAACTTCATGCCAACCCCCTCTCCACCCAGGATAGGCTCATCGGCACCAGGCAACATTATGTTCATGCCAATGACCATTGGCGCTTTCAGTCTCGATGAAGAAGATCAGGAGGCATTCAGGCAACAACTTCTCCTCAGCGAACTGCGCAAAGTGGGACAATTGATTGATACATTCGCGTCGCGTGGCAGTGAGGAATGCGATAGCGGCAAGCTCTACCGGTCCGTCGGGATATTGTTAAGGGAGGAATGGGCGTGCACTGTCAGCGATATTCGAGAACGGTGACGAATGGCGATGATCGGAGGACGACACGATTTCTGTTCAATTGACGACTACCTGAGCTTTCTAATCTTGCGCTTACTGAACGCCTCAACGGCGCAGTAGAAGCGTTCATGGAGGAGAGCAATTCAATTGCTCAATAGACATTTTATTCCAAGAGAAGTTCATGGCTTCCACCAACCACCCCCTCAATTTTCCCAACAATTTTGCAGATATATCATCATACAATCCGACAGACATGGACTAACTGTGATCCTCCCTGTCATATCGATAGATCAGACATAATTACTACGCAATAAAAGCCTAAAATGGCCAAGCTGTGATGCACCCTCCCGCTGCCGATTATCCGCCTCCCGTGTCCACGATCTCCCCACGCCACAACGCGTTTCCCGTCTGCATTTCCAACGCGGGCGTGCCTGTCTTTACTTTTTCCAGATACTCGGAAACCCCCCGGTCTATCCACATTCTATCCTAGCAACCGCTGATCATGCCCACCTCATGCGGGCCGAGGCAGCCCACTACCCGAAACTACCTAGCGACAAACGACACCTCGTTCCTTCCTATCATTCCTACCTTGCAGAACAAAACTTCACGACCTCTCAGAATCCTGTCTTCAGTTGCGGTCGATCAGCTTCCGCATAATCAGCGCTAAGAGCTGAGTGATCACAATTATTTAGGGTAACTCAAAAACGCCACCAACATCATCGAACTAATCATCGTCGACTCCGAAGAAACGACACACAACATCGTGAAGCCCGTCCGCTAACCATCACCGCTGCATTACCAAAACTAGCACCCAACGAAGATGGCACAAATCGCAGAATCAATACCAGCGCCCGTTCCTGTCAAGCCTGCGCCATGGAATACGCAATGCGAGTCGTACTGGTTGATGCTGTATATGCCAGCAGTGCTGCCAGAGGGTGTATACGATCCGTTGGAGGCGTCGTCCCCTCATTTTGCGGACCCGAAGGCTAGTGGAGAGTTTAAAGGGGGGTTGGCGATTATCATGGTGGTGAGGTATAAGGATACGCCTACTGGTGAGTGTGGATCCTTCTTCAATACAAACCTGAAGCCTTTCCATTCTCATCGTCCATTTCTCTTTCTATATCAGCTTTCATATCAACTGACACAGTTCCCACTACACCTCTCGCTCTATGAGAACTCAACACATCCCCTCCATCCTGCTCCCGTTCTTCGCCGCCTCAATCTTTCCCCGCCGCCTTAATCATTCCCCAGCGTTACAGTCTAATCCCCAGATAGGCCCCTACGACGAACTCCTCCTCATCCCCGGCGCCTTCCGCACCCCGACCTCCTCAAATCTCCTCTCCCACCGCATCCTCAATCGCATCGCCCGCATCTACGTCTCCCAGCGCGACACTTGCTACAACGGCCGCGCCAACTGGAACATCCCCAAGCACCTCGCCCGCTTCTCCTTCTCCTCGCCTCCGGTCTCCTCTACCACTCCAACCCCGAAGTCGCTCACCTTAGCCGTCTACCCACCCGACCCTACCTCCACCATACCTTTCTTCTCGGCAACGTTGACTCCGTTCACGTGGCTCCCCGCAATCCCGTTCAGCACGCGATACATGCCGCTCAACACAGAGCTCGGCCAGCCACCGCTCCCGGCCGCGCCGCGAACTTCGAAGGTTCATAGCCCGTTGTCGAACTCTAGCAAAGCTAAGGATCCGTACGATATCACGAAAGACCAAGCGGAGTTGTTAGTAGGGACGGAGCGGTGGTGCAGTATGCCGATCAACGCGTATTCGCCGAAAACGCGGGGGATGTGGGTGGAGGTGCATTCGCCGGCGTACTTACCTCAGAAGAATAGGGACGGAGCGGACGGAGCTGGGGAGGGTGAGGGGGTGGTGAGTGAAGAGGAGGCGAGGAAGGAGGCGCAGAGATGGTGGCCGCAGGGGGTCAAACCGTGGAGGATGGGGGCGTGGATGGAGGAGGCGGAGATTACGATTCCGGCGCCGGTGGAGTGGAAGTTGTAGGGGAGGGGAAGGGGCCATTGAGGGGTTGGTGGCGTGGCGTGGAGTTTAATATCCGAGGAATAATGTATGTGAGTTAAAGGAAAGTCGTCTTGGAGTCAGAGGAGAGTACACCAGGTGGAACACAATACCTACGCGACAGCCATCAAATTTCGTTCTACGTGGTTGATTTCGTGAGTACTTGCAACTAAAGGGCGCGGAGGTGCCTCAGTGGGGTCTCCTGAAGTTTCTAACATCGAGCTAATTTCAATCCGCTATGCCTGGTTACTTGCGTTACGAAAAGGAACCGCATGGCGTGCACGCGATGTCCCTTCCGAGCTTACAGAAATCTTGTTCACACAGTTCAATTTGTAAGTATTTGTAACAAGAGGGGACGAGTTGTCCACGGAGGTGCCTCAGCAGACTTTTCTTATCCTTCTAATAGGGACCCGATTTAGGACCTCTTAATAACGACACGAAAAGCGACTGCAATAGGTGCACGCCGCGTACCCCTTTGCGTAACCTCCATGTCTCTGAATTTTGTGTCATGCGGTTCATTTTGTAAAAACTTGTGACGAGACATCGCAGATTGCTAGCAGAAGCACTTCGGCAGCTCTTTCTTATCCTGTTAACGATGACTTGATTCCCATCCTCTTGCTTAAGAACAGAAAAGCGACTTGCAATAGCGTAGCCTCCACGTCTACCAGATCTGGGTTTCTCGCGGTTAGATCCGTCAATATTTGTAACTGGACCACGTCACTTCCGGACAGAGGTGCCTCACCAGGTTCTCTCATCCATTTTGACAGTGACCCGATTTAGAGTCTCTTACTTCCGGCGAGAAAAGCAACTACTTGGAGTGCACGCAACGTAGCCCTTTACGTGCCCTCCGCGTCTAGCGAAAACGGTTCGCACGGTTAGATATGTGAATCTTTGTAACTGAACCACGTAGATTCTTTACGGAGGTGCCTCACCCGAATCTCCTTATCCTCTTGACGGCGACCCGATTTACGGCCTCTCACTTCTGTCAAAAAAAGGCAACCGTGCCCCTTTGCAAAATATATTTGAGGCGGTTAGATCTGTAACTTTTTGTAACTAAAGGGGACAGATTGTCCCCAAGGCCGCCTTATCGACTTCTCTTAAACCTAATACCGCAGGCTCAATTCAGAGGGTCATCCAAACGTCAAGAAAAGCGACTGCAATACGTGCACGCTGCGTACCCCTCTGTGTACCCTCCGCGTCTACCAAAAAATCTTTCACACAGTTAGATATATAACTCTTTGTAACTAAAGAGGGCAGACTGTCTCCCGAGGTGCCTGGAAGCTCCCTCCTGATCCTAATACCACCGACCCGATTTAGAGTCTCTTTCTCCATAGTCCTGTTAGCACGTCCGAAATCAGAGCGATGGCGATAGGCTCAATGAGAGGTGCTAGTATTTGGGGCTTCGATTCTCATTCGCTGTGAAGGTCGGAATAGAAGACGTATATTGGATCTGGGTAGTATGAGCTCGGTATTCAACATCATCTCCCAGCCAAGTCGATCTCCACCTTATATTTCCATCGATCTGTCCCATCATCTCCTGAAGCCCGTGCTCAACATCTCTCCCGCCTAGGCGTTCCCACCGCGCGAGAAGATTGATACTCACCATTACCAACCGGACCTTGAATGCCCGACCAACCCCAGCCCTCTCCTCTCCATGAGTACCATGCATCGACGTTGTTGAAGGCCCACACCGTAAGGCTTCTCCAGTCAAAAAAATTGATCCCATTGGACGGAGGCGACGAACTGTTTTACCCAGCTCCAATCCCACTCCATCGTCAATGACGCATTCTGGGTTTCAATCGCCTCAACCATCTCCTCTGCGGAGAAGTTCTTGCTCCGGAGCTGCTTTTATACCCCGAAGTACTCTGGGCTCAGACCTCCGCACGTGCTTAGGGGCTTCATCACGTGCATATCGATCTGAACCGATCCTTTCGTATCTTCCTTGGTGGGCTATGAGCTGTAAGCGGTGACATGTGAGATAAGCGGTCTCCCGTGGCCAGTCACGAGATGCCCGCTTCTCAATAGTATTAATCTTCCCCCGCGGCCGGAGGAAGTTTGACCTTCATGGAACGGAAGGTGGAGGGTTTGGGGTGGTGATGAAAATTTTCCAGTCAACACAGCAATGGTCCGAGCAAAACAGAAATTGGCAGCGTTGGCATGGGTGCAGTTCGGGATCGAATTCGCAGCGATGCTGTGGTATGGAGAGAAGGCGGGTGCGTGTCCAAAGTACCACGAGGTGGATACATGGGGCCGTAATGGTTTCTCTTGATGATAGAAGTCGTCAAGACTCTGCATTGCTGGAGGTTTTTTTTTGCAAGCCGATGAAGTTGAGAGCGGAAGCCGAATACGCGTAAAGTTAGCTAAAACAAAATATGGTGATCTTCATTAAGACTGAACAAAACCCACCATGCGCCATCGCGGCATCAAGTTTGACTCCTCCAAAGATCTCCATGTAGAGGCTAGAACTCCTGTTGCAATCCAACCCACCACGCCACCATTGATTTAGCGGGATTGGATTTTGCACAGCAAACCACCACACCATGATATAGTCCTGTGTCTCTGTTGCTATTCCTGTCTCGCTCGAGGCCGTGTAGAAACACTCTTCGACAACAGCGGTAGCTATACCGCCCCCAGAGAGTCGTGCGCCGCGCTCATGTGACCTGCCTGCTTCCACTTTCCCAGCGTCCAGGCAATGATGCCCAAGGCGGAAGATTTAGGCTTCTTCCCAGTAAGCCGAAATGAGGCCACCAAGCGAAGCACACTTGGAGTGTAATTCTCGATTTAGCGCCAGACTTCTTGAATTAGTGATGCACTCTATGTATGCGATCTCGTCTTAAGGGCTAGATTGGGCTGGGGACTGCCGATGGGCTTGCTCTTTGGCCTCGAGGCGCTACAATTACTTCGTACGAGATGGAGTACTTTGGAACAATACTGGATTTCTAGACATAAGCGGTAGCCTGCTTGAGATCGTACAAAAGAACGCTCATGGCACCACGATCTAGGATGCTCCAACACACCTTCTAATCCCCTCCCCACACCTTCAAGCCATCTCTTCAATCCTCAAACCCCTCAAAATCGCTCTTCTCCGCCCCGCCATCCCCCACAAGCGCTAGAGCCTCATCCTCCGCGTCCTTCCTCCTCTGGCTCCCACTAACAGCACCCCTCCGATTATTCTCCATCTTCCGCTCCCACCCACTCTTCGTGCTGATCCTCGCTCTGGTCTTCTCTTTTCCCTCTTGACCCGCCACCGCCGGTCTCCGGGACTCGATGCCTCGTTTCTTCAACCTCTGGCGATCGCGCTGACTAGGGGTCGGAAGAGCATCCAGTAACCACTGCTTGACTTCTCCCTCGTTGTCGCGGTCCTTCCCGCGTAGCTTCTCACTGGCGCGGATGACGTTAGCGACATTCCTAACGTAGGGCACGTCTTCTTTGGTGTAGAGCGTGACTGCGACACCGCCTTCTCTCCCTGCACGACCAGTCCTACCAACACGATGGACGTAGGCAGCGGCGGAGTTGGGGACGTCGTAGTTGACCACTCCGTTCAGTCCCCGGAAGTCGACTCCGCGAGCTAGTAGATCCGTAGTAATCAGGATCCAGACCTCACCGCGGCGGAAGCGAGCCATGGTACTGTCGCGGGCGGTCGAGGGAAGGTCGGCGTGTAGGACGGCGATTCGGGAGCTGCCGCCTGCTTCGGGTGGGATGTCATAGAGGAGTTCGGCATGGAGGGCGACGGCGCGAGGTATTGTTTGAGTGAAGACGAGGAAGGGCGGGCGGAGGCTCGGTGTCGTGTCTGCTGAGGGTGTTGCGGTGGGATGGAGGAGTTGACGAAGAGCGAGGAGTTTGCCTTGCTCTGTTGCGGCGTAGATAAGCTTGTGAGCTACATTAGGGATAGCAGTGTCTTTGAGACCGACAACGAGACGGACGAGGGGTAGACGGGCAGGACTTTGGGATGCCTCTGTCGAGAAGAGGGACTCCCATCGGTCGTCGATGGTTTTCCGTGCAAGTTCTTCGACGTTGGAGCCCATCGTAGCAGACCACAGGCTGATGCGAAGTAAAGGATTCGTGCAAGATTTCCATAATGATAGAGTTTGTTCGCGAAAGAGAGGGTCTAAAAGGACATCGGCTTCGTCAAGCACGAGGTACTTGACACTCGGCAGAAGCGCAATACTACCATCCTGTTTCTTCAAGGCGTTCAAAAGTGAAAGCGGAGTAGCGACAATGATAGCAGCCTTCGTAATCACGGCTCGTCGTCGTTTGCGTGAAGGTTTCGGGCTAGATTTTGCATTATCCGAGCCGATTTCGCCTGTATCTTCCTCGGATTGATCCTCTTCAGACTCGACATCTACCTCTCTTTCAACGTCCAATTTCTGTACGACCTCCATACCCTTTTTCATGAGAGCTGTTTTGACACCGGTACCAATCGACAGCTTCCTCGCTTCATTGACAATCTGACTTGCTAGCTCTTTCGTAGGTGCAATGACAATAGCACGGGGACCTAGTTCGGCGGAGTCTTGGGATTCGTGTTGGAGCTTATTTTCCTCTATCAGCGCATTTAGTACAGGAACCAAAAATGCAATAGTCTTTCCGCTTCCAGTGGGTGCAATCGTTAGCAGGTCGATACCCTGTCCCGAGGTAGCCTTTCGTGGCTTGGTGGAGATAGTTTCGTCTCGGTCGCCCCTCGCATGAGACTCCAAACTTCCTAGTAATAGTGGAAGACCTCCAAGCTGAACTTCCGTGGGAACGGTATATCCTTGTGCCTCCAGGTTCTCCGTTAGCCTCCTGAACACTCCATATTTACTCCTTAGTTCCGCGAATGTAGCCAGTGGTTCGGGATAAAGTTGGGTTTGATCATTCTTGGCTTTCTTTATAGGGATAGTCTTTTCTTCTTTCCTCCGCTTCTTCTTCTTTGCTTTCTCTATTACAGGGGTGCCCTGCTCTTGTGCGCTGAATTCTTCCAGTATAATAACCTTGAGCTTGTGATTCCGCAGGACTTTCTTGCAATTGACGACACTCATTCGCTCCGGGGTGTCTAGCATAGTCTCATCGTCATTCTCCCCAGCCTTTGTCCTCGCGCCATTCCTCTCATTTCGGATATCCTTCCTCGACAGGCCTTTTTTTCTCTCCTCTCCGTTCTCGTCCCCAGTATTGTGCGCATTGCCGAAGAAGTTCAGCTCAGCTGGCAACACCGCAGCTTGGACCCCGCCATTTATCCCACGCTTCCGTTTCTTGCTCGAGTTCGCGGTAGGAGGAGATTCTTCGTGTTGTCCGAAAAGCTGTGGATTCGAAGCTTCGCCGCTGGACGGAAGATGCTGTTGAGAGGTTTCTTGCACAGGTTTCGCGGATCGCGAGAGCAGCCTGAAGACGTCCATATTATAAGGTGCTAGTTTAAGGAGTCCATTCGCATAGTTGTTGCTGTTCCGGAGGATGAAGTCGAAATAAACCTCAAAATGCGGAGGTAAGATAAAGTTTTTTCCGATGGTCACGTGTGCGTCTTGGCGAAACCTTTTCTTCTCCCCAAACTCAACGTCGTTACCCTCAGTCTCAGCCATCAATATTCATCATTGATAGCATTCCGACCTCAAGTCGCATTGAACAAGCCAGGGCCGAGATCTAACCCTGAACAATTTACATTCTATACTTCGGTCCTAAATGTCCCGAAGTTGAGGTTGTAAGGCTGAGTGGAGCACGTCGCGTCAAATAACACGCAGAGCTCTATATAACAGACCGATCACTAACCAGGAAAACGTCTCACCTCAATTACAGTACCTTTAGAACTTTAGCTCGCAACCACTAACCACCATTTTCGAACCTACAAGTCCCCCCTCTCGTCAATCCACCAAAACCACGCAGAATGGCCCCTCAATTCCTTACGGGCAAAGTTTGCGCCATAACAGGCGGCGTAACTGGTATAGGCCGTGCCATTGCTCTGGCCTACATCTCCCACGGTGCTCGCGTCGCAATCAACCACCTCGGCGATGGCTCCTCATCCAACCACTTCAAGAGCATGCTCGCCGAGATCGCAAGCTCCAACAAAGATATAAAAGCAGAAGACGTGTTGATTGAAGTACCGGGAAACATCAGCACACAAGATGTCGCTATAGAGCTCATTACAAAAACGGTAGCGCGATGGGGACGGCTTGACGTCTTCGTGAGCAACGCGGGGATATGCCAGTTTGCGGAGTTCTTGGAGTAAGTGGAGACCTACTGCTATCTCGAGATTCATCACTCAATGTACAATCTATTGACACTTCTTGTAGTATTACCTCTGATCTTTTCACCTCGACTGTCTCCACAAATCTCACTGGCGCCTTCTACGCAATCCAAGCCGCTGCGCGTGCCATGTCCACACAATCACCTCGCGGTGGCTCCATAATCGGGATATCATCCATTAGTGCCTTGGTTGGGGGCGCGCAGCAAGGCCATTATACGCCCACGAAAGCTGGGGTCCTCTCCTTGATGCAATCTTCCGCCTGCGCATTGGGGAAGTACAACGTACGGTGCAATGCGCTGCTGCCCGGCACGGTCCGTACGCAGCTGAATGAAGTAGATTTAGCGGATGACGGTAAGAGGAAGTACATGGAAGGTAGAATACCCTTAGGAAGGACAGGAGAGCCCCGTGACTTGGCCGGGCCGGCAGTGTTTTTGGCAAGCGAGGAGTTGAGTGGATATGTGGTGAGTTTCTCTCCTTTTGATAGATCTTGAGGCACACTGTTTGCTTTGAGTATTCTTAAGCGTCGTTGGAACTCTATATGCTTTTGGTATCTTAAATGCTAACAATTTGACAGACTGGTGCACAACTCCTCGTCGACGGTGGTCTCTTTGTGAACCTCCAATAACTGCGCAACTTCGCCGAGTATATATCTCAGTTCAATCCGAAAAGCCTTCTATCACTTAGCTTGTTTCAACGCCATATACCTCACATCCAGTCCCCCACCAGACCCTCTCCCTTCCCTCCTCACCCACCTCTAAATCCTCCATCAGCTTCTCCACAACCTCCTTCCAAACACCCCAACTGTCGCCCCCTTTTGGCTCATTCTTACCCCCCTTTGACTCGTTTTCGCCTCTTTTTGGCCCGTTCACATTACACACTGGCCAATCGCTCCCAAACATGATCCGTTCGGGCCCAAAAACGCCAAACACATGCCGCACCCACCAGCGGAGCCGCTCGGCGATGGCTTCCACGGGTGAGGGTGTTATAGTACCGAACTCAGAGAAAGCGCCAGAGAGCTTCATGTATGTGTCCTGTTGACGTGCGAGACGCGAGATCGCAGTGCACCACCGCTGTGCGTCGGGGTCGGAGGCAGGGTCGGTGAGGGTGAGGTCGGGCTTACAAAGGTGATCTAAATCGGGAACCTTCTATTAGTAACGGTGCCTCTGCCTACAGTCTCAAGAAGCACCAAAAGGACCCAATGTACCCACTCAACCCTCAAAAGAATAATTGAACGGAGGCGACTCACTCAGCACAAACCTCACGCTCCCCCTTCCCCCATTCCCCACATCCGCTGCCTCGATCCTCCTCACCCTCTCCACCATCTCCGCCGCCTTCTCCAGCTGCCACACGCCCCCACTCCGCATATCAACCCCAACATCAAACGTCCACCCGCTATTCCTCGGCCCGGTCCCCGCCTTCCCCAACCCCACTAAATTACTCAGCCACGACTCCTCCCACACAAACCTGCTAAACGCCCTCTCATCCCGTATCCCCTGCAGCAGATACCGAAACCCCACCACCCGGCTCCAGGTCTCCGGCCCAGCGACTTCCCGCGCAAGAAGGACGTAGAGATCGAACACCCGAGGCGCGAGATGCAGCGGCGCCCACGCCACGATCCCAACCAGCTTATCCCCCTCGCCCGCCGCGAAGCCGTCGCCCTCCCCCACCGGCGTCCCCTCTACTATCCGCCGCAGAAAGCGCAGTTCGTCGAGCGGTTCCGCGGACCATTTCTCCAGCGCGCGGCGGATGCTGAAGGCCGCAGCGGAGGAGTCGATGGGTGGGGAGGGCGTGGGGAGGGCGCGGTCAGTTTCGACGTATATGAAGGCGGATGGCTGGGCGGCTGGGGAGGACGAGGTGACGGCGGCGTTGTAGTCGGAGATGCCGTGGCGGGTGGCGAGGGGATGGGGGATTGGGGGCGCTTGGGGGGTCATCCAGGTGTGGGAGGAGGAGGTGCAGGCGGAGGTGGGCCAGAGGTGGATGTGAGTGTCCAGGAGCATTGTGGAGGATTTGGGGTGGGGGGATGGCTGCTGGAGCTGGGACTGGGGATGGCGGGGGTGGTGGGGGGTTGACGTGTGAGGATTGTAGGATTTGGGAGGCGTGACTTGAGATATTCGGTGAACTGGTTTGTGGGAAGTAGGCTAACGTTGAGAGAGCTGCTAATGCATTGAGTTGAAAGGTAGGTCAGCCTTTCTCACGAGCTGAGGGTTCAGAAGGTGGAGTGAGCTGCCGAAGGAGGGGCAAGTCATCGGTACAATGAGGGCCGAGACGATCGACGGGGAACGAGGCATCTTGATACCCATGTGACTTCATCTTGCCTCTCTTTTCTCATGAGAAAGCCTTCTGCGGAGAAGGCATACTACTGACTAGTGGATAGCTGTAGTAGTGCTAACGATGAGTAGTCCTTCGAGCGTAAGTCTGTTCTTTTCATTTTTCGTTCAATCTGGACGTTTCCTACTTGTCACCTTTATTGAAAACAACACTCTTGAAGACAGTCAGCTGGATACCCATAGACACCAGACGCACATACAAAGTACTAACACCTTCACAGGCTTGTCCCGTCTCTCCCACCCTCAGTCTTGGCTAGCATGACGTCCACACCACTCCACTCCACACCACCCGCACGTGCAAGCCTCCCACCTCCACCTCAACACCAACCTCACGTCCAACCCGCTATTATAAACGTTGCCATTGCCAGGGGCCTCTGCGTGTGATCCCAAGCCATCCATGCACCACCCGGTGACACACATCCAGCCATCGCCGGCCCATTCCAAGGTATGTTCTGCAGCAAATGACTCGCCACGGTCGAACCTAATCGCCACTCCCACACCACCCTCGACAACTAGCGCGAACACCCCTCGAGCAACCACACCTCGCCGCCGAACGTCTAGCGAGTGGTAGGCGCTAAGATGGCGTATATGCTGACTGGAAAGCTTGCTTTCTGGAGGGTGTCGCGTGCCAGGTAGTTCCGCGGTGAGGCAGAACTATTGGCAGGACATGGATCCGATCCGAAAATACCAATACCAATACTCATAGCGTGCATACAAAACAAAACGGCTTGGCTGGATCTCAAATCTCCGTATGCAAACTCTGCCGTCAATGCCGCTGTCGCCTCCGGACTCGTCGATCCCGTTTCATTCCCCGAGAGCGACTCTCACACCCCCCCACCAGCCCCGGCCCCCCCGGACGAGCATGTGAATCCACCGCGCCCGTGTGTGCTGGGGGTGATATGTGGGCGATCTTGGGGAGTGCGGGAAACGTTCCTGCTGGGACGGCCAACACGTGCGATTCGACATTGCCATGGTTGGCCGAATCGGAGATCTGTGCAGGTACGGTGTGTGTTTGGTTTGTAGGGCTGTGTGAGATTCTGTCTTGATCACTGGGCCGGGCCATTTGATGTCCGCTATGGAACTCTCTCTGGGTGGTGCGTGACTTGTTCATCTCGACTGGGCGTTTTGTTTAGAGATAAGTTCCTTCGCAAGGACAGTACACTTCCATATGCAATGAGGTCTCCTTAAACGTATGACACCACGCGGTTATGTGATATCTGGAGTTCATGGCACTGCATGTCACGAGAGTCACGGGACCGTCACGAGATCGTAGGGCCTATTCACTTGTCTGAATATATTCGTTCACCCGAAACTCTATCCGCATTGCAAATGACCGTGAAATATCAAGACTCGCTCCGCCACAAGCCTCACGCGTCTCGCTTTTACCTAGAGCATCCTAAAAAGCTGCAAACAAGCATACATGGACGGCAGCACCTCAAACACTGGCAGAAACAAAACACGTTGTGATCTGCTCCCAGTTCAGATGAGAGATTGTCTATCAAGACTACCAGATACTAATTGACACGACATGACCTACCTCCTCAAATTCTCGCGCCACCTCAATTGCATCCCAACTACCTGCAAACTCAACATCTCAGCCATCGGCCCCGTACAGCCACTGCTGTGGCGCCCCTTCCTCGCTATTGGCTTACTTAGCCTAATACTGTATATCTATCCTTCCGTTGTAGCCAGCTTCCTCCCTCACTCATCAAACAATGCACTACTTGACCCCTCTATTTGCCGCTGCTGTCTGCACCTCCCTCACCGCAGTCCGCCTGCAACACCACCACCTCTACCTAAGTCTGCATGGAACATCACAGGCTCATCTTCAAATCCTCAAACTCCCCTCAGCCCGATTCTCTCCACACCCTCTCTCCACCCTCTCATTTCTTGACTAAGGCAGACCCAAGCTACCAACTGCCCAACTATTACGACCCACATCAGCCGCGATCCAAGGGTCCAAAAAAGGGTCCAAGGCCCTTAGCCCGCCACACGTACGGAGATCGATCCGCGTCCATTCGCCATTTCGCCTGCGGCAGGGTCGGGGGCTAGACCAGTGCCCGAAAATAGGGTTAACTGAATCAATAATTAGAAACGTCCCCTCCGCGGGGGGGATTGGCCGCTAAGTTAGTAACGAAGGGGCGGGAGGACGTCAAAAGTAGACGCACATACGCCGTTACGGTAGGTAGTGAAACAGCGAGCAGTCGGTGGAGTGCGTAAACCCCCTCAACTTCGAACTCCCTCATCGCCGAAGCAGAGAAGGTCCATGACTCTCGCATGGCTAACAAGCGCATAAATGGATTGGAGTACACGGGCGGGCAGTGCGTTGTAGCTCTTCGATCGTCAAGAAAGCAATAACGAGCAATCGCTGCTAGCGACTAGCTTACCCGCCGATAAAGGCCATGTCTTAGATAGACGAGGCCTCGTATCGGTGGCTGTTAGGGAGGTTTGGCTACCTAGCGGCTCCGCAGAAAACTGTTCAAGTGGGTTGGTGAGGGGTTTCGTGTTTGCGGTGTCGGGCCGATGGCGGTGCGATGGCTCGGTGGTGTGGTGTGGTGTTGCGTTGAGTTGATTACGTGTGTGGAACCTGTCCGTCACATGTGCGTCTCGCTGTTTAGCTTTTGGTTTTCGGGGAGCTGGGGCTAGAGCAGCTGGATGGTGGGTTTGGTGGATTTGGTGGCCTGAAGGACGGACGGCGGCCTCGGAGGTCGGGGACTTGAGGAGGAGAGTTTGGTAGAGTCTGACACTGACACCTGTAGGGTAGGTAGCTAGTCGTTTTTCTTCCCATGGTACCTACTTCCCCGAATGATTCATCGGGAACGGGATGGGTGGGAGGTTAAGAATAGCAATTGCTGACTTACCGTGACCTACTTGCTGCTCCGAAGTCCGTCACTGATCATCGACGTATATTGCGAATGGTAGACCCTGAGCAGTATGTCTACAGAAACTTGTGGTCAAAGTCTTACTAGACCCGTGCAGCGAGCATGAGCAAGTTCGCATGAACCGCTTGGCAAAAGGATTCTGCGCTTGCAGCAGACGTAAATGTATGTACCTACCAGGACCAGGTTCCCAGAATGTCGTCACGTAGCAAGTAGGTGGAAATTTTCGAAAAAGCCAAAATGCACTCGAGACGCACGTCTACCTTTCCGTCAGTGTTAAGGGCGTGGTTTGGCGAGTATTGCAAGGGATGGTGGAATGTTCCGAGGGTTCTCTAGTTGGGATGATGAGCAATCCGCTTGATGTGGCGGGATGCGAAGTCGGACAGGTAAGTGATGGGCTGCACGGTGTGGAGATGCGGGTAAGCTCGTAACGGCCGTCTCCATCCGTTTTGAACCTCGAGGTCCGTATTTTCTGCTTAAACATCTTCACCTCAGAAATTTCTGTGGGATTTGCTCGGTTGGCAAAAACCCGTACCAGGGGCCCACACTCAACATTCGATTCGATGCGCCGCCCGCAAATAAGCCGGTCAGCCGTATGCAGGTGTGAGGTGGTTCGACCCGAGGGCGTGGTCGTGGGCGGCCCTTCTCAGGTCCTCTATGCTTAATTGCGTCTTTTTCCAAGTTCTCGTCGCTGGAGTTTCCGCTTTCAAGGTTTTGGTCACGGACTGACCACAATTCAGGCACCGGCCAGCGGGGCATGCAGGTAGCAGATTCTGCACGCCGGGGAGTGGGCTTGGTCCGTAGGGGTCGGTTGAGGATGAATTGCTGAGAATCTGACCACTTACCTGCACGCACGCGCCTGATGCGCGCCGACAGACACGGCGACATGGTGACACGTCAAAGGTACATGTAACATGAAGCAAAGGGTGTCAGACAGACCACACACAATATAATGCGAGAGCGGTGGCGTTCGACGGTGAGAAGCTGGCCATGCCTGGATGCAGGTGCCCCGGGTCTGTCAGTCAGCGCTGGACTGCTTGGAGGCTGGCCTCGTCCACGCGCAGCCCATGGCGCAATCGGAGCCTTGGAACTGCGGGGATCTGACGTCTGGTCGTCGTGGCCGCCGCCGCCGCTGCTGCTGCTTATGTTGGTGGCGGTGGGGCAGGTTGCTTGGAGAGGCGCTCACGAAGCGTGACACACGATGGACGCTTGGGGTGGGATTCCGTAAGCTTGAACTCCTCTCTCGGCGCCTGTCACGGGCCGCACGCTCCTCGAACCGGCGTCGAGGCGCAAGGAACACCCCGAGCGCTCAGGACAACCGCTGTGCCGCGGACGGGCCGGTCAGGATTGCCCGGCGCGCCAGAGGGGCACAGCCGGGGTGGAGTTGAGAGCCCACAGAAAACGGGACGATTCGAAGGATTCTCAGCGGAGCGGGACATGACGGGCATGAGCACTGGCGAGTCCGCCTTTCTCCATCTGCATCTGGGCGTAAACGGTCGTAGCGCCGCTGCTTTGGGCGAGTCCACGGTTCTGGAGATCGAATCCGGAGGAGTCCCGTGGATGGCAGGCAGAGGTTGCGAAACCGTGACAACGCTGTGGAAGAATGCCTTTGTAGATCTCCGCAGCCAACGTCCACATCACAGCATCGAGACGTCTCCACGCCGCACAGGGCATGAAGCTTCATCAACGTCGATGGCCCTCATCCACGAAACGCATCTAGTGTCGATTCGCAGGTTTTCTCTTCGCCGCACGCACGCCTACACGTCGCCGGTCCCAGCCCCTCCATCTCCACCACCTAGCTCGTAGTCCTGCCTGCGCCAATGCCACTTGGACCAGTCGGACCCTTACACTCGCAGGCCTTGTCCATGTCCGTTCGTGCTCGCTGCTGCTGCTGCTGCTTGCTGGTGCGGGCTCTGCCCCTCCAGCTCACACGTCGACCTGCCAGCAGCCAGACGGGCGCCGAAAGGTGGAGCTAGCCTCGCGGGTGTGTCGCACGAGCACCGGCGGAGGCGGCTGGTCGTTGGGGCGGTGCCTATCGCGATGCTGGCTGCGTGTCTGTCTGGACATACGTGGGAGCATGTCGGCGTGCGGCGCCGCTGGCAGCGCAGCAGCGGAGCGGCAAGATAGGAAGCGGAGGCGGAGATAGATGCAGCACGTCGGTTCGGGGCCTCGCGCTGATTGCTGGGTCCTGATTGCTGATTGAGGCGCTCAAAGACCCGCCGTGGGTCTCGCCGAACGGTGCTGGGTGCGTGCTGTGATCAACTCCGGGCAAGCTGCGGGAGATGGTTCGCGCTAGGGGCTTCCGGGCGCGCGTGCATGCCGAGGGGTGCCACTTCGCCGTCGCCTGCACAGCCCTGCGTCCGATTCGGCGCGGTGAGGGCATCATGGAAGCAGGAATTGGCAAGTGTGCGCATGTAAAGTGACGTTGAGGTTGCTGGCGGGCCCCGAGTGAGTAAGCCCGGCAGCCGGCTGCGCTGTACGACGCCGCGAATCTGGGAACGCATGCTGTGTATCGTTACACCATCTCGATCGCGGCGTGGAGAGCGGCATGGAGAGCAGTGCAGGTGGAAGCGACGTGGCCAACTACCATGAACGGAGCGACGTGCATTAGGGCCGACGGACGACAGAACCAACTATGCATACATTACATGTGGGCGATGAGGATCGAATCCAAATTCCAATGAAGCACCGTGAGAGACATCAAGAACGCTTGCTGCCATTTTGGAAAACCCATATCCCTCGAACCCGCTGACCGACGCCCCAACGCCTGTATCCCGAGGTCTGAAGATGCCGAACTTTTAGTTGCTGAATTAAACCGAAGAGAACATGTCGCACAAACTCCTTTTGCGGCGCCCATCGAAGGGGAGAAAGGAACAGTCTCTGCCGCGACTTTTGGCCGGCGAGGCATCCCCAGGCCCTCGCATCGCACGCCCGCTCCAAAATGGAGCCATGAATGCAGATCGGCTGTGTCTGCTGCAGCTCTAAGCCGCGCCAAAATGGCGCAAACATGCCATATCCGGCAGAAACCTAAATCAGTTGAAGAACACCGACGCCCCCAGGCTCAGCCGATGGCCGTCGTCGCCGTCGTCGCCGTGGGCAGGATGGCCCCGCGCTCGCGCAGCACGCGGCCCTCTGGCGGCGGCGACACGGGGGGCTTGATGGGAATCATCCTGAGGTCGTCGTCTTGGTCGGCGCCCTCGCGCGTGCCCCAGGTCGTCTGATGCACCGGAATCGTCAGTGACTGTTCGGGACGGGAAGCGAGGCTGAAGAGACGACTAATGGGGGTGGGGGCTGGTGGTGCGGGGTAGAGCACCAGGGGCAGAGGAAGGATGCAACTGACCTCCTTGAGCGTCAACAGACCCTGGAACTTGATCGTGTTGTGGTAGAAGCCGAACAGAATCGACACGGGCAGGTACATGATGTCGCCCGGGTTGCGCAGGAGGTGCGGGATGTACTTGATGGTCTTGCTGAACAGATAGTGCGCCGCGAAGAGCGCCCACAGCAGCCCGGGCCGCCAGGCATTGGCGGCGGCGTCACAGCCCAGATCGGCCAGGGTCCTGTTAAACGTCCAGAACAGTAATACGTCGTACAGAAACGCCCATTGCGTGACCGTTGTCTGGAACACCGCATACAGGCTCCAGGGGTATTTTCTGGTGGGCGTGTCAGCAGAGGTGGGTGGGTGGAGCGGGAGGGTCAGCAATTGGCGCGGCTTCGAGATGCGACTGGCCAATCGACAGACAATTCAGACTTTGTGACCACTCACCTCCACATGTTGCCGTCTTTCAGGCTCGTGATGTTGGAGCGCCAATTGCTGCGCACCCAGCGCAGACACTGCTTCAGGTACTTGGAGTCGTTCTCGAGCGTCGTCTCGACCTCGCACTCGCGGTGGTTCTGGAACTTGATCTTCCAGTCGTGTGTGAACAGCCAGCGCGTGATGAAGTTGTCGTCGTCCGCGTTGAGGAAGTGCCCGCGGCGCCAGGTTTCGTGGTTGAAGCCGTGCGTGAAATGCGGGTCTTGCAGAATCTCAGACCGGTACGCAACAGCGCGTCCAGACAGGCAGGGCAGGCCGCCGTCCATGTAGTTGCATGCCGTGCAGTCGAAGTTGCGGCGGACCAGATACGAGGCACCCAGAAACTCCCATATGTTCCAGGGGTCCTTTCGCCGCAGCCGCTGGTTCGTGCCGGCTCCGCCGACTCTTTCGTCCTCGAAGGGCGCGAGGATCCATTTTGTGAACTTCTCGGGCAGCCAGACATCGTCGTCGAGCAGGAGCGTGATCCGCGTCTGCACTTCCGGGATGGCGCGAGACATCTGCCGGCGCTTGTTGGCCTGGGCCACGGACAGCATACGGACTTTCTTGGGCGAGCCCATGTCCTCCACCATGCGCGAGACCCGCTTGAAGCACGCGTCGGTGGTGACGAGGAATATCTCGTAGGCATCCAGCAGGAGGGCGGAGCCCAGCGTGTCCCTCAATTGCGGGATATCAACGGCAACGGTGGGGATGATGACAGTCATGTCCCGGGAAGTGACCGAGGGGTCGTCCGACGGCTGCACCGGACGGTAGAGGCATAGCGAGAGCAGATTGACATGCAGACGCAGATATCTGAACAAACTGGACGAGGTCAGCGAGGCACATGGCATTGGATACACAGCATTGGACACGACCGCGGGCTCGGCGCCGACAGCCGGCCCGCGGGGCATGCAGAGCAGACATGTCGACGTACAACAGGAGGGCAAAGCAGAACACCCAACTCCAGGGCAGGGCCAAAGGAACCGCGAAATACATGGCAACGCAATGAACGAAGGTGGTTGCTAAAGAGAAGAGCGCTCGGAGCGGGTGGGCGTTCACATTGAGGAGCTACCCCAGAGGGCGGCGGCGGGACTAAATATTGCAGGGCGTGTAGGGCCATTGAGGCAGGCCAGGCGGGAGCTCGGGCAATTAGCAAGGTGGGCTTGCTGCAGGACGCGCCCCGTTAGCAGCTTGGGGTAGTGATGTTTTCCAGTGCTCTCATCGCGCGGCTTCCGAGCTGTGAGTGCTGCAGCAGACGCTTCGAGCTAGAGACAGGATCGCAGCGCCGCTAGCATCAAGCGTCATCCCGTCGCCGTTGACCTGCGAGCCATCTGGCAGGGAGCCCTGCACGCCATCCCTCCCTCATCCCAGAGCCACAGCCTGCCCGTGCTGCGAGGGCTCTGGCCACCTCCGCCGGCGCCTGCATGCCCCAGCCATGCAGCGCGGCGCCGAGCACGACGCCTGCGAGGTCTGGGGTCCCAGATCGCGACCCTCGAGTGCCTCTGAGAGCGCGCTCGCCGCCGCCGCCTCCACCAGACGAGCGTCTTGTGGGCTGACCGGTGGCGCCCACAGTGCTCGCATCGCGGCCGGCGACAGCTCGGCTGAGGCTCCCTGGCACCAGCCTGCTGCGGCTGCCGCCGTCGTGAAGATGAGAGGGCTGGCGTATCGCAGTCCGGAGTGTCAGCTTGGCGGCTCCGGCATCGAATCTGAGATCAAGGCACGTCGTCGACCACAGGGCCAAGGGCCCTCCACGGCTGCAGCCGCCACGGAGCGCGGCCACCACAGTCCGCCCACAGACGCACCACCAGCCAGCGCGTCGCTGCCTCAGTCCTGCGGCTGCTTGTCAATGCGGAAAACCCATCCGTGGCGTGATGGGACAGCGACGCACGAGGTACCTGGCAAGCGCCCCATCATGGTGCGTCGGCTAATGGCAGCCCTGGGGAGCCTCGAGCAGCTGCTGCACGGCGACATCAATCTTTCCTCAGCGCACCCGCGCAACGGCCGTCGCAGGCTCGATTGATGCAGTCGCCGTGCTGTGCCTCGCCGTCCCCGTCGTGCTCGACGCGCCGGGGCCGTAACGAGCTGCCTGCCCAGGGGCTGCGTGGTGGGCCTGAGAATCCACACGGCCAACTGCAGCCCCCAGGCAAGGCGATCGGCGCGCTGGCCTGGGGCTGCATTTCCCAAAGCCGGGGGTGGGCGCCGCCTCACCAGCAGCGGCCGGCTGCTTGTAGATGGCCTGCAGCACGAAGATCCGGCGAAAAACCGCACCGTGGGCGAGCCGCCAGCGCGCTCTCCGCCACGAGCGCCAGCATGCCGTTCTAGGACGCTCCGAGTTCCATCGACGTCGTTCCGGCGGGAGATGATGCATGGGTGTCGATACCAGCAATATAGAGGTGTTCCAGCGCCCGCTGCTGCACGCACTGTCCACATCCATGTCGCTCGGTTATGCAGCTCAAGGGTGCCGGGACGGGGAACCTGCTTCCCCGTCGCAGTAGTGCTGCCAGGTGCGGTGATAAAAAGCAAATTGCCCAGCTGATCGATCCCCTCGAGCAGCACCGATGAGGCCGAAACCAGGACGGATGCAACCGTCAAAACAAGGGTCTGCGCGTGCGTGCCATAGCCGTATCGCGAGCAGCGAGCCAGTTGGAAGCTTCCAGTCCTCCGCAGAAGCACATGAAACAGGCACTTGTATTGTATCTTTCCGTATTGATACCTGCATAATTACATTACCACTCTTGCTGCCCTGCTGAGAAACGCTCGGCCCCTATCCAGCTCATGCGTTGAATCTGCTGCTACCAAATCTGCCTTGTCATTGCATGTAGACGTGAAAGCATCTGTAGAATGGTCAATAGTGTCTGTTAATTGCGTATTTGGCAGTGCCCGGTCTCGGGTTGCCAGCCGCAACGACTATGCCGCGGCTTAGATGATCAAGTCTTTTGGCCAGGGCCGACGAGATAGAGAAACCATGGCATTGCTGACTAGCTCTGGCTCCCTCTTTGAATATGTAAATCCTGGGGTATCGCGACGTTGAAGTACTTCTGAGCCCAGCCACAGCCGGATGCACTACTGGGTCGGCCCGCACGACGACGACTCGCGTGTCCAGAGGCAAGGAAACGGGTTCCTGCGCGCTTAGACTGCGGCTTGTTTTGCTCGGGACCGCGTGAGCGTCGTATGCGCGCCGAGCTCTCACCGATAATTCCTAAAGGGGAGACGCACTGTTGACGTCCCACGCCATCTCCGCGTGCGGGGGGCGGCCCGCCTCAATCCGATCTAGTCAACGTCAGCCGTTAAGGACAGTCTGCACGGAAGGTAGACATAGCAAGAGCCGGTAAGTCTCCTATCCCACATCACGTTCATCTGATAGAGAGCTGGACTGACTTTCCGAGTCTCGAAGTTGACTGTAGGTCGTTCAAACTAGGCTGGCGATGCCATTCGAAGCCTCAGCCACCCGCTGCCTCCATCCCCTGAGCGTTCGTTGACGAGTTCAATGCAGGACTCATACAAGATGCTGGACTATACTACGTGCCCGTCTATCGCCGAGGGGGACTACAAGACAGACCGAAGTAGAGGAATAGGTATTGGAGGGACGCCGAGACGCCACCAGGAGGCCAGAATTTCGCCCTTGGGGAAGCCCTTAATGGCTTTTGCGACAAGCAAAACAACCAGCATGAAGGAGGAAAGGGAGCAGCAAAGAGTTATAGACAAGATATTGCAAAAAGGAGAATACACAGGAGAAGAGCCGGGCCAAGGACCAGACAGTTTTGAGACTGAGAGCAGACAAAAGAAGAAGAGAAGCGGCGCGGCAGGGTCATGCTTCATTTGAAGAAGAGAAGGAGCAAGTTCGCGATTAGCTCATAGGAATTGAGAGAACCGCAGGACTCCCGATGAAGATCCCAGATTGCTCGTGCGGAGATCTCAGTATGCCATCAACGACCTCGAGGTACAACAATGCGCTTGGCTTCCTGTGCAACATCGGGATAATTCGTGGAAGCTGTTGACAGAACGATTAATGCACGTGGCAGTCATGGCATCTAACAAGAGATGGAAGTAATGAAGCGGAGTGGAAGTCGGTCGAGACGGAGAACGCTCCGCCAAGCCCTGCATTAGTGTCTTCAAATCACTGTTTGCAGTCGGCAAAGGTTCCTCGGAGCGGATCAAATGACGAAGGGAAAGAGTAGGATGGTTGGCTTCAGCGTTGTAGGGACCGGTACGTGTTTTCATCGATGCAACGGTTGACGAAGGAGGTGAAGCCGCGGAAGAGGTTTTCACAGCCGCTGATGGAGAAGTCGCTTTGGACGGTGGCCACGACAGGAACGCACTCCCAACCCACCTACAAGCTTCTGCGGCCCTCAACCACCAAACACCACGCTTCTTGACTCGCTCGCGCGGTCTGCTTGCCCACATTGTACCTACATCGACTCCCCGAAAGGGTTGACGTTGAATTACACGTAGGCCAAAACTTAGTGCCCTCTCCCGCTTCCGCGTACCCAGAACCCAAGGCGACAGGGCTCGTAGGGCTGCCAGCTGCCCAAGTGGCGGTCAGTCCAGCGGTCCGAGCAATGAGCGATCAGCCCTGAGGAACGGCGCAACTCTATCGCCGTGAGGTTCCCTGGGTCTCCCTCCAAGGCGTACCGAGATCTCCGCGCTCTAGGCCAGGTACCGCGACGAGGGCAGGGCAGGGCAGGTCGGCTCATGTGTGATGTGGTCATCGAGGCATCATCGCCGTGAAGCTGCGGGCGTGAGCTCACGGCGCCTTTCACGGAGACACTGGACGCAAACGGAGGTGAAAGAGATGGCGAGGGCAGCAGTGGCACGGAGTGCACTTCGATGGGAGGACGTCCAAGGCTCGCCAGTCATCAGGAGCAGAGGGCGTGTCAAACGACGTTACCGTCTCGGGCCGCCAAAACAACGTCAGGGCCCGCGGTGAAAGATTACCACGACAAAACAGCCGACTCTCCCTGCGCAGGAACGGGCTAGCGATGGCAGCACTCCAGCACCACTTGCCGCCCCAGCTCCAACACGCACTGGACGTCGTCCTCCCGCATCCTTCAGCCACGGATCTGCGAGGCATTCCGGGGCAAGCACCACGCTACGCCTAGCGGGGCCCCAATTGCGCACTTGAAGGATGGTGTGATGGCGTGCAGGAGGAGACGTGCTCTCAGGCTCGGCTGCATTTTTCTGGCCAGACCAGCCATCTTTTGGCCGAACGGACCTCCTCGGACCCTGTCACGCAGGGCAGAGAAAAGGTGGCACACTAATTCCAAGACAAGCTGCCTCGTGTGTACACTTGTCTGCCACTGTTTGGGGTGCTTCAATGCATTTCCAGGGCTATGTCGAAACTTGTTGAAGCACTTCATGCAGTGGCAGACAAGTATACACACGGGCAGAGAACTTGATGAGTGTGCCACTTTTTTTATGCCCACCGTGCCTATGCGGGCCTCTGATTGCGTACAGGAGGTGCCAAGTGCGGCGCCCGTTGTGTCTTCGCCCACGCAAAACCCGAGCTATCACATCTTTTGCATCGCATGTACCAGAAACGGCAGAGGGAGGAGACTTCCGGGCCACCGCTACAGAGCTGGCTTCTCCCCGTTGACTCCTTGCATGCCTCGGGAGACACGAGGAAAAGCACCGCTCTTGTCGTTGAAGCCGCCAGCCAACCATGCGCTCACCGGACCTGCCTCATCTCCGAGATACCGGCAGAGAGGACTCGTTGATGCAGGCCATCAATTGCAGCAGCTTCCTCTTGAGATCGATCACATTCTTCTCACCTCCACCGCGCGGGCTACCCGGAGCAAGCTGCAAGAGAAGCTAGAACGGCCGCTTTCGCGCCTTTCCACAACCCTGTACGAGTGAGAATCTGCATCGCGGCTGTCCCGCCCCCAACACGAGGGGATATCCTGCTCCACTCAAACACGTTCGAGCGCTCGGAGCAGAAGCATCTAGCCGGTCTGACGTAATGAAGTCAGTCGTTTCCGTGTGTTTTACATGGATTGGGGGAGTTGCGGTTCGAAAAAAAAAAGTTGAGATATCGCGCAGCCGCTGCTCTCACCGATTACTTGCCTTCGTGCCCTTATGCCCTTGTCGGCTCGAGCTTGCATCTGACCCCCTTCGGAGCCTAGGACTGGGATTTTTGTATTTCACGGGAAAAGGAACAATCTGGTGAGTCCAGTAAACAAAAGTAGTGCAACCAATGCTGTAGAAGAACGGAAGGTATAGTACGTTTTCATAGGCCGCGAATTAGACCACTTCCCTTTTTTCCGCTTTCTCTTAAGACAACGAGTTTTCTCGTTCTTTCTACTGACAAACTCACACCTTCCACACCTGCTCACCTTGTAGAACGTCGGTTCTACGCATTTGGATACTGCCCAGCAAGGGCTGGTCTCTGAAATCCTCTTAATTTGGTCTGTACGGTTCACGAAAGAGCTCAGATTCCACATCTGGATAGATGGCAACGGAAATATGCCATTTGGAGAGCTACAGGCTGGATCGTTGTCATCATTCTTGTTAGCTTCAAAGAAGCATCTGCTGTCATCACATCCGCGATGCTGTATGACTTACCAGCCTTGGGCGATGCACGGGCTCAGTACTCCCATGTCTTCAATCAAGTCACCTCCAAGTCCAGGAACTTTTAGCGCTGCCGAATGAATGTACAGGAACATTTCACAATCTTTACGGTACGGGTCCTGAAAACGGGCTGCCTCCAGGTTCTGAAAGTTCAGCCTTACGGCTGACACACGCTCCGGTTTCCGCATCTTCAGCAATGACATGGCTTGGTCACGTGCACTTCAACGGATGCAAGTCCGGCATGTGGCTTATTCTGGCGTTTAGCTACCAAGTCAACATCGTGCCATGTCACCGCACCATGGATTCCCCGTATACGCTCAATCAAGTAGTCCGGCATACATATCTCCATACTGACCGCAACTCATCAAAACCAGCCCACAAAACCACAAATTCACTGGTCACCAATTTCCTTACTAACGCACCACAACTGCCGGCATGGCCTCAGTGGCCCTCGAAGAAAAGTTTTCGCGTTACACTACCTCATGATATTGTTTCCATGCGCCTTTTATTGCATGACCGGGATACACCAAGCCACTACTCCAGAATACCCCCTCCGCCCACCGGGATTCTTCAAGAGTCGCGATTGCAGACTGCGCGGCCATGAATGTGATCGATCACAAGATGCTCCTACTGGCGGGAAACTTCATTTATCCGCGCGTTCGGCGTTGAGTTGTATCCATGTCCCTTCCGAGGATTTGGGAAGACTTACGTCCGTGATCGTGAAGTTGCGGTTGGCGAGGCGTATAGAGGAGTGTACTCCGAGTGAGAAAATCATGAGAACGAGCTGGTGAGGGGGGGTAAGCATGCTCGAGGATGTTGAACAGATGAGGCAGCCGTGGAAGCTTTTGCCGTGGAAGCAATATTTTTGATACCTAATATCACATGGGATTCTCTGTTATGCGATTCCGGAAATGGTAGTGGGGCGGGAATGCGAGGAGCGCTAATGTTGGAAGACCTGTAGATATCACAGGTCTTATCGGCAGGGTAGTCGACTCGATCTTACTTGAGTTCTTCGATAGGATCGCACATAGCATCGACCTCCGCGAGCGTATCATTCAACCTTCTATTTTGCAGCTCCTCTCGACAACCGCAGAGTGATTACTTACTCACAGCTCTTGTTCTACAAAGGCTCAGCTCTGTTCTAGAATATCCACAACACTATGGAAATTTCGGGAACAGACCCTTTACCTTTATCAATTGCACTAACCCGAGTCCAAAAAAGTACTGACAGAACCTTTCCTTTGTTCTATGCTCCGCCCTAATGTTCTGATAGCCCACCATACTCAACACCCTTGAACGCCAAACGCGGCCAGAACCCAACCCTCACGACTCCGATCTGTCAGCACCTGCCCGCCTCCACGATGATTACCAACGCGCCGCATAGCCCTCTCCGCCGATAGCGCAATCAACCACTCAAACCCCCCAGTTCAATAACAATGTGAACGACTGCGCATAATCTGATGTTTGCTCCTCTCCGCCTCCCCCTCGCAACATCGCGACTCTCTAGCAGTAGTTCTCGGACTTCCGCAGCACCCCGCCTTCGCCAATTCGCCCGCCACCTCTCCGCAACAATGGCGCCCACGCCCAAAGCCTACGACTACATCGTCATCGGCGGCGGCAGCGGAGGCAGCGGTGCCGCACGGCGCGCTGCAGGCTGGTATAAAGCGAAAACGCTGCTCGTCGAGAACGGGCAGTCTGGGGGCACTTGCGTGAATGTTGGGTTCGTGCCTACCCCTACTAGCATAAAAAAAGACTATATAATGTAAATGTCGAAATCCGAGCTCATGGTTTGCGATAGCTGCGTCCCCAAGAAAATGACATGGTACTTCGCCTCCGTCAACGAGACGCTGAAAGGCGCGGGCCACTACTTCTACGACGTGCCAGCGGACGTGAAGTTCCACTTCGATAAGTTCAAGAAGCGGCGGGACGAGAGCATCCGCCGGATCAATGGCGCGTATGAGAGGAATTGGGAGAAGGAGGGGATTGAGCTCGTGCACGGCACTGCGACGTTCACGGGGCCGAAAGAGGTGGTGGTTGATTTTCAGGACGGGTCGGGGAAGCAGGCGTTCACGGCGCCGCATATCCTGATCGCGACGGGGGGGTATCCGATTTTGCCGGAAATAGAGGGGGCGAGGCATGGGATCACGTCCGATGGGTTCTTTGATATTGAGACGCTGCCGCGGAAGATTGGGATTGTGGGCGCGGGGTATATTGCTGTTGAGATGGCGGGGAGTAGGCTCACTTTTTCTTTCTGGGATGTTGGGTTTGGAGTTGGTGGAAGAGGGATGGTGGCTGATGAGTGACAGTGCTTAACGCGATTGGAGTCGAGACGCATATGTTCCTCAGGGGGGAGACTTTCCTGCGCAGCTTTGATCCCATGGTTCAGGAGACCATGACGAAGGCGTATGAGGATGCGGGCGTGGTGCTACATAAGGGGTATCCAGGCTTCGAGAAGATTGAGAGATTGGATAAGGTTGATGCTGTGGCTGGTAAGGATGTGCATGAGAAGCTGACGGAGGGCCCAAGTCCGCAAAAAGAGCTTAAGATCACGGATAAGAAGGGTAGGGTCTCTGAGTTCAACGAGCTGCTTTGGGCGATTGGGAGGGCGCCTGAAATCAAAGATCTGGGACTAGAGAAGATTGGAGTCAAGCTTACGAAGAGTGGGCATGTTGCTGCTGATGAGTTCCAGAATACTAGCGTTGAGGGGGTTTATGCGCTTGGAGATGTTACGGGCAAGGCTGAACTGACACCTGGTGAGTGGAGCTGCGTTCTATATGCATGCTGAAGTGACTGATGAGATGTTTTTAGTTGCCATCGCTGCTGGACGCATGCTCGGGAACCGCCTCTTTGGGCCTCCCGGACTGAAAAGCTCGAAGTTGGAGTACGATCACATACCAACCGTTGTCTTTAGTCATCCTGAAGTTGGTACTATCGGATTGACTGAACCGGAAGCGGTTGAAAGATACGGAAAGGAGAACATCAAGGTAGGCGTCACGGCTAAAAACTGTTCTATTTTCTCTCATATTAACATGCTTGTAGGTCTACAAGACGAAGTTCACGGCCATGTACTTTGACGTGTTCTCACCAGAAGAGAAGGCCAAGCATCCAACGCAGTATGTGAAGCTACTACAAGATGTGTCCCAAGTTCTTGTAGGATACTAACAGATCCACAGATACAAAATCATCTGTACAGGTCCAGAGGAAAAGGTAGTAGGACTCCATATCCTTGGTGAAGGTAGTGGAGAGATGCTCCAGGGTTTCGGAGTTGCTATCAAGATGGGTGCTACCAAGGCTGATTTCGACCGCTGCGTGTAAGTGCCCTACCGGAAAGACTCTATTGCTGTTCGAAGTTGTTTTGAAGGTCCACTCGACTGATCTTGATATTTAGTGCCATTCATCCTACCTCCGCCGAGGAGCTCGTGACTATGCGATAGACAGAAGATTTCTAGAAATGCAATCTCGAATCAAGGAGCTGGATGAGACAAAAATAGCCTCCCGACATGGAAGAAATCCCATGGAGGCTATGATAGGGAGACTGTAGACTCGGTAGTCTTTTTGTACTGACGCATAGCTATCCCGGAGTTGCGGAAGCTGAGGCGGGGATGAAAATGAAGGAGAACTCAACGCTCCCGTTCTACAATATCACAAAAACAATGCATTTGATTCACCTTGAGTACACGTAGCCAATTGACACTCTTGCATTTCAATTAAAGAGCATCATGAAGTGAAATGCGTCATGACGGCCATCCCTATCTCTCCCGCGTCCAACGCACGAGCCACCGGCCTCCCGAAATCTCCCTGTGGAAAAAGCTCCCGACAGCTCATACTCAACCTAACTCCATCACCAGCTCACCCCCATCCTCCTTCCATCTCCACTCCTCGACCATGTCCCTTCCCGCATCGCGCGCCGCGCTGCGGACTACCCTGCCGGCCCGCCGCCAGATCATCGCCCGCCGCAGCGCCAGCTCCGCGTCCGAGGTCGCCGGAGCTGCCAAAGAGAAGGCGGCCCAAGCCACAAGCAAGGCCTCCGAGGGTCTCTCCAGGGTCACTAGCAGCGCAGGCAGTGCGTTACTGAAGGCTGGGACAAGTGCTGGCAATGCGCTGGGCAAGATTGGTGGACGGACAGGACGCGCGATTGGCTTCGTGCAGTGTGAGTGCTTTTCCCCTTTGGCTAGTTAGGCGGACAATGGTGTGCTGGTGGGCTCAATGCGCAAGAAGGCGACAGGAAATACAATGAGGAAGGGTTTCGGACAGGCATTGAGCGCGTGGATGGTGATGGACGCGATGAAGAGTTGAAAACCCCCCTGCGTGGAGCTCGGCAAAGTACAGAAGAACGGACTTGGACAGCAACAATTGGCTGACATTGTGATTCTATAGCATTGATACCTCCTACGATATACTACTCAAAAGTCGGCCTCGAACTCGGCAAGTTGGTCTTCGAAGCACGGAAAATGAACCCTCCGTAAGCCCTTCCTTCCTCCGTCCTTCAACAACCGATATCAGCAAACTCAATCTGCGCAACTGGAAATCTGGATTTCAGAAACTAACGCGCTGTATTCAGATCCGTGGCCACTTTCCAATCCTACTTCCAACCCGTCCTATCCGTCGCCCGCAACCCGTCGTCCATATCCTCGTACACCGCCGCCCTGAACCCCTCCTCCATCCTCAACCGCGCCCGAAACCTCAGCACCGCGCAATACGCGTCCGCGGCCGTCGTCACAGCCGAGGCCATCGGCTTCTTCTCCGTCGGCGAGATGATCGGGCGGTTCAAGGTGGTTGGATACAGGTCAAGCGCGCCGGCTCACCATTAAGCCATGTGAATTGGGAAATAATTTGAAAACGGCGGTTCACAAGCTCCCTGCACTGTCGCCTAGCCAAGCTCTAGAAATTTGCGGTAGTCTCTGGTGGTTTTCTTCGGCCCAGAAGTCATCAGGTTTGGGGGAGGGATGGGCATGTTGTACTGGTATGCTGAAAGAAAGGTGGGGTTGCGGAGACACTTGTACTATTGCACATAAATTACTTCCTTTTACTCTTCTAAGTTTCTGGCTTTCTCTTTCTCTGTCTCCGTGTGATACTACTGGGCAATAGATCTTTCGTTCGATGACCCTGTATGTGGTGGCTCAATGAGTTCGCGGGGTATGCAGAAACATGAACTCTTGTCCTATTCTGGTTTTTAAAAGTGTGTTAAGGTGCTCTTGACGGCGGTATGGAAGCTTACATAGGCTTATGTGAGTCAACAGTTTGCTCTAAATGGTATGTCAAATCCGGAGTTTTGACTGTAAACATGAGAACCAACACTTATCTCTGCACTATAGGGAATATTGGCACTTTACATACCTCATTCGCTAGCCACTTTAGACGGTACCTTTCGGATTGCGAACGCGCCTCCTGATGCATCCCATTCAGTTTGGATGGATATTCTTCACGCTTCAATTCGGACACCACCAATTCACGCCCTTTTGCTATATGGTTGCGTGTGCTTGGGGTGCCTCAAACAAACTGAGGCTCTGGGCCAGATGTCATCTTTTGACACTTCAGATCAGAAACTAGTACTTCTCGCCTCCTTACTAAGTCCTTACTACGTCCTAGTCACTGCTTGGAGTCCCTCCAGTAGCCACAAGATGCGAGGATGGATGTCATTTCCCGACACTTCAAATTGGATGCCACAACTTGCGCTGCTTGCCACAGGGTTGCCAGTGCTTGGAGTGCCTCAGCAGTTACAAAACTCATGGGAGGGATGCTATTCCTCGACCCTTCAAATCAGACCGTATTGCTACGTTCTTGCCAAGGCTTGATGCGCCCTGGACGATTATGAAATGTCTACCTTGGATGTCCTTTCTCAACTATCTAAACTGGAACCGAGTAATTCCCAACATCTTGTCATGTTCCTGCTAGCAATTGACGTGTCTCACCAGTACACGACTTCAAATCTAAATGCCACTTCTTCGACACTTCAAATTGGAACCTAGCAAGTGGCACCGTTTTACTACATTCTTACCAGCGTCTGAAGTGCCTCAGACCGGTATACGACTTCGCGCATGAATATCATTTCTTCAAAGCTTCAAATCGGCAACTAGCAGATAACACGTTTTTACTACACCCCTGCCAGCTTTTCGAAGTCCCTCGACTGTGATAAATGTTCCACCCGGGAAGTCATTTGTTCGACGCTTCGAATAGGAACCTAGCAATTCTCAACGTCTTGACACATCCTAGCGGACTTCGGGAGCGTTTGAGCTGGAAACACGCCTCTTCTGGGACCCTTTGTTCATGTTCGGATACGTCACTTATCTAAGCTGAATAGCAGGCTGACTGAAACGCCCAACAGTCTCGCAGCTCATGATAAGCCTCCTACTTCGGGCGCTCTCTTGAACTACACCTATTTTTTCTCCTGGCTCGAGATCTCCACAGTTATGCAGCTCAAGCTCGAGGGAACGCAGCTCCTCGCGCACTCGATCGTTGAACAAGTTGCTTTCCGGTTCCAGCCAATATGGTCCATGTGAAATCCTTATGGTAGCTAAACCTAGTCTCTCTCCCGACTGACACGGAATCGAATTAAATATATTCGTCTGGACCACAACGAGGTTACAGGCAGTGACTGGATCCAACACGGTCGTCTCACCGGCATCTACACGCGCGGACTCGGATTGCTCCTCCGTGTCCCAATAGGGATCCAAATCAAAATTAGGACCATGGCACACAGAGCCCGGCCTTGTGAGCCACAGTTCCACGGAAGGACCATACACGTGCTCGAACATCTCGCTCAAGAAGGCCTCGTTCGAGCCCGATATATGCGCAAGATACCACACCAAATGGACGTCTCTCAGGTCATGGGCTCTTCTTAGGGGAGAGTTTCGATGCCATCCTGTTGCTTGGTCAGCTTCATGGATGCAAACGTACCGTCTTAAAGGAATTCCGTGATTTATATGTCTTGTAACTGCGGGGCGTGCTTCGTCATGCAGAATGAAGACGAGACAGAGGAGAAGTCTAAGTAGTAGGTGTGTTATTCAATAAATGAATAAAAGTAGGTAGGGCTTACTTTCTAAAATTCTTCGATCATTTCAAAATACTTCTCGGAAACCCTCATCAAGGTTTTGAAGTTCTCTTTCGTCAGAGACTGAATAAACGCATTCAACCTATCGTTGCGAGACCCGTAGTGGGCGTTCAAAGCCTGCTCAATGATAAGTTCTCGTAACATGGCGCTGATGGCGTAATTCTGAATACGCAGACCATCCATTTTGAAGGTACGTACTTGGCGTGGCCGGTGTGGGATGTGTTTGAGAATTCAAGAGAAACGATGTGGGACACGCGAGGTTATAAATTACTACTAACAGTGGCTCTAGATCGGAGTGTGTGGTTCACGTCAATATTGGTAGCGAGCGTGCTCTGACGTTGCTTTCCGTGGTCGTGAGAACGCTTTATGTCGCATGCAGACATCCTTGGCTATTTTCCTTCACCTCGCCAAAAGAACTATGAAATCTCCACCTTGAATGATTAGCTATAGTTTTGAAAGTTCTGCAGCTAAGATCTTAGTCTGAAAAGGTTATAGCTTGAGTTTCTGCTCCCCGAACTATGGGTTAGTTCTGTTAATTATGTGCGAATTAGACACAAAATTCGCCAGATGGTGGTGTCTTTACATTACACAGTAATGATACAGGGTCAATTACTGGGCCATGGTTTGCAAAGCCTGAAATACAAGGTCCAAAGCAGAAGTTTGGGGAGGATCTAAAGTACCCCCAAAGCTGTTAAGAACGTAGCAGGTAGACAGTATCCAGTCGCTGTCGTCTAAGGTGGCTCAGCGAGTTCAATGACTGGTCAAAAGGATGAAGTTCCATTTCATTCAGATATTTGAAATTGTATCGAAGGCCTTCACTATCATAAATCTACGCCATCTATCGAAACTGAACCGCAGGCTGCCAATAACGTCCAACACCCTCCCGACCTGTAAACAACCTTTCAACTTCACCATCCTTCAGGATCATGCCTATTTTCTGCGTGGCCTCAAGGAGCCCAGAATCGCGAAGGGCTTCCTCAAGCATTCGCAGTTCCTCGCGTATCTGAACATAGAACACGACTTCTTCGGGTTCCCACCAGAATGGGTCACGTTGCATGGACATCGTCTCTAAGCCCAGCCGCGATCCGGATTGTGACGGCGGATATGAACTGCTGAAATCCGTGTTGACCACAATGTAGTAGTTTCCGGCGAGTGGATCCTGGTCAGGGTTGTTGCCATAATCTGGCCCTTCAGGCTCAGATCCCTCCTCCCTCGAATCGTTATCCTTCGAGTCGCCATCTTCCGAATTGCCGTACATTATCTGGTGGCACCGCTCCACCGAGACCCCGTAAACATGTTGGAACATCTCGCCTAAGTAGTGATTGCTCGAGCGTAACCTGTTCGCAAGACAGACAATCAGGTCACATTCCGAGATATGTCATCCTACCTCTACGTTAGCCTCACTCAAGGCAAAAACGGTACTTCTAAACGTTGTTTCTCAGAGATAGGGTACTTGCAGTGATTGGATAGTACTTATTAGAGACCCCCATGAAGTCAGTGAAGTTCTCCCTGGTCAGCAATTGAAGGAAGGCATTTAACTCCGACGTGCTCCTCCCGTATCCATATTTGTGGGCTTTTTCCTGGATCAGGTCCCGGAACATATTCTCGGCCGCGTATTGGAAAAGCCTTGGCTGAGCCATTTCGAATTTTTGTGCACGGTGTTGTAGGTCTGAGTTGTTGGTCTGAGTTGTTCGTGTGAATTGAGGTGATGCATGGTGTGAGGAATAATTTCTAGTTTATATGTAGGGTCTTTTGATCAGAGCGCATAATTTGCCTCAAGACTGGTAGCGAGCGTGCTTTTTCGTTGTTGTGATTCATTGCCATGGTTGGTATGGCGCTGGTATTGCGATTCCGTGGTTCATCAGGACCACCATTCCAAGGTGCATCGCCGTTCCACGAACGTTAGCCATTATACCAGTAAGGCGCCGATCAAAGTAAATACTCAAAATAAAGCCACACCTCTTTACGATGGACAAAATCTTGCTCACTCTCTTTGATGTTGCTCAAGCATCATCCGAATACTTCAACTATTTCACGATGATAGGTAGGAATATAGTCACTGAGAACGATTGACCCGTAAATGCCGGCATTCACGAGTCGCTGAGACAAGCTCAATACAATAAGCGCAGCCGAGCCGTTGGATGTGTAGGGTTTGGCTAGGCCTCTGGTATGAACTGTTGCAGTAATGAGACCTAAGCTGAGGTTGGCATCGTCAGCTAGAGACCTTGTTGCATTCTCAAAAGAGCAGTAAGAAGGATAAGCCCACGCCCCTGACTTATACAGCAGCAGAAGGGATACTAAAGACTAGGTTCATACGCATGCCTAAAGGTCTATTAACGTTGCCAAGGACATTTGGAAAGTCGCCGCCCATGGATCGAAGCGCCGGACAAGAAAAGCCCAACACTTGGCCGACATATGTAACTAGGGACCTCGTGGACGTTGCAAAGGGGTTTGGATTCCTTGGCCTGTAATTTGCTCGACTTGATAATTGAAATCAAAGGTAGTGTCCGTATATGTAGCTGGGGGCCTTGTGATACTCTCAAGCATGATGCCGCGTAGTACAAATCTCCGGGTACTAATATGGAGTGCTAGAAGAATGGCATGAGATAGAGGCCTCTTCGCATCAAAAAAATGCAATGATAGAAAGTGTATTGTTCGGTTTTAATTTGATATGCCTAAGATATGACGTCTGATTGACAAGTTTTGGAAAGATCTAAAGCACTCCCAAAGCTACTAAGGATGTAGCAAACAGACAGCATCTAGATACTATTGTCTGAGGTGGCCCAGCGAGTACAGCCATAACCCAATATTATGACTTTCCACCTCGTAAAGTCACCTGAGAATATACCAAAGGCCTTGAAATAGCGGCAGGCAAGTGTGTGCATAGATTTATGATGAGATTTTGCGAAAGAGTAGAGGAACTCACTCTGCCGGCTCTAAAATAACATTGTCAATCAACCTCACGGGGATTTTATCATCCCCAGCCCCCAACTGCTCACCTTCGGCGACCTCCTCAAGCGGCAGCATTTTCATAGCCGTGCTCAATATAGCCCCCCTTGCCGGATCCACAACCTCTACCTCCTCCATTGTTTCCGGATCTGCCAATGATATGTAGTCAACTTCGAACTTCGCCCGAGCTCCGGGATCCAATTCCTCCTGGGCAGCAGCGACCTCATCTGCATGGGCCGTCGCAGGCCACAAAATGTCCCCTCTAGTTCTCTTGCCTGCCAGATACTGCGCCTCGGCCCTCCTCAGTGCCTGGGACAGCACTCGCGCCACATTCCTCCGCCTTGTTCCCAGATATATATTCCTCGAGCTCATTGCGAGCCCGCTTTCCTCGCGCTGCGTCGGACCAACGCGCACCGTCGTGTCCACGTGGAAATCCTTGGCTAGTCGCCGTATTACCGCGGTCTGCTGGACATCCTTCTGGCCGAAGTACACGCGCTCCGGCGTACAGATGTTGAAAAGCTTCAGGCAGATAGTCGCGACGCCACGGAAAAAGACCGGGCGGGACGCGCCTTCTAGCAGGTTCGCCAGCGGGGTGATTGTCACGAAGGAGCCTTTTCCAGGAAGGGACGAGTCTGGGGGGAGCGTGGGATACATCGTCTTTGTAGTTGGCGCAAAGACGGCGGAGATGCGGCCAGCGCCAGGAGTTGCTGCAAGCTCAGCGTCGAGGGTCTCGAGGGCTACGAGATCGGCCTCCCATGTTTTAGGGTACGAGGAGAGGTCTTCGTTGAGGCCGAATTGGGTGGGATTGACGTAGATGCTTATGAACACGTCGGTGTTCTCGACGGCAGCGAGACGGGCGAGGCTCAGGTGACCATCATGGAGGGCACCCATGGTTGGAACCAGACCGACGGTGCGGTTGGAGAGGAGGAGGGAACGGCGATAGGTGCGGAGGGGTGGGACATCGCGGAATATCTGAGGGCTGGAGGAGGCGGAGGCGTAGCGATGGGTCGTGGAGAGAGAGCGGCGGGCTGTGAGAGCTGAAATGGGTCAGTTTAAGGAGCCAATGGCTCGTATATAGGACGATGTCGTACCCGCGATGGTTTGGATTGGTCGGAGCTTAGTAGCCATGGTGTACTCGCGAGCTCGAGGAGGCTGTGTACGATTCGGAAGCAATTTGGAGTTGAAGGAAGAGAAGTGAATCTCTCCCTCGGTGGCCTACGCAGGATAAGCTGACAGGTCCGCTGGAGGCAGCCATGGTGGTGGAGGATTGGGCTTCATTCTCCGCCGCAAATATCATCACGGACGGCTCCACGTGACTTGGGGAAAGCGCTCGGGCCCACTGCTCTTCAACCTTAGATGCCACGACGCTTCCTCCAACTCATCTACAGTCGCTCATTAGAAAAGGAAATAGTAGGCTCTACACACGTGCCATCTCAAACTCACTAAAATTCGCCTTTGTAACCTTTATATTACTGCATCATGTCCAGTTCGTAGCATGGCACTTCAAACAGCGTTCAAGAAGTGTGAACAGCAGCATATATGAGAGCCTCAACCACGACCTCAAAAGTTAACGTCCTATCATGATTCTTCGCAGCACATTAGAGTACTTCAGATAGTGTTATGAGTACAGTTCAGTCTCCTTAGAAATAAGCATTTTCGCAACGATGGAATCCCCATATATCCCTGGACTTTCCGAAGTAATCAACACTCAAACACCCCTACGCCCCTGGAAATCCACTCCGCTCGTAAAGCCTCCAATTACACGTACAGCCCTTTACTTCCCTTATATCCCCGCTTGATCCCATGAGCCACTTAGGCGTCGTCTTCACGTCTCAAACGTTGATCATTCATAAGATTGGCTCGAGTCGCCAGTAGGGTGAACTTTCAGCCCCTGAAGCTTAAGTTGAAGTGCTGGAGAACTGAAATCTAATCCGAGTTTTGCTTATATCACTAGGCATCCTGAGATTATCAAGAAGGTAGCAAGAAAGTGTGAGTCCTGACCCTTCACTTAGACTGCACTGTGAAGGTAGTGGCATGTGAATGTATGTATCTTGTGAACGTGATTCACATTGCAATACTCGTGATACTATCTTAAACGTATTGACATACCGCAGAAGCCCGGCCTAGATTGAGAGATTTTAACATCTATCTTAGACCTTGTCTTGAATGCCCGGCATGCACTCGATTGAGAATGTCAGAAGTATCCCAGCATGATATGGAATTCCGAGTAGGATGTCAACTTTGAAACAGCGTGTATCACACAACCTTCTGGTAGGGTTTCGAAGTCAGGCAGGTCTGAGAGTCAAGACAGGAGTCTCTATGCACTCATTTAGTGATTTGAGAGGGGGTCTGGCGAGGTGAAGAACAATATTGGGTGCTATTACAGATTGCGCGTTTAATAATCATGTCATTCAATGAATACGGACCAGAGTGAACGTGGACTACATGATTAAGTACCTGACATATAAGAACGCAAAGGTCGTCTTAAGAAAGTTTTGGTGTAGGTAGGTACGGGTGTAAAGCACCTGGGCCAGCCCGAGCTCCGAAACAGCGCTTGGACCAGCTCCACCAAAAAGTTTCGTGCGGGTCCTCTTCCATTTTTTGCACTCCCCGCCATATTCACCAAACGACACTCACCACGCAAAGCCGTGTCCCGAAATCATGGCGGATGATGGCATGCTACTCAACTTCTCCATTCCGGACAATGGATTTGTGCGAACGGCTCCGACCTTCAGAGGCGGGCGCTGGAAAGACAGACTAACTGCGAAGAAAGCTGCGCAGCACTGGCAGCAGAAGACAACGACGCCGACGATGACAGGGAATGGTGCCGCTTTAGGCACAAACAGTCTTAGCAGCATCCGAGCGAACAGACTGCGGCAGAGTCCTCCGGTGTCTGAAGAGGAGGAATTCGTTGGTCCAAGTACTGTGAAGAGACAGCGTGTGGATGGAGAATTCAAGCCTGCTTCAAATGGCAATGCGACACCGAATAACGCGAAGGGACGGAACATAGGTCACGAAGCCCCAAGGAACCAGCCGAAGCAGATCATCTCGTCTCTGTTCACCTACAATCCCAAATCGATTACGAAAGAACTTCCGCAGACTGAACCCGTAGACGAGACTCCTGTAGAACCCTCAAACGCACCTCTGAGCAGCGAGCTCGATACCTTCACATCCCTTGGGCTATCGACGACAATTGCGTCCCATCTGTTGAACAAAATGGACATGAAGGCACCCACCGCCATTCAGAAAAAGACCATTACGCAACTTCTGAAAGACGACTCGGATGCGTTGATACAGGCAGAGACGGGCTCGGGCAAGACATTGGCATATCTACTGCCGATTGTGCAACGGATAATGGAGTTGTCATCTTCCATGAAGAAGCGGAAGGCGGATGATGGTCCGGGTGCCATCCACCGAGACTCGGGCTTGTTTGCAATTATTCTCGCACCGACGCGGGAATTAAGCAAGCAGATTGCAGTCGTACTGGAGCGTCTCATTCGTTGTGCGCATTGGATTGTACCTGGTACCGTGATTGGAGGAGAAAAAAAGCAGTCTGAAAAAGCTCGTCTAAGAAAAGGAGTACATATCTTGGTGGCGACGCCGGGCCGGCTTGCAGACCATCTAGAGCACACCGAGAGATTGGATGTCAGCAACGTCCGCTGGCTGGTTCTCGATGAAGGAGATCGTCTCATGGAGCTTGGTTTCGAGAAGGAGATTCAGAAGATCATCGGCAATCTCAACTTAAGAATGAGGGCGGTGAAGGATCCCAAGGCGATGATTCCAGGTTTGCCATCGAAACGAATGACATATCTATGCTCGGCAACTATGAAAACGAATGTTCAGCGCCTGGGAGAAATATCGTTGAAAGAAGCTGCGCTCATCCAAGCCGACACTTTTGACGAATCAAAGAAAGACGACGAGAATATATCTGAGGACCGCGCATTTCTGGCACCAGCACAACTGAAGCAGTCGTACGCCACTGTCCCGGCAAAACTGCGACTAGTGTCTCTCATTGCTTTCCTAAAACGCGCCTTTGCTCGAAAAGGCTCTGTCATGAAAGTTATTGTATTCATCTCCTGTGCCGACTCAGTTGATTTTCATTTCGATATTCTCACGAGTCAGCTTGAGTCAGAGGACCCTTCCGACACCGAGGAGCCAAAGGTAGTCCAAGAACCGACAAAGCAGAGGGATTCAAAATCACAGCCCTCAAAAACGCCTCAGTCAAACCCAACAGTCCTAGCCGTAACACATGCCGAATCTAGCGTTCTCTCACAAAAGATCTACAAGGTCACCACCTACCGTCTTCATGGGTCTCTTCCTCAGGCCCTTCGCACTTCCACCCTCGCACACTTTACCAAGAACACCGAGCCGTCTCTCCTCCTAGCCACCGATGTGGCCTCTCGCGGTCTCGACGTCAATGCCGACCTCGTTATTGAGTTCGACCCCGCGTTCGCTCGCGAAGACCATCTTCATCGTATTGGTCGCACGGCTCGCGCCGGTCGCGACGGTCGCGCTTGCATCTTCCTGATGCCCGGTTGCGAAGAAGGCTACGTCGAAATCTTGAAAGGCGATCGCAAAGAGAGCGAGGGCGGGCATAACATCAGTCGGCAAGACGCAGAAGAAATCCTCAGGAAAGGTCTCGTTGATTCCGGCCCATCGAAACCCACGCTCAACAGATACGGGAAACCAGACAAGGTGACTTATGCAGACAAGGCGACGAATCTGCAACTTGCGGTCGAGCGATGGGCAATGGCATCTCCGGCTAGGCTTGAGAGTGCGAGGAGGGCATACCAGAGTCATATCCGCGCCTATGCGACTCATGTCACTGCAGAACGTGGGTACTTTGATATCAAGCAGCTGCACTTGGGGCATTTAGCCAAGGCGTTTGCGCTGCGGGAGAAGCCATCGGGCATGAAAGTGCCAGGCCAGCGGACGGGAGCTGGAAGGGACAGTGGCAGAGGGGGCGCGAAGGGTGCTGGGAGGAATGAGAAGGGTGAAAGGAAGAGTACGAGGAAGATGCAAGTGGTTGAGCCGCAGCCTGGTGAAGCTGAGGAGGAAGCAGCGAAGATGAGGAAGGCCGTTAGGGCGAGGGAGAAGTTTATGAGAGGTGCGGGTGTGGCAGATGAATTCAATCTTGGCTAAAGGTTTCGAGTGGACATACAAATAATATACCCATCAAATTGGACGGGTTCTCAAGCTTCCGATGTCAGGAATGGTTTTCGAAGTGATTGCAGACTCTTAACAAGTGTGCACTCTCGTCTAGCACCGTTTGAAGTCCTTCGACATGGTATCAGAAATCTGGATGGGCCGTATCTCAATCGTTTTGAACAAGCGGTAAACTCACTGGGCTACTCCAGACGGCTTCGTCTCCTAGATCAGCCACTATCGATAATGCATCATGATGAATATATGCCAAGAAAACAGATCTGTATTGTTTGCAGACTTTTCCTAAGTGTGTACAGTCGTTTGACACCGTTTGAGGTGCTTCGAGACATTTTAAGAAACCGTATTTCAGCTGTTTTCAACATGCGTTAAGCTCCTCTGGCCACCTCAGACGGTGTCATCCCACAGAGTTTTGTGCACGCCAAGAGCTGTCAGGACATTGTATCACGACAGGGCGCTGAGACCTCCAAGCTTCATACACCCCACCATCAACAACAACAACATCCATACAAAGGTGCGTGGCTACGTCAGTTTCTACAGTGTGTCCCTCTATATCCTGCGGATGACTGTGGCCATTGAAAACGCCATCGCGTTTGGCCTAAGCCATCCTGAGCCACGTGCTTCGTTGGCTCACAAACATTCGAGCTTTGCTACCGTTCTGCTGTCTCTATTGTTCTTCCCGTCATTCGCAACATATCAGAGTCGATTACACTGACGGTGACGTCATCTTGCTCCGTATCATTTCACCTGTCATGTAACCTTCCTCGTGCACCTGTTCATCCTCATCTTCCTACGTCAGACCACCAACCTCAACTGACTCCTCTTTCATTACCCAGCTTTGACAGCGTTTGAGGTGGCTCGAAGCGTCAAACCACTTCACAAACAGTACCCGCCTACGACCCGCGCCAACCATGGACTACGATTACTACGAGGACATGGCCAGGCGACGCAAGGCTTTTCGTGCGAAATGGCCGGAGCAGAGCCCCAGCCCGCCGCCGCCTGAGGTTCCTCAGGCAGCCCAGCCCATACATCAAAACATGGCACATTCCTTTGAGAATTACATTGACCTGAGCTCACCTGAGTCGATTCCTCAATCTCCGCCTCCACAAAATCCACTGAAGCGCCCCCGAACAGTCCAAGCCATTAGCAACGCTTCACCATCTACGTCCACAGATGGGGGCCGGCAGCCACCGGATTGGTATAGCAAGCTCAGACTGGACAGTCAAGCGGTGAAGGCAGCGCGAAATAATACCAGAAAATACGGTCCCACGATGACTAAGCTCCAGGGCATCAAGGCTGCTTGCAAGGCTTGTGAAGAAGCATCGCCAAAAACGTTAATGGCGGAGATGACTAAGCGTTTCGATACCCTACGAAACTTGATTCACGACGTGGAGTTCCTCACAGTCGATCAATATCTGATCAGGTCCTTCCGAATGCTCGAGAACAGGACCGGATTGCCTCGCATTTTCGACCCAAAGTTCACAGAAGGGGTTGATTATCCTTGGGATCTCAAGGCAGATGCTGAACAGCTCTACACCAGATGGTGCAGAGAAATCTTTTCCATTGATATCCTCCGCGGGATAAAGCGGGCCTTCGACGGGCAGCGCAATTCCGATAAGATCGATCCTGATTACAAGCAACGATTGTATGCAAACTACTATGGACAAGGCAATCTTATCAACGGCCAATGGTGGCCCACCCAGCTCTGCACCCTCCGAGATGGTGCTCATGGGAGTGCGCAGGGTGGGATCTTCGGCGAGAAGGATAGAGGCACCTATTCCATTGTGCTCTCTGGTGGCCATAAGTACGGCGATGAAGACCACGGCGAGGAAATTTGGTACACCGGGACCGATAGCAAGGATGAAACACCGACTGAAAATACCAAGCGGCTGATCGAGTCCTGCGAGATGCCGGAAAATGAGAAAGAGCCCGTCCGCGTCATCCGCTCCTGGAATCTGGGTAAAGAGAATAAGTACCGTCCTGAGGGTGGTTTCCGGTACGACGGGCTGTACGACGTTATTGAATCCCAGTCGATTGGTAAAGAAAAGGGGATGTACAAGTTCTTCCTCGTCCGAAGAGGCGGCCAAGACCCGATTCGCTACGAAGGTGTCGAGATGAGACCGACACAGCAGGAGTTGAAAGAATACAAAAAGCTGCAACAGGAGAATAAATTATGATGAATCATTCGGTCTAAACTCTCACTATCCGGGCTTCTCCTGGCAGCTTTTGGCGGGATTTCGTGGCGTTTGGGTAGGTTGAAATGGCAATTGGTATGGAAGGCTCGCCAGGTCTCGGGTCTAAGTTGTCACAAATTCGGTATTTCTTTGGCAGGGAAACAAGGGTTAGCATGTAAGCGTGGAATTTATGCACGAAAGCGTCCTAGGACTTGGGCGTACAGATTGGTACGTTTGCCTGGTTTTTTCGGTGGAGAGCAAGAAGCCGTCATTGGGGCTTGCTCTGGCTCATGACTTCGGAGACGCTCATAGAGCCACAAAATTGACGAAAATGGGCTCTTCATATTCAGTGCCTCTTTACCGGTGACATTTGGATGACTTCGTTACGCTGGTCAGGAATTGGAACGAACAGGCTAGACGTTTGCACCCTTCGAAAAGTCATCGAGGCACCTCAGACTGGGTCAAACGGTAGGCAACTCACTCAAGTTCGGATGGCCTCAAATCACACTCATCTCAGGAACTTGAAAAGCAGGCATCCCAAATCAAGGCGATGAATCTGCTTCAGCGGGGCTCTCAGGATGTATTTGAGGTGCCTCGATACGCTGTAGACTAAGTCACTAGCTTTGCTCTATCGACCTGAATTACAATCTACGATCGAACGTCAACATCAAAGGTCTGCGAAATAGCGAGGTTCGCCACGGACGTACCTTGCAAACCCAATATCAAGCTCCAGTGCGGAAGCTTCTGCGTTCAGTGCATACGCTCCGGAGACCCTCGACTAGCTGCAGTAGCAATCACAGCGACCACCTCCTCTGGCAGATTCAGCCTCGTTGCGCGGTTTTATCTTCCCAGCTCCTTGGATCATGACTCTCCGTCTCGCTCCGTGCTTCACCCTACCCACCTCTGCCCAACCCTATCGTACCCGATAACCTCAAGGTCGATATTCAGAGTCTTGAGCATCATATCCATCGTGAACGACTGTAACACATCAGCAAACCTCCAGCAACTCAGCAATTACATTCCTCCACTCACATCATCGTCCGGCCCCTCGTCCCTTACTGCCTCCCTTTGCTCCTCCTCCCCACCCTCATCCTCCCTCTCAGCCTCCTCATATTCCCTTTCCTCTCGCTCTCCACTCCCACCACCACCCTCCTCCTCCCGCGCAGCCCTCAACCTCTCCTTCGCCTCCGCCATCTCCGCCTCACGCTCTTCCCGCTCCCACTTCGCATTCCTATCCCGCTGATCTCGCTCCCGGTCCCGCCACGCGCCAACGCCACCCATCCTGTTCACGCGGTCTCGAGTATTGGCGAACAGCTCCTCCGCCGCAGCCCGGCTCGCGGTCCGCCATCGGTCAATCAGGACCTCGAGGTCCGCATCGGTAGAGGAGGTCGCGAGAGCGGTCGCTTGGGTGAGGGTTTGGATCTCGGCGCGGAGAGCGATCAGCTGCGTGTTTGTGGAGTTGGGGCGCAAGGCGTTGGAGGTGCGGACGGGGGTGCGAGCGGGGGTGTAGGTGGGGTTTCGAGGGTTTGGGGTGCGGGCAAGAGAGCTGGTAGGTGTAGTGGTGTCTTCCGTAGGATTGGCAATGGCTGGAGAGTCGGTCTGCGGCTTCAATGGCGTGCGGAACGGGGATTTGAAGGGCTTGTGGAGGGCGGAGGCGGCGTCGACACGCCGACGTTTTGCGGCTGGCGTGGACATTGCGGAGTTAGTGCTGCGGAGGTCAGTTTGGGAGCTTGAGGCGCGTTTGAGGGCGCGAGACCTGGGGTTGTGGTCTGGGGTTTGGGTGGGAGCTTGAAGATTGGGGCTCGAGCTTCCCACTTCGTCGTCGTTTACTCCATTCCATCTACCTTCATCAACATCATCTATATTCATTGGATAAGTTACAAGCTACATCCACAAGCCGTCATTTTCATCCTGTTTTGCCCTCAAGAGTCTGTATCTGTACTACGATACCGAATATCTGTGACGTATTCTACTTCTTAGGAATCCTTTGCCTACTCATCCACCAAAAATCTCCTGCCATATACAGGCCTCTCATCATGATCGCCGTTCTTGAGCTTCTAGAGTGCTTTATTCAAGCACCGCCCTCGCTTCCCGTAGCTCGAAACTACAACCTAAATTAGGGGCCAGGATTCACCCGTTCTTGCTACGTCTTAGAACGCTGGAATTGAATTCCATGAAACCACAGGGTATGATGAGGTAGCTTTTATTGTGAGCTCGGAGTGCGGAAATAGTGAAAGGCCTGAACTCACAAACTGTGCAATCAAGATCAGGATGACTATCACGAAACTCTTTGCTCAACTTCCACTGTCCCACTCGATCAAGACCGTATTTGCAAGCCAATGGGTTCTTCCGAAATCTTGGTATTATCGGGTCACTTTCTCCGGACATCAGACCAGCCCTTGGTCCATTTTTCATTCTCCACGATACTTCATGAACCAGGATATCTTCTATTTGCGTGGCATTGTACTGAAAGAGTGACCACGACGGTGCTAGTATTGCGCGATTTTCCAGCTCGTGCGTCTTGTCGCTCGGCAAGATATTTTGCATGTATACATCAAGCGTGGCTAGAGCCACCCGATGTTTTGGCACTTCCACTACCGTATGCAGCAGAATATCCTGGATTATCCTATCAAGGTCGCAATCGCTGGCCTTCAGAATCAGCTGGTCTCTTAATGACGATGACGGTACGAAGTCAATAGCCACGGGGTGGTCCAGCAAGTTGTATTGAAGAGGAGTTGGACGGAATGGGTCTGGAATGGCTAGACGGTTTTGCAGAGTCGGGCTGATCCTCCAGCGCATGATACGTTCGAATGGCACATCACTTCCGATCCCATATATGTAAGTGTCCAACCCGGAGAAGACGGTCAGAAGATAGACAGCGATCGCGGCTACATCAGAGATGCATTGCACACCACGCTTCTCAATATCTAGATGTGTTGACGGGGTTTTTGCAATGGTAACGGTCTCTGGTAGCCCAAGCGTCTGTGCGATGTATTTTCGGCACGCCTTCTCAATATTGCTAATGAAATGGCAAGGTACAGCCTGGATCGACTTTGTCTCATCCGACGCCGTGATCGGTGAGATTTGTCCGGTATTCAGGAAAGCGATTAGAGGTGGATAGGCCTCGAACATCGTAAAGTCGGAATCAATGTCGAATACTGGTAAAGGTTCCACAGGGTTGACGGCGTCTCTTACGACAAGTTCATCTGATTCCCAGATAGTACTGCTTTCCAGATTAATAGTGGCATCAAAGTGAGGTGTTCTAGAGCTGGAACCGTCAATCGCGCTCTCCATGTTGGCAGATCTCGAAGTAAACTGGTCTACCGCTTCCAAAGAGTCGCCCTCCGGCGACATCGCGGCTTCCGAGTTAGGTTCTGGACCTCCGGTTTGTTGTACGTGAGAAGTCGCGGATGCCACAGTTCGTTCACTGGTATCACGCTTGCCCTTTCGAGTTTGCAGGATTTCATAAAAGATGTCGCTGTCTACTTCAGATGTAAGCTATAGCCAAAGAGGTTAATAAGAGAGGATGCCTCGTCCTTGGTCTTCGCACGCCGAGTAGCAGAGGTGTGTGCACAGATTTATTGCGAGGCAACGGAAACCCTTACCTGCTGCTTCCGAAGCAACATTGCTTAGACTCATCATCTTCTTCCGCATTTGTAAAAGAGCATCTTTCAGTCTCTTGTTCTCTTCAATAAGGGCAATGTGGGCGTCTAGCAAAGCAGTTTGGCCATCCTTTCCCTCCGTTGACATTTCATTCCTTGATTTGATCATATCGACGAACATTTCCAGTTGTTTCTTGTGCGCCTGTTGCTTTTCCCGAACACATCTTTGAGATATCCGATTTTGTTGCCTCCTCCTACTTATTCGTGTAGACTCGTTCTTCTCCACGGACGTCTTCTGATTCGAGGGTTTTCTAGCTTGGATTGGCGTGCTAGTATTCATGGCTACATTTAATGGGAGCCAAGTAAAGTGGTCAGATCTCAATTTCTGAGCAGAAGCTCCGGACGAAAGATCAAGTGAAGAGCGAAGATTGTGGAGGGAAGAAGGTTGGTGACAGATTGACATTCGTACGAGGCTTTCCCGACCCAGAATGGATTAGATTGCGGGGAAATGTGCTGCACCCTTGCGCCGATCTGGGAAGCATGCTGCATGCACGGGGCTCCCACGGAATTGTGGTCACATTCCGGCCATTCAGTGGTCACTCATTCAGCATTATCTGCAGTTGAGATAGACTGAAACGTCACGAATCTCAAGGGATTTTAAAACAGCAACCAGCTAGTAAGTGGTTCCAGTACCTAGGCTCTCTTGCCCAGACCTGAGTTGTGTTAGGATTTACAAGATACGAGAGCCTAATGCGTTGCCTTCCCAAACGTATGGACGTGGCCAATTGTCTCTGTTTCGGCGGTTCCGATAGATATTTCGAAATCTAGATGGAAGATTGAGGTTTGAAACCGCAGGATTCACTTGTACAGTAATACTAGACGGCTCCGGATTGACAATTCACCGACCAGCTAGACATTAAAATCAACCACAAGCCTTCCCGCAACTTCGCCAGCATGAAGTTTCGCCACCGCCTGCGGAAGTTGATTAATTGGGAAGCTTTCATAGGCAACTCTCAGCTGGCCCTGGGGAACAAAAACGCCCAAGTCAGCTCATGTGATAGAGGACGACGTTGTCTATAAGCTTACCTGGGCAGCGAATTCAAGTACTTTCTGGGCATCTGCCATATTTCCAATCATAGTTCCAATGGCCCGAGCGCTCTTTAATATGAGTAAATTGGGATCCAGTCCCGATGGAAGCGAGCCTGGCGGAGCTTGGAGAAATTCAGCCTCCCATAGTAGATGTTTCGGAAAGCACACTTACGATGTCCAATACACATAATCTTTCCGCCAAACCTCACCATATGGATAGCAGTTTGATAAGCTTGGGCAGAACCAGACGCGACGAGAATCGCGTGAGCTCCTTTGCCCCCAGCGAGTTTGAGAACCTCCTTGGGCACACTCTCGACCTCTTTGAAATCAACAAATGCATCAGATCCAAGTTCCTGGCATAGAGACTTCTTGGCCGCGCCGCTGTCGACTGCAATGACACGTAACCCCATCACTTTGGCAAGTTGTATACCGAAATGGCCGACACCACCACCGGCACCAGATATCACCACCCAGTCATCAGTTTTTAGTTCAGCTGCAATCAGCTATCGTGAGTAGAATCGAAGTCAGTATTTATCCTATATTGCGAGGCTGAAATAGTGTCGAGTAGGCTAAAACCACATACACTTCGGTATACTGTCGTGCCACTGCACATGAGCGGTGCCGCAGTGAAGTCATCCACCTCATCCGGAATCCTTTGGGTATATGATGCCGGACTTGTGATATACCCCTGGTATGTCCCTATTTGCTAAGATATTAATGTTCCTCATCTGTCAGAGCCTTAAGGAACAGTAGACTCACCTGGAACTCCAAGGCCAGTAGGAATCAAACTCTCGCAGTGCATCTCGAACCCAGCCAGGCAAGTCTCACACTTGAAGCAAACTCTCCAAACCGGTTTGACACCGCCTCGATCACCAATTTTCCAGTCAGTGACTGCAGAGCCCACTTTGACGACTACACCGACACCCTCGTGGCCTGGTGACCGCACACCAGCCTGGGTCATCTTTGCGGACATGAATGGAGTGCTCATGTAAGAGATGTCGCTATGGCAGAGCCCCGTTGTGCTCATTCGTAGAAGTAGCTCATCCGGGCCTGTATGCATATTCGATTATGAGTAACCTAGAGCCATCATCCTTACAGATTTGGCCAATTGGACTTTCTTACCTGGCTCCGGAACTGCCACTTCCTCAACCACGACACTGAAATATGGACCAGGGTTGACGACACAGCCTGCTTTGCAGGCAGCTGGAATGGAAGGGGGCATGTTTGATAAGGTCTGCGGCGAGATCTCTTGTACGGTTGGATGATGTACGTTTGTCCACGAGGGAATACGTCAAGGAAGGCTGGACTCCTAAATGATTATGCCTACGAGAAATTCGCACAACAAGTACATCGAGCCAAAAGATACTGCAGCAAAACGGGTGGTCGCTAAAGGGTTATTGAACTCGGGGCAAGTGAGGTGTGGACCTCCGAAAGTGGGTCTTGTGAATTATATTCCAGCAAGCCCCAATGCCAGATCTGGAATAATTAGCCAGTGGGGCACTTCATCATAGGGTGTGTACGGGTGTGTACGATTCGTAAAGCTATGGCTCGTCACAATATAGATGCAGAGTTAGCAGAAAGATCGAAATAGGCGACATTGCCCAAATTTCGGGTATCGTCACCTAGCCGCGGAGTTTGGAAAGCCGGGAGGTCCAAAGAGTTGATGACGGTCTGAGATGCCATGTCAGCGTGTACGCTTATACATCGGTGCTGTCCTCAACTGCCTTGTCAGAAAAGGTTGACTTGCTCTCCCGCTTTTAGTTAGCACAGTAGAAGGACCAAATGCGGTGGACTATCTGCACTACACAGATCAGGACGGAGTAGTTCGTTGAGTTTATACCCAATACGCTAATGATTCTAAGTATAGGCTAGTTGAAAGGAATGAACTCGGGGAGACTTTCCGGGCGGGAAAGAGAAGAGGTCTCCACGGAAACTACCACCCTTCTCTCCACTCTAGGGGCTCCATCCGACCATCTACAACACTGCTGTGGAGAGCACCACTTCCGATCCATATGCAAGATGCGGAGATACGCTCGGCTTTAAAAAGATGCTCAACACCCCGTTCTTACAAGCTCGCGTTTGCTAGCCGTTATAAAATTAATGCAAAGTCATGAAATTCACGGTCAATGAGCGGCATTACATATCTCGGAATAAGAGGGGTTTATCATAATAGCTCTTATATTATCTTACTTTTCTTCGCAGTCTACGCTGGGGAAGAGAGTTCATGATATTAAGGTACGAGTTTTTGACAACCTCTCTTCAATTACGAAGACTCTCGACCTGCGCCTGTTTGAGTAGAGCACTATAAACAACAACTTCCTGGCAGTGCCACTTGGTATCCCTTACTTCAACTTAATTTCCCAATATGTCTACGCCAGCACCGAGAGTGATTCTGGGGCTGATGACCTTCGGCCCGCCTGGCGGCCCGGGAGCTCGAATTGACAAGCTGGACGACTTCAAGAAATGCCTCGACTATTTCCAAGATCAAGGCTTCGATGAAGTCGATACTGCCCGGCTTTACATTCACGGTCAGCAAGAAGCCTTCACTGCCGAGGCCGGTTGGAAAGAAAGAGGACTTAAGCTAGCCACAAAATGGTACCCTACCAAGCCCGGAATGTTCAAAGCAGAGACTGTCAAAGCAATGGCCAACAAGTCATTTCAAGAGCTGAAGACAGATTCGGTCGATATTTGGTATCTCCACGCAGCAGACCGGAGCGTCCCAATTACAGAAACGCTGGAGGCTGTGAATGAGCTCTACAAGGAAGGCAAGTTCAAGAAACTCGGTTTGAGCAACTTCTCTGCATTTGAAGTGGCTGAGGCGGTGACGATCTGTATTGAACGGGGCTGGGTACGGCCGTCCATCTATCAAGGATGTTATAATGCGATCAGTGAGTACCATCTGCTCGGCACTGTAAGAGACAATTCACTGATACCGTCCCCATAGCCCGAACAATTGAGACGGAATTGATACCATGCTGTCGCCGTTTCGGCCTCCATCTCGTCATCTTCAACCCTCTCGCTGGCGGTATGCTTGCAAAGAAGTATAACAAAACCGAAGTTCCAGCGAAAGGCCGATTTAGCGATGCGGAAGGTGGTGGAATGGGGGCGATGTACCGCGCGCGATATCTCAAAGATGCGACTTTTGAGGCAGTCCAGCTCCTAGAGCCGGTCATTGAGAAACATGGACTGACACTGGCTGAGACGGCCTTGCGGTGGTGCGTGCATCATTCGGCACTGAAGGCGTTTCCTCCTGGGAACGACGGTATCATCATCGGCGTCAGCAGCTTCGAGCAGTTGGAGAGCAACGTCAAGGATCTGAAAAAGGGTCCTTTGCCACAAGCAGTGGTAGAGGCCTTGGACGAGGCGTGGTTGTTGGCGAAACCTACTGCGGCTAACCCATGGCACGGGAGCCTGGATTATACGTATCAAGTGTGAGACATCCGTAGCTTCGAAGGATATTAGCTCCTGAAATCTCGTGTTTTGAATAGAGCGTTAATCCATTTTTACTGAATCCAACATACATGCTGTAATCCATCACATTTTGTTTGCCACCGTGAAGCTACTCAAACACAGTTGCGCACCCAGAAAGATAGTCCAATAGTTTATCATAGAATTTGATGAGAGTGCCTTTATAAGCTTTCAAGACTTAATACACAATGAAAAGCTTGGAAGTCAAGCGGGCTTCGAAATGCTCTTTATTGGCCTAAAACAAGACCAGATGAAAAGGCGATGTCATAGACTAGACGTCCTCAACTAGGGGACCCGTAGAGTGTATAGGTGGGACTAGAGTCGGATGGGCCTGAACATAGTACTATACCTTGACCAATTAAATCCAAGAGTCCAACGTCACCATTTCTCACGCTGCAAGAGCATCTGTCAGCTACTTGCCGGTCATGCATCGGAATTTTCCTGCAGGCATTCTCCACTTAGCGAACTTCCCTTCTCATCACTACCAGCCATTGTATTTAGGACATGGGCATCTAAAAAGAAGTGTTTTCGAAGAGTATAAAGGCAAAGGACACAGATTCACACTTGTGTTCGTTTCTCGAGTTCAAAGATGGCACCCACCAACCTCTCCCTTTTCATAGCCGGAATCGGCCTGCTGTCTTTTCTCTTCCTCACATTCAGAACCAGAAGCGCAACGAAAGTTCCCAAAGGCCTCCGTCTACCCCCCGGCCCGCGCGGCTGGCCACTCATCGGCAACACCCTCCAGCTCGACGCCCACCCCCAAAAGCAACTTCGACAATGGGCTAAACAATACGGCGACGTCTTCTCTCTCTCCCTGGGCGGTTACAACTGGGCCATGGTATGCAGCGCCAACGCCGTCAAAGAAATCATGGACAAACAATCCGCCTCCACCTCCAGCCGGCCACCAATGCCGGTGCTCAGCGACCTGGTCTCTGGCGGCATGCGTACCATCGTGATGCAGTACACACCGGCGTGGCGAACGGTGCGGAGTGTGGTGCACAAGCTACTGACGCCGAAGGTGTCGGATACGTTCAAGCCGAGCCAGGAGTTTGAGGCTAAGCAGCTGCTGTGGGATTATCTGACGGATAACGAGAGCGGTGGGGAGTTTTACGCGCATACGAGGAGGTATACGACTAGTGTGGTTATGACGAGTACGTACGGGAAGAGGGTTGCGTCTTGGGTACGTAGTCCGTTTCGTCCAGCTTTTCGAGTGCGGGCTTGGCCTAGGTTAACGTTGTCCCAGGGCGCTAAGCACATCAAAGAGGTCTACCAGGTAATGAACGAACTATCCATGCTCGCAATGCCGGGAGCTTTCTTCGCGGATATGTTCCCGAGTCTCGCAAAGCTGCCTACCTGGATGCAGACGTGGCGTAGTCGCGCCCTTCGATACCACAAGAACCAGGCAGGCATATGGCTTGGTCTATGGGAAGAGCTTCAAGACGACATCCAGAACGGCAAAGCGCCGGATTGTTTCGTGAAGCAGGTGTCTGACATCGATCTCGAGAAGCAAGGGCTAACTCCCGTACAAGGTGCTTGGATTGCTGGCAGTGAGTGTGAATCGCCGCCAGACTTGACATGACGCAATGCCTTCTCAAGTGTCTACGTAGACTCTTCTACCACTCCTCAACGTGCTTGGACAGATGTTCAGAAATCTGCGGGTGTATGACGGCCCCTTCTGGAAATTTCTGATATGTTGATGCACCACAGGTAGTAGCAGAAGAGTCTACGCAAACATATGAGAAGGCTCTGTGGACTAACAGTATATCAGCACTTATCGAAGCTGGTTCCGAAACTACAGCATCCTCAATCAACAGCGGTCTGAAACTTCTTGCCGTCAATCTTGAAGTCCAAAAGACCGCAAACGAGCAGCTCACGAGGATTGTCGGCGAAGATCGTACTCCAAACTTCGAAGATGAACCAAACCTGCAATATATCCGAGCGATCGTGAAAGAGATATTTCGAATGCGGCCGGTTGCCACGATTGGCGCTGCCCATTACAGCACTGCCGATGTTGTATACAAAGACTTTTTCATCCCCAAGAATACGATCATAGCGTTAGTGATGAGTGTTATCCACTTTGACGATCGATATGAGGAGCCATATGCCTTCCGTCCCGGAAGGTACATGGACCACACCCTTCGCGCAGGCGCGTACGCGGCGATGTCGGACCCACTGCAAAGGGATCATTTTGGATTCGGTGCTGGTCGGCGCATTTGTCCTGGTATGCATCTTGCTGAGAATAGCGTGTTCATTACCATGGCGAAAATTCTGTGGGCGTTTGAAGTGCGACCTGCCTTGGGGCCCGACGGGAAAGAAGAAGAGCTTGACAATTCGGATGATGCTTTTGAGGAGGGAACTATTGTTGTGCCGAAGCCATTCCGACTTCGTTTCGTCCCACGAAGCCCACGGCGGGAAAATGTTATTCGTCAGGAATGGGAAGCAGCTCAGCGAGATGGTTATTGGTGGGGAAATGTGAAAGTGGGTAAGAATGGAATGATGTCTTGAGAGACCAACAATGTCCCATTGCTTGAGTGCTACTCTTGGCCGATCGACACCACTGTCAGGAGTGCCCTGCTGCAAGGTAGCCAAACGTCAGAATAGTGGTTTAATCTACACAGCACGGACCTTTGCATCATGTCTAGATTCTGGCCAGACCATGGGGGCACCCCAAGCAGTGACAACCCAGTGTGTACAGACCTTTGGCAAGACACTGTAAATAGGATAAAAATTCAAGTGCCTTCATCTTCTAACTCCTATGGGTATTGCGTATGTCTGTTAACTCCCGAAAAACCTGATGGTCACTCACCCAATGACTCCTATCCCTGAACCCATGCCTCGTCGTCCCAAAACGTGCCCATGCGGAACCGCTAGTATTAAAGATGCTGTTGCTGCTACTTGCCGCCCAATTCCGACTCCAAATGCTACACAAAGTCAGTAATGTTGTCACCTGGGGTGGGAGAGAAGAAAGAGTAAACCGAGGTTCAACCTTCATACAAGCAGCTTTGTTCCAAAACCTCCCTCAGAAACTGAGTGAAGAATTCGTCGAGCAGCTGGAAGATCAAGGTTGTCGCCGCTGAGAAGAGATCTTTCGTTTACTTACCGTCCATTCAGGGACTTCCTTTATTTTTGACCACATAAACTTCTCCAGTCTATTTGCCGCTTTTGCATAGGGTGTCGTCTCATTATTATAGCGACGGCAATTATCGAAAATGAGCTTTGCATCCCTTATGAAGTCCTCCGGAGTCGGGTAGAGGTCTTTCTCGTGCTTCTCCTCCATGGTCGCGAGGTCCATTGGCTCCTTGATTACGTCGTAATAATCTGCAACCTCGTCTTTATTGACAGGCTGTTGGAAGGGCCATGCATTGCTGTTGTTTTGCATATCGTTGAGGAGGTGAAGTAGCTGGTTGTAATTAGGCCCATGTCGGGGCGCTCGGGCTAGCTCGTCCATGTCGGGCGACCATCCAGATTCTTTGATAGCGGGAATCGACAGCGGGTCGATCTTGCAGGGTCCGTTTTTCCACTGAATTGGGGGTGGATGAATGTTGTAAGACTTCGAAACAGCTCTTATTTTGGCGTGGACGCACTCCTTTTGCTTCAATAACATCCGGCCAGACTCCAAATATCTGATTTTTGGCACCATGCTACACTGCATGATAGTCCCACCCTCGTAGTCTTTGATATATCCCATCCATCGCGGTTTCTCCAGTGTAATCTCCTTCGTAAAGCCTTGCTTCTTGAAGTATCCAATGGCGTAGTTGTCGGCGTATGTGAGGAAGTGCATGACGTCGGACGTGGCCTTGACATAGTCTTTCAAGTGTGACATCAGATGCGCACCGTATCCCTTGACCTGCTGATCGGAGGAAATGGCGCAGAAGACGATCTCGGCAAACTGGCGGCCTTTGAATGGTCGATAAGTGATGCCACTAAGAGGTTAGCAGCGGCATCACGACGCACGCATGAAGGCCAACTTACCCAACGACCTCCAGAGGCTTCTTCACTATCGCCATGGATAGATGAGTGCGATCATACACTAGCCGTGCTATGTAGTCCTTGGGCATTTTGGGGAGCTGTTTCTGGAAGATGCATTTCAGGCCGGTGAGGATGATGGAGCTGTCCTTCTTGCCGTCGTTGTTGACTACGCGGAACTCGATTTCGCCGTTCCGCTCCTCTATCACGGCAGGCTTCTCTGGGAATGGGACCAGCTTGGGAGCTCGCTGGACGGGGCCGCCGTCAACGTCGGAGGGCGTCTGGGGGTCTGGTTTTGGCCGTTTGGAGGGGCTTCCGCTGTCCAGGACATTCTCGGCCTTGCGTTTTGCTGGGAGAGTGTAAGTGACTCTGGGGGTTTCTATGGATGTGTCGTCTGTCGATATTTCCCAGTGCTGATGGAGGGGCGAGCGACGATGCATCGCCGAGGCGTCTTGAGGACTTGAGGGCTTGAAGCTATCTTGACGCAGGGTGGTGAAGGAAAGGCTGGACTCACCGTCTTCTTTGACGACCAGAGGAGCCATCGTGATGCGAGTGAAGCGGTCACGGGATACGGGCAAAGTACATTCAGAGAGAGCATTCGGAGCGCGTTCCTGACGTTGATCGGAAGAAAACCGGGAGGCGAAGGAGTCTTGGCGCACTTCCGCAACGCGTCGCCGTGAGAGGCCAAGCAGAAGCAGAAGCATACTGCACCACTGCACCTCCTAATTCAACTCCCCACGTCCACAACACCGCTCCATGTCTTCGCCGCTGCACGATATCTGGGAGGCCGCCTCTGCCTCGCCATACCAGCCCTCCGTCTCAAAGGACTCGCAGTTCTTCGTCGGAGCTGTCCTGCTCTTCACAGCCTTCATCCTTACAGGCGTGTTCGGACTCAGTGCGTACAGCAGGCCTCATAGCTTCCGACCCAGCTAACGTCTCCAGACCGGTCAATTGTCACTCTGCCTGTGCTCGGTGTTCCTGCATCTCTTGCATTTGGGTAATTCATGCCCCTCAACACGGCCCTCGATCGGTGCTAACATCCCCAGCTTCGGTGCGGTATACATGATTTGCGCCGTCGGCGTATACGTCTAAAAGCTCTTTCATCCGTCGGTCAGACAGCGCGGCGTCCGGGTTTCTCTCTGTAGTCTACGTCTGGGGAATGCTATAAGATCTATCACCTTGCAAGTGCACTCCTGCGACTACTGCTTGACAAAATGTCGGACCTTGGCGTGGAAGAAGGGCCAATCTTCAGTGCGATATCAGCTTCAGCCAGACAACTTTTTCTGCTCCTTCGATGCATCGGCTTTGCGGACAAGGCCCAGGTTCAAATCTCGGAGGAGGGGCTTAGGTTCAGCGTAGAAGAGTCGAGCGTCATGGAGGGTATGTTGTACTCAACAGTCGCTCATCAAGCCACATTACTGACCGCGCTCTAGGGCTCTGCTTTCTAGAAAAATCCCTTTTCACCAGCTACGTGTACAACAGTACCTCCGCTCGCCCATCCACACCTATTTCCCAAGATTCTGACGCCACCGGAGTTGATCAACCAATCTTTCAGATATCTCTCCCTTCTCTCCTCGAAACTCTCCAGATTTTTGGTCTCACCGACCCCAACACAAACCGACCACCATGGGCCCGCGATAATCATGCTGCGCCCTCTACAGCATTCTCGTCCAATGTCCTGGGCATGAACCACGTCTGTCGCTTGGGATACGACGCTTCTGGGTCCCCTCTTTCCGTGATCCTCGAGGAGTCCTCCATAAAAACCACATGCGAGCTCACGACCTACGAGCCTGCCTTCGCAACTGACATTCCATTCTCCCGCAAAGATCTCGCCTTGAAAATCATCATGCGCGCCAGCTGGCTGCATGACGCAATCACAGAGCTAGCTTCTACTTCACCTACTCGTCTTACGCTCGTGGCTCGTATGCAGGACGGAAAGCCATATTTTGCACTCAGTGCTAGTGGATCGCTAGGATCGGCGAGAGTTGAGTTTAACAATGCCAAAGCCACTACATTTGCACTAACCGCGACGAACACTGTTCAGCCTGATACGTCGCCCTCGTTACTATTGGAAACATTCCAGCTTGCCGACCCCACCGCTAAAGTAGTAAACTCTTACAAGTTTGACATGATTCAAAAGGCCGCCAGAGCTATGGCTGTGGCCACGAAGGTGAGTGTGAGGGGCGATGCACAGGGTGTTTTGAGTCTGCAATTCATGATCGAAGTTGAGGCGGGCAAAGTCAGCTTCGTGGATTTCAGATTCGTGCCCTTCGTATTTGAGGAAGGAGACGAGGGTGATGAGGTCGACAATGCTGTGGTGGATGATGAGGTAGATCCTTCTGAGGATGATTTGTGATGTCTTTGCGCGAAGCTGCTAGTAAGGGCAACCTCACAATGGACTCTACAATGCCTCGTCATAGAAATCCGTACACTCATCTACCGCTGCATGAGGAGCTTCATTGTATTTTTCGCATTCCGAATAGAAGAGAAGTTCGCCATTTTGGACAGCTAGTAAACTCGTGAGGCTACCGCAGACAGTGGTAACAGGGCGTACGCAGATTGGAAGTGTATCCGCGACCCCCGGTTTCTATTAGTACGTTGAAGCCTCACAGAGAGTGGCAAGAAAGTGTCCGGATATCTATGGCAAGGTACTGTACTATAAGAGCACCTGGTCGAACTAATTACAATACCTCGTTATAGAAATCCGTACACTCGGTTACCGCTACGTGAGGAGCTTCATACTATTTCCAGCATTCCAAATAAGAGAGACGTTCCGCATTTTGGACAACTAGTAAACTCGCGAGGCCACCACAGACAGCGTCAACAGGGCGTACGCAGATTGGAAGTGTATCCGCTCCCGAACACTATCCATAAACGAATACGTATGTTATCAGTCTGAAAGCTATCACCAAAATCTTGTTACTCAAAAGCGTGTTCTACGAAATCCATCTCAAAGGAAAATCACCTTAACCCCTTAAATCCCCATCCCCCTTGCTAAGTCCCTCAAACAAAATTAGGCCCAAGAACCGTATAATTCTTCCACACATCCTGCCCTGCCAACTGCTTCAACCGCGCCACCATCACTCGAAACAGCGCCTCCTCCCCCGTCTGCTGCCATTCCTCCAGCAGCTGCACATCAAACCCATCCACCACCACCTCTTCCCCCAAAGGCCGATGCAGCACCGCCAACCCCGGCGCATCCGGCCCCAGCGGCCGCAGCTCCGACCTCTCTACATCCCCCGCGCCGAAAAGCGACCACAGCGTCGCCGCAAATTCACTCGCTTGATCGGCATTCGTGAAGAGATTCGGCTGCTGTATTGGTGCTACAGGAGCACGATCCGGAACCGATCGTGTAGATCCCCTTCCTGCCGCGGAAACAGGGGGGAGACGGTCGAGTTCCAGTTCTCCTCAGCCGTTGCGCCAGTGAGGCTCAGCAGCACGCGTTTGCCGAGGGATTGGCATGCCTGCACTTCCCACCCGAGTGCCGTGCAGTTTAGCAACCCTGGCGCGGCGCGCGCTTGGACGGGGTTGGCGGAAACGCAGCCGGGGAAGGGCTGTAGGGAGGGATAGGCGGAGGAGCCGTAGGAGAGGGAGATGAGGGGGAGGTCGACGGTTGTGACGGAGGGGGAGCGGCAGAGTGTGCGGAGGGGGATGAGGGCGGTTGGGGGAAGGTGATGATTGGGGAGGGGGAAGATGAAGGGAAAGAAGAGGTGCGGGAGGGGGTGGACGGGATACGGAGAGATGAGGTTGAGGTTGAGCAGGTGGAACTGGTGCGGGTTGAGGTCGATGGAGCGGAGCTTGAGCGAGTAGAGGAGGAGCTAGATGAGCGAGATGGCGAGGGCGGTGCAGACGTGCTGGGGCGCTCAGGGTGGGAAGATACTAATGCCAACAAGGTGGACCTTTTAGTTTCTGGGCTGATAGTTCGTGTACTAGCGACGATGGAAGCTGTCCCGGTTCCGAGGAGAGCAGACGAGGTTGGGGTATAAGAGAAGGCTGCGGTGGGCTCCGTGAACAAGGAAGCGGTCGGCCCAGCTAGAGTAGAGTTCAGAGAAGGCAAATACCCAGAGCTAGTGGAAGCAGTAGGCGCCCTAAAGGTTGCATTGCTCGCGGAATAGGATGCGCTGGCGGATGCAAGTTCCGTTGAGATGAGAGATGGCACCACTTCTGAGTTCGCAGTAGCTGTAGGTCCCTCAAACGTTACGTTGGCGAGGGGATAAGATGCATTGGCGGATGTCGGTGGTATAGAAAGGGGTACATCCGTGACGATGACGGACGTCTCTATGAGTGTAGTTACGAGAGTAGTGACGAGTGTAATATTGGCATAGATGGTCAGGGGGACACTAGAGTTGACAGGGATAAACGTGTTGTTTCCGTTAGTTTCGGTGAATCCAGATACTGCGGTAGACAGTACTACAGAACTTGCAGCTGTGACGAACACCGGTGGAGCAGTGACTAGTGATGTAGTGATGTTGACCCATAACGGACTTGGAGCGATGCTAGCAGATGCAATAGGTGTCTGCGAAGGTGTGAATGCCTCCAATATGCTATTTGTAGAGTAGGCAGTTTCTGAGATCGTTGCGTAGCTAGAGACGTAGCTCAACGTAAAGTTGGTCGATACTATGGGAGTCTCTGATGAAACGGCCGTGGATAGCGGCACGCCTTCTGAGTAAGCAATCCCCGTAAAATTGTAGCTCGAGGTAAAGTTGGTCGAAAGTATGGGAACTCCCGAGGATGCTGTAGAGAGAGGGCCAACTTCCGAGACTGAGAGGCTTGGGAAGATCTAGTCATAAGGTGGGAAACTTGGCTCTGAAGTTGCAGTCAAGAGAGGAGCGCTTGGTGCCAACGTATTAATCACAGTCGTAGTTATGTTTTCTATAACCACGATACCAGAGCTCGGTGGAGCTATGGCACTCAAAGGCACGGAACTAGGAGTCCATGCTTCCGATGTTGTAGGATTCGAAGTTGATGGTATGTCCGAGGTCGAAGGTGTTGATGGGAAGATTAGTTCTCGAATGTGGTCAAAGTAGCTCTTGAGGGCATCAAGCAAATGCGTCTCATCGACAAGAAGGGTATCAACAGGCGACAGGACCGGTGTTGGAAGGACAGTGACTGCCGCCTCTCGAGGGGCAAGAACGCGATACGGGTAGCGCTGGGGACGGCGAACAGCGCTTGCGGTTGTAGAACTGATGCATAGAAACAAAAGTGTAAGCGAAGGCAAAGAAACGCCAGAACGGGTTGCTGCCATGATTGAAAGCGAGTGAATACCGTGCGTGGAGAGGACCGATGGTTGCGCATATATACTTATAAGTTGGCCACACGCGTCGAGGCCAGAAATAGCGAGCCGAGACTTTGCATAACGCGCGCGAGGGATGAAAAATGATACTATTACACCCGAAAGGTTGGCTTGCATGAAGTGGGACATTCCTCATCCCATGGGCGTGGGTGTATGATACATGCCTTTATGCATGCTGCCACCAAGATTCTCCAGAATCTGCGTTGAGGAACTGAAGACGAAGAATATAGCTAGGTTGGACATCAGAGAAGCGAGAGACACGAGAGGTGTGATGGTTAATCTGTGGGTTATAAGATTTCATACCTGCTCTCCGAAGATGCGCACACTAGAAGGACCACCTAGTTGATTAGCAAGCGATACCTTATATGAAGCAAGGGTGTAGCACGGGAGGGGAGAAATGACAATCCATGGGCCACTTAAGAAAACGTCTACCGCTCGAATAGGATGATGCTCACGAGATTCGAGTGCACATTGAAGCATCCACCACAGAGAGTGGCAAGAGGTGTACGCAGCTATAAAAAGGCATTGCAAAGACTGGATGCAGCGAATGGTTCCTTTTTGAGTAGAAGCTGCAGTTAGAGCGAGCATGCTAGCTCGCCCTTTGCCTCCTCCGCACCATATTCGCCACTAACATCTCACCATACCTCCCATGCCATACCACCGCACCCACATAGTAGGGCTTTAGGTCGTCGATATCGGGCTGGACCGTAGATGTGCTACGATCACCAGCCGCCGTCGTCTGCGATTGGAGCACTGTCCTTGGGCGCTTCTCTGGTATCCCATCCGCTGGAGGCGACAGCAACAGGAGCACTAGAAGTATCCCAGCCGCCCGAAGCAGCACCACCCGAGGCATCACCCCACCTACCTGAAGTAGTGACAGCATCTCCCCATCCGCCGGACCCGCCGCCAAACCCACCACCAAAGCCACTGTCTTCTTTGATCTCCTCCGAGCAACGCTTCACGGTGTGGCCCACTACACCAACATTAGTACTTGTTAGGCCACCAGGTCTGCTGAAATACTTACTGTTGCCACAATTGTTGCACTTGATCCTTGACCAGTCCTTCTTCTTGGTGCAGTCTCTGGCAGCATGTCCGACCTCATCGCAATTGCGGCACTTCATGACGCGGGGCTCGGGGCAGTCGCGAGCGATGTGTCCCTCTTGCTCGCAATTGCGACAGGTGCGAGATCCTCCCCCTCCTCCGCCACCGCTGGGGCATTCGCGAGAAATGTGGCCTTCTTCACCACACTTGAAACAGCCGCCGCTGGGAGCACCACCTCCGCCTCCCCCACTGGGACAGTCGCGGGAGATATGGCCATCCTCGCCGCACCTGTAGCAAGCTCCACTAGAGCCACCACCGCCGCCTCCACTGGGGCACTCTCGAGAGAAGTGGCCCTCCTCGCCACACTTGTGACAGGCACCGCTGGACTTCTTTGGTGCGGTGCAATCTTTCGCGAAGTGACCATCCTCTCCGCAGTTGCGACAGCCGTTCCCGCTCGGTGCTGGAGTCTGGTCGGCGGTGAAGTCAGCGACCCAGACCGCGTTGGCGGCGTCATTCTTGGCTTTTTCCTCATCGGCAATCTTCTTCTCAGCCTCGCGGTGCTTCTTGGACGACTTATGAGCGCGCCAGTCTTTGGTCATGATCTTGCGGTCGCAGATCTCGCACGTGGTGTGGGTTGGAGCGATTTGCTTGTGGGGCGGGTACGGGTTCGAGACCATGTTGACAGTGTTGGCGAAGCGCACCATGGTGGGCTGTGTGGGTCGACGTCCTCGTCGACAAGGTGCGGATGAGGACTAGCAATTGAGTGAGAGGAGGTGAGGGAGAGATGAAGGAGAGAGGGCGTCAGATGTGCGAGTGAAGCGAAGAAGAAGGCGCGCCAAGGAGCAGGCCGGCGGAAGTGAGAAGAAACAAACAGAGACAACAAGCCCAGGCCGCCTTCATGCCGTCACCCGCTTCACGGCTACGTGCAGTGCTTCAGTGCCTCGCCATCAGTCTGTGCGCCCCTGTTGCCCATGCTCCGCGTGCTTCAACGCAGTTTGTGAATCGCACGTCACCATCTTGACCAACCTGATACGTCACTAAGTTACCTTGGATCATTGCTGTGAGTTCATCAACCACCCGTCGTTCGCGTTTAAAAGAAAGTGAGGTGTCATTCATTGACGGTGACACGGGAGCACGGGAGCAGCTTGGGATGAAAGAGATTGATGCGCTCTCTCGCTCTAGAACACTTCGCTCTTGTGGCGCTATCCGTAAGACAGGTCACATTTCTTCGAGCCGGTAGAGCACATCTTCCAGCACCTAGACAGATCTTGTCCGTTGCATGCGCCACCAACGGATAGATGCATACACGGTCCCGAGATCCGCTAGCCCTCGTCACCCGTAACAAGGTGATCTTATTTCAGTAAAGGGCTCTCGTAGATATTCAGACGAGGAGACATCTCCATCCCGCTTATATGCCTGCTTACCGGACGGATATCTCGGCATGCTCTACGACATCTTAGGTCTCAAATTGCTTGGGCTCAGGTCCTAACGTAGTAAATGCCATTGCCTAGAGCCAGGCTTACCTAGCTTTGCCTACCCGTTCTCGTGTTTCCAAGCCGCATCATACTGGCTACTTGACGGCTTGATCCCGGAAGAGAGACTTATAGCAGACTTTCATCGGAACGACCAGAGCGCGACTATACATCTTGCGGATAGGTTCAGAAATGCGCGGATGTATCAATAGATCTCGAAGCCACATGTATTCCAGCTCTATGCCGCTTAGACAGCGTTGATCGAGGTATTCGCTGTCGCATTCGTAGTTTAGAATAACTTCCTAATCTATTTCATCGCAGGTTTCGGGGAACGCACATCTTTCTCGAGGAAATGTGCAAAGAGAGCTCCTAAGAACACCCTCTGTTAGAGCAAGTATGAGAGCTGAGTGTTGGGACTTACTTGACGATGTTACCAGGAAGCCTCGGGGTGTGAGGACGGGTGTGATGTTCGTGGTGTCGGTTGCGGGTACCTTGGTTTAGCGTTATCAGCCGAGAGTAAATAGATAGCTTCGGAAATTAATATTGCATTTCGTGTGAATTTGACGGCATTTCAGTTGGCTGAGTCTGCTGTCATAGTGTATAGCTTGATGATCGCGAGTGAGGATCTATGTAAACATCCAGATCTTCGCCAAGCACTGTCTTCGTTCATTCGTCTGCAGCATAAAAGAACGTACTGTTCTCGCAGCAATTACTTCGTATTATACAATTCGATCATACATATTATACAATTCGATCATACATATTATACAATTCGATCATACATATTATACAATTCGATCATACATATTATACAATTCGATCATACATATTATACAATTCGATCATACATATTATACGTGACGTCTAGGCACCCCCAAGCAGAGCTTCTTCCTCCTCGACTTCTTCTTCGTCTACTTCGTAGTTCTCCACGACCTTACGGTTTGGATCAACTGCCTCCTTCCATCCAGTTCCGGCCTGGATAAACACCACGCAACATGCCAGCCCCATTGCTGCGAAGAACAACGCACGTACTGCTGTGACGTACGCACTGATCGCAACCTCCTGTTCAACGCCTTCTAGACCCCTCACTATGGCAGGGCTTCCCATCAGCCTCCTCACTAAGCCTTCACGATGCTTCAGTCCTACATCCGCGAACCCCTTTGCTAGCGTTGTGTGTAAGATCCGAGTGAATAATCCCCCACCAATAGCAGAGCCAAAAGATCCAGCGAACCCACGGAATGTAGCAACGAGCGATAGAACTATGGGGTGAACCGAGGGCAGTGTAAGGTGCAGAGCATGTACTAAGGTATAGTTCAGAGCCCCTCCGGTTACAAACCCGTTAAGGAAGACGAGGACAATGTACGCCGCAGTCGGCACCTCTGGTATGCTAAATAGGGCGAGTAGCAGTAAGGTGACGGGGAAGAGCCCCATGGTCACTAGGCTAGGCACGTAGAAGCTCCCCGCTCTTCGAATGTGCAGCAAGCCCGCTAGGAGTCCGCCGGTGGCGAATCCAGCATTCGTCGGAATCAAGATGGATCCAGCAACAGCAGGTGACCAGCCGCGGATTGCTAGGGCGTAGACTGGGGTGTAGAATAGTATACTCCAGCGTGCCATCATGAAGCCCACTGTAGCCAAACACGTGAGGAGAGTCCCTCGGGATCGAAGGACAGCCATGGGAATGATCGGATCTGCGGCGTAACGGGCTTCGTTAATAACGAAGAATGGAAATATGATAACTGCAAGGATCATTGGAAGTGGGAGGACACGAGGTCCGGAGAGGCCGAGAAGAAAAAGCACGATGGTTGACGTCTGGGGGGTGTTAGTTTGCGTTATTTCACAGGATTAAATCTAACCTACAAGAGCCAAAGCGCCGAAGTAATCGACTCGTCTCAGTTTCATCCGCAAAGGTAGGTCTGTGTAAGCTCTCTCGCCAGACACGAACCTCTTCGGAATGCCGAAAAGGAGGCAAATTCCAACGACGAGACTCAGTGGCGCCTGCGCGCCAAAGAGGACGTTCTGAAAGACCGATCAGCTAAAGTCCCATCTATTCCGTAGATGAACGCAGTACGCAATGCATTGACTTACCCAGCCATACTTAGGCTCTACTGCTCCAGCGATGACTGCCCCGAGAGACACACCAATCGTCATACCTGAATTGATAAGGCCAATATAAAGGCCTCGCTGTTTGTCACTAGCTAATTGGATAGCGATGATAGTCGCCACAACGAGGATGCCAGCTGCGCCAGCGCCAGTAACAGCACGACCAAAAAGAAAAACTGCAAGGGTAGATGATAGCGAGGTAATAATTGATCCTATGCAGACAATCATGGTGGACACAAAGATACAAATTCGAGGGGAGAAAAGTTGACAAAGCCGCCCAGATAGCGGAGATATGCTCGACATCGCAATCAAGTACGAAGAAGTCAGCCAACTGACTTGTTCGAACGCATCGAGGTCTGCTGCGATTGCTGACTGTGTGGTGGTGAGGATACTGATGTTGGTCGCTGGGCCCCAGTATGTCAGTCATGTTTGCATAAATGGTGTTCGCCAAATTCACGCAATAGCTGGCAGGCCGCCACACTCTTCATTTCAGATCTGTTTCTTTGGCATGGGCCGTCGCAACTGGGCTTACCTTCCAGGAAAATAAGCAATCCAATTGATGCAATAACCACAGTCCCTCTCACGGTCGATATTACAGGCGCTGGCTCATCATTGGATTCTAACTGTGCGCTTGACTGATCGCCAACAGATTTCGAGGCTGTTGATGCATTTGAGGACAAAGAAGTCCGTCGAGAAAGCAAAGGAGACTGTTCTGTTGTCGACGCCGAGGGGTCCGGCATGCTTGAGAACTGGCAGACGAGAGAAAAACGCAACACAAGGAAACCCTTTAATTATCTGTTCCGTAAAGGCTTCAGTCTTCGAGAACGACTGTAGCAACATGAGTCTCGTCAAAGCAAGTGACCCAGTGGCCGTTGGCGATTATAAATCGAACTAGCTTCAGAGACTCCCGCTTTCCCGTCTGTCGCGAGTCGTGACGGCGTTCTAACGGACGAATCCAGGGCCGCCTAGGTATGACGACAGATCCATGAATGGTACAAAGGTAGCTTTGATGTTCTGAGTTCAAGGAGTGTTTGCATATCTAGAATAGGGATGTCCTGGGCCATCGGCGCTGCTCCCGGCGCTGTTCCAAGCTCCGGGCAATTGGTCCAGCAGCGTGTCACATCGTACTGCAACAGGGCAACCGTGATGCTCTTATAATGCTTGTAGAATAGCAGGAGTAACGTGACGGTGGTGGAGCAAGGATGCTGAAGCTCTCCTGCGGTTTGCCGAGTGAACAAAGTGGCTTCTTCGCCCACAACGCTCTTGTCGCATTCATCAGGGCCACAGTCCCGCGACATCTGTCCTCAGCCTCCATGGTCATCCTGCGCGCCGTCTTGGGATGATTCCTCCCTCCATCTTTGGCTGCATCAACCAGCGCACGCCGTTATGAGGCTCCAATCGCCGCGGCGCGTGCCGCTCCTCCTCTGTAAGTGCTATCCGCATGTCTACAGCTGCTCATATCTAACAACGCTTTCGACCCAGTCGCCCTCTTTCTATACCTTGCCCTTGCGTCTGCCCAATACCGATCGCACGACCAGGCGCACGCCAAACAGCAGCCACTCGGACAACGCGCGTCGTCATTACACCACTGGGGGAAATCGCAGCATCATGATGAAGTTCGAGGTCCGCAGACTCCCTCATTTTCGGATAGTCAAGATGCTCAGCTCCACCCAGGTGCCGTTGGTGCGCATGCTGTCGAAGAGGCGACTTCCATCCTGCGCAAAATCCGCTCCTCTACCAGCCGCCTATCGCGGCTCAGCAGGCCCACAGGAATACTTGGGACTGCCACCTACTATGCCAAAGAGCTCTTCTTCCTCCTGTTCATGAACGGCCCCCCACAACAGGATCTCGTCACGTCGAAGCCGCAGGGCAAGAGACTCGGTCAGCCTCTGGCGCAGGCCGTCATACTTCTCGAGGAAGCTGCGGCGGAGCAGAACCCGGACGCTCTTTTTCTGCTCGCTGAGATGAACTTCTATGGCAACTTTACATATCCCAGAAACTACTCGGAGGCCTTCGCAAGATACCACGCGCTCGCCACGCTAAATGGAAACTCTTCAGCGCAGAACATGGTTGGATTTATGTATGCGACTGGCATAGGCAGTGCTGTAAAGCAGGACCAGGCCAAAGCCTTGCTGTATCATACGCTGGCAGCAGAATCAGGAGACATCCGGTCGGAGATGACCGTCGCATACCGCCACCATATTGGAATCGCAACGCCAAGAAACTGCGAGGAAGCTGTCTTCTACTACAAGAAGGTCGCAGACAAAGCAATCACACATATGAGGTCTGGCCCTCCAGGTGGTTTTTCAATGATTAAGGAGTCCTACCGAATTGCAGACGAAGTAGGCGGGGTATATGGCGAAGGAGCCAGCGCCAGCAGCTCCGGTCAATATGCCAAACTAGGCGGGCCGAGCTCCGACGTCCACGCTTCTGTTGACGATGTTCTCGAATACCTGGATTTGATGGCTAGGAAGGGAGACCCCAAAGCCACTTACAACCTCGCACGGCTTCACTACGATGGATCCAGAGCCTTCAAACGAGACTTCGGCCAGGCTAAGAAACGCTTCCTAGAATTAGCTAGAATGTACTGGACAAGAGACGGGAGGACGAAAAGTGATGTCCCGGGCCACACCGAGAAACTTGCCTCTAAAGCTGCCGGCTACCTCGGTCGCATGTTCCTTCGCGGTGAAGGCATCGATCAAAGTTTTTCCATCGCTCAGACATGGTTCAAACGCGGAATATCCAATGGCGATTCCCTGTCACAGTATTCTATGGGCTTGATGTACCTTAACGGCCTCGGAGTGTCTAAAGATCCTGTCAAGGCGGCAGACTACTTTGCTGCTGCCGCTGATCAGGATCTTGCGGTAGCACAAGTCAGGCTCGGTGCTCTGTTCCTCGACCAGGGCGACATTCCTGTAGCAATCAAGTACTTCGAACTCGCAGCGCGGAATGGCCACATCGAAGCGTTCTACTACCTAGCCGAACTCAGCCACCAAGGGGTTGAACGCGAGAAGTCCTGTGGCGTTGCAGTAGCGTACTACAAGATCGTTGCAGAAAAGGCCGAGATCATCCTTTCCTCTTTTCAGGAGGCAAATGAGGCGTATGATGACGGAGACCTGGAGACCGCTCTGGTGGATTACATGATGGCAGCGGAGCAAGGCTTCGAGATTGGCCAGGCAAACGTCGCTTACCTCCTCGATCAGTCGAAACCCAAATTCACGGTACAATTCGCGTCTTTCATTCCGTTCATCCGACGAAAGGCGTCTCTAGTTAGCGATGCTGCACTTGCCCTGATCTACTGGACCCGGTCTGCGAAGCAGCAAAATATTGATTCCATGGTCAAGATGGGAGACTATTACCTCGAAGGCATGGGAACTCCTCTTGACCATGAAAAGGCTGCTGCTTGCTATTTAGCGGCAGCTGAGACGCTCCAAAGTGCGCAGGCTATGTGGAACCTAGGCTGGATGCACGAGAATGGCATTGGAATCGAACAGGACTTCCATTTGGCGAAAAGGTTCTATGACCAAGCTCTTGAAACGAACCCGAAAGAGGCATATCTTCCCGTGCTTTTATCACTTTACAAACTGCGATTACGGAGTTGGTGGAACACGGTCACAAATGGACGTGTCAACTCCATCCAAGATGAGCCAGGTAAGTCAATCTTTGTGCCCCAATCTCGATTTATACTCCGCCTTACAAAGACCCATAGTTCCGCAAAAGGAGTGGTCTCTTTCAGAGTTCATCAACAACTTCCTTGAAGCGGACGCCACAGCCTGGGACACTATGGAACGTGACGACTACGACGCCAGCCACGACCCCATGCCTGGCGGCGACGACGACTATTACGAGGACATTGAGTCAGACTTGATTGAAAGCGCGATCATTCTCGCTCTCACTGCTGCTCTCGCATTTCTTGTATATTATCGAGCTCAGAGGCAACGGCGGGCTGAGGCGAGGAGACAGCAGCAACAGCAAGCACAGGAGCAAGGCGACCATGCGCGTCAAGAGCAGGTGAACGACCAGGGCGTGTTTCCTCAACGTAACGATCCTGAGTTCTTAAATTGGGCTGCCGGTGGGGTGGGCCATTGAATTGATCAAACTGGCGGTAATGGCATGAGGCCTCCTTATTCATTCGAAATCGCAGCATTAGCATTTTACTGGCGTTCTTGCTTGGCTTCATATGCCGTTGGATGGTTGACAAATATGAATGTCAATGATATTTCCAGGTTGTTCCACAAAATCGACCCTTCAGGCTTGCAATAGAGTTCGAGCTTCTCATCAAAGCGTATATCAGCTAAGAAACTTCAAAAGCTAACCAACACATTTAATCTATATCTTCCACTTAGCGTTACTTTTTATAAGGATTAAGCGTGGTGTACGTATAACTGCGTAAAAGCTAATAAATAAAGTATAAAGGCATTTATATAATCCTCTAAGCTTATAAAGCTTAATAGTATTTAGTAGTTTTACGTACTAGGGATTTAGGCCTCTCTACTTACTTAATCTTCGTATACTTAGGAAGTTTTCCTATAGATATTATATATAGGTATATATATTATAAATAAAAAGATAATATTATTAATAATAGGATTAGGTATAACGTATTCCACCACCGAGCCGGCCAAACCACCGAGCCGGCCACTTTTCCTTGGCACAACCAACACCATGTGCGCGCAGTCAATTTATTCGCAACCAGCTATAGAACTTGTGTACGACACACTTAGATCAGATTCAGAAGAAGCTTCTTAATCCTTTTTGCACGTACGCGCATTGTGCCCAGCCTCTCCACAGTTTCCACAGCGCCGTTGAGCTGGTAGAGCCCTATTTGCACCATCTCTACTACCCACCTTTTTCTGTGGATTAGATGCTCCAGACACTTCAGCAGCTACATACAACGCTGCTGTACCATACTACATTGTACCGCCAGTCTGGATTCGCTTTCTTTTACGACCTTTACGCTTGGTTATCTCTGCTAGTTGCTCTTCAAGCTCTTTAACCCGGGCTTTAATAAGCACATTTTCGTGTAGCATCTCTTCGGCTCCTTTAATAAGCTTTAAAAAGCCTTTTTAGGCGGTTGTTAGTAACTGTACAAAGGAATTGCTTACTAGCCTTAACTGTAATCCAAATTTGTATATATTGCTTAGGGTCTTTAATTGCTATAGTGTTTCTAGTAGAGGTACTAGTGGTAGGGTCCGTAACCGTACATTAAGGCGATTAAGAACTACCTGCGCGTTAATAGGAACTAATCCAGAGGCCTTAAAGGCCTTCTTGCAGTTCTTATACATAAATATATTAAAAAACGCATTTTTAAAGGCTAGTAGGAAGCCTTTTTTATTAATATAGTAAACGCGTTGGCGTGCTAAGTCTTATATACGTTAAGAGTACTTTAGCTTTAATAGCAAGAAGCATACTATATTAAGTAGCTAAAGTATATATAATAAATACACAGGTATATAGAGGGTAAGGATTTATTATTTAATATAATAATCCTTAAAATCTTAGTTAAGGTGGCTCTTATAGCTGTCTAAAATTAGCAACCTATATAACCCTACCTAACGCGCCTTTATATACGTGTTAAAGTGCTTTAACTACTTAAGACTAAGCTTATTATTAGTCCAGCTGTTTTTAGAAATAGAAAGCTTCTAATTATACAGTATTTCTGCTTTCTTATACTATACAGAAATATAAACGCGTCCTTTATAGATAATAAATAGTAGGGTTGTATATCTAGCAGCGCAGATACTCTAGATAACTGTAACCTACTCTTAGTTGCCTAGTTAAATAAGATTAGGCCTTATATATCTCTCTAAACCTATAATAACCTTTATTATGCTAATTATACCTATTTAAAAGCTAGTCTTATTAAAGTTATAGATATTATCTAAGTAGATGCTATACTTAGCTATAGTCTTTTGTATAAAAGTAAACTATATATTAATAACTTCTAGGTTTTCCTAAAGTATTCTCTAGCGGTTCTTTGCCCAATTAAAAGCTATTTTAAGCTCCTTTATATAAGATATAAACTGTTAAGTCTAGTTCTTGCCTACTAGTATCCTACCACGCGCAGCTAGTACTTTATCTGCTATATCTGCCACCTTATACTACTAGGGCGCAAATCCTTATAAGTCTAGGTTAAGGATATATTATATAATTATATGCTTTTCGGTCGCAGTAAGCTTTAGGCAGTTTGGTCGTGATTAAGGTTGAAATATAATTCCGTGGAGCTAATTAGAGAGCCGCTGATATCGTACGTTAAAGGCTGCTGCAGCGCGTTGTATAGTCCTAAATTAACCAGAGGTAAAGGCTTAAAGCGCGAGATTAATACTGCCTTCTTGCTAAGATAGATAATTACTGCGTTGTTAATGCATTGCTATATAAATATAGTGTTAGTTATGCTAAGGAAAAGTGGCCGGCTTAGTAGTTTAGCCGGCTCGGTAGTGGAATACGTTATAGTAAGTATAAAAAGTAAATTATATAGTAGATAAAGGCTTTTTTAACTCTATTACTTATAGAACTATATATTATATACTATATAAACTATAAAAGGTATTATATATAATAGTAAAGGCCTATAGGCCTATTACCTTTTTAGAAACTATAGGTAAGCTACTAAAAAAAATAGTAGCTATATAACTATCTAAACTTACTAAAGTAAAAAAAATACTTCCGCTAAGCTAAATAGGGGCACGCCCTAAGCGATTAATATAAATAGTAATTAAACTTTTTATAGAATAGATTTATATAGTTTAGAGTAGTAGTAAGGGCTTTATAGTATTACTTTTTAGCCTAGATATATCTAGGGTATTTAACCGAGTATTATATAAATAGATAATATATAACTTATAAGTATAAAAGGTACTAGAATAGATTATCCGATTTATAAAGTTATTTCTAGAAAACTATACTATAAAGCTTAGCTTTAGCAGCTTTATAGTAGAACCTATAAAGGCTACTATAAAAATACTATAAAGCTTTTTTTTTTTACAATTTTTTTTTTTTCTTTACTAGTATACTACTACCTGCACTATAATAAGGTAATACTATAGCCTATAGATTTATAGATAATATAAATATTTTTATATATAGTAAAACAACGGAATTAAACTATAAAGCCCTTAAAAAGGTATATAAATAGTATCTAAACTAGGTAAAAAAGTATAGTATAGTATTTACCTTTAATAAATACTACCTAATCTATTTTATAAAAGCTAATAAATATACTTTTAACCTATTAGCTATAGTAAATATCTAAAGGTTTATAAAGGGCCTAATTAAAAACCTCTAAATACTAGAAGTTTATATAAACTTTAAGCTTAAATAAGGCCTATACTTTAGTATTATAAAAAAAATAAGCCTATAACCTAAATAAGGTTAGTTATAAAGCTTATAGCGTTAATATAGGGTATAAGCTTTTATAGAGCACGTATTATATATTTTATAGTTATACGGCCCGCTATTATATATAAATACACCTTTTAGTACCCTATAGCAGGTATAAAAAAAATAGCTTAGTAAAATAAAACTTAAATAATATAAAATAGTATAAAACTACTACTTTTAATATATTTTAAAGGCTTATAAGTTAATATCTATTAAAGTACTAAAGTATAAAATATCCTGCCCTTTTTTTAGGCTAAAGCTGGAAAAACTAGCGGTGGCCTATATAGATAGGATATATAAAAAGCTAAAAAAACAAAAAATAATATAGTTATTCTAATAAGCTATTAGAAATTAAAGCTAAAGGGAGTTCTAATAGGCTTCTAAAGGCACTTAGAGCAATCGTACGCAATTATAAAGCCCTCCGGGCAGTAGTAGTAGTATTATAGTAGGTTAAATCTTTCCTGCAACTTCTAACTTTAAATTGCACTTACAATAATAATAATAATAATAATAACACCTATAATAATAATACAACTAAAAGCCCCTCCTTAACACGTATAAAAGCGTTATAAGCGCACTTAATAAAGTATAATAAATACAAAGCGCCCTATAAAGTAAGCCTTTTAATACTATTAGTATAGATTTCCTTTAGGCTATAGTTGCGTGTATTAACAACGCGTTTTTTAGACTTATAAATACTAAGAAAAAACTCTACTATATATAAAGAACTATAAACGAACGGAAAAACGCGCTATAAAAGGAACTAATAAAGGAAATAAAAAATATAAGGAAAAGTATTAGTAAGCTAAAAGCTTAAGGAAATAAAATATATACAGCTGCAGTAGCAAAGGCCCTAATAGTAATGCAAATCGGGTAAGCTATATAGATTAGATAAAACGCGAGAATTAGACAGGATATAATAAACAACCTTTATAAAATTAATATCTATATCGAAAACAACGCCCAGCAAGCGGCTAACGCGATATATATAAACAACTATATTATAAAAAAGCTATAAGCAGCAGGAGAGCCGGAAACTATAAAGATTAGTAGTATTAGAAAGCTATAAAGTAGTAATATTAAGGTAATTATTGCGGATAAGCTATTAAAAAACGCCCTCCTAAAAAAAAAGAATTAGGTTTTTATCCTAGGCTCCTCCGCTACTATACGCACGCCTATAGTGCTTATTAAAGTATATAGCATGCCTAAGGAAATAAACCTTAATAACCTAAGCCTATAAAAAAATATAATAGAAAATAATATAACCTATAACCTAGAACTTATAATTAATAAAATTATATAGAAAAATAAGGCAGCTATTACTACAGCGCGGGTAAACCTAGTATAGTATATAAGCTCGGCTATTATAGGCGTATAAATAGAAGTAATAGTAAATAACGCTATTAATAATAGTATTGCTTAGAAAGGCTATATACTTAACGCTTTAAGGTATAAAGTAAGATTTATAGCTATATAGTACTTTAACTACTAGGGCTATAGGTATATTATAAGGTACTATAAAAAGAATATTAAATATATAGTATACGTAAGCGAGTATAATATAAAAGTATACCTAGATAAAACTATTAAGAAATATATAAACTATAATAGAAACCACCTATTATATAGTACTAAATATACTATTTAAAAAAAGGCCTAGTAAAGGGCCTTTAATAAGAAATAGATAATACTATACTAATATACTATAGAGCGCAATAAACTATATATATTCTAAGCGCAGTTATATAATAAATAACAGCACGCAAGGAAAATAGCTCTAAAGAAAAGGGTATAATATATAAAAAAGTTTAAAATATAAGTAGAGAAGCCCTTTTTTATAAACTTTATAGCATTTACAGCTTTTACTATACCTATACTTTTAAAAAAACCTAAACCTAAGCAGCCGAAAAAAGTGCTTATAGTAAATAAGAACTAGCCTGCTATTAATAAGGTATTTAAAATTAGAAGTAAAATATAGCCCGCTTAGTTTATATAACCTAACTAATTAGCTACACTACTAGAAGTATTATTATAGCTAGCTATATAAACTATATATAGCGGAGGTAATTAGCTAATATTAAGCGGAGAGGTTTAAATACTATTATTA